ACGTATTTGTAAAGGTTGCTTTACAGGAAACATGCCCAATATCTAGGTACTCAGAACTGTTTCACACAAATACTCATATTGTTTTATTAGTCCCCTACCGGTTTAACCGGAGGGGACTTTAGGTTTACCCTCCGTCCGTCTGTCTGTCTGTCCGTCTGTCTGTCAGTCCGTCCGTCCACAAAACTGGATCCCGCGATAACGCAAAAAGTACTGAAAATATTTTTATGAAACTTGATATATGGATAGATGGCAGTATGGAGATTATGCACGTCTTTTTTTTTTCTTCCTATGTTGAAAATTCTGGTTGCTATGGCAACAAATAGTCTGAAAATATGGCAAATTTAACACATAAACTGGATCCAGTGATAACTCAAAAAGTACTGAAAATATTTTTATGAAACTTGAAATATGGGTAGATGGCAGTCTGGAGATTATGCACATCTTTTTCTTTTCTTCCTATGTTGAAAATTCTGGTTGCTATGGCAACAAATAGCCTGAATTTCAAGATTTCTGATTTAAATTTTTCAGCTTTTTCACTATATGTTCTTTATTTCTTAAGGTGTTTACTTCAAACTTTAAATATAAGTTTCTGGTCATCAACCACGTCATATGTGACAAGGTTTATAACTCTAGCACAAAAAATATCAGTATTACCTCCCTTGAACTTAGATTTTTTAGGGGAAAAAATGTTGTCTTTTTTAAATAACTTCTTTATTTCCTAATGTATCTACTTCAAACTTCATATATATGTTTCTTATTATCACTCGACATTTTTGAGAAGGTTAAATACTCTAGCAAGACTATTTCCAGAATTATGTCCCCCTTGAACTTAGATTTTTTTCGAGAAACTGGTATTTTCACTTCAACATCTTCATTCCTTATAGGATTTACTTTAAAATCCCACATCGTAATAATATGACAAGGTTGTATAAACATAATTTCCTTACTAAGCATGGAAACTTAACACATTACTGTGATATAGACAAACTTATTTTATTATGTTTTGTGGTTGATATTTTCAAATACAGACTTCATCCTCAAATTCATTATAAATGGCAATACACAGGAGTGTATGACAATTAAAGAACTTTTTGAGGGACCGGTAGGGGACTACTGTATTGCCCGCAATACTATCAAATGCTTGTTCCTATATGAGTCCATTTAAACTTAGAGATTTGGTCCTATGCCAATAATTTATAATTTTTATAGAGGTATCACAAAGTAATGTTTCATGATAATTTTTCTGTTCTGTAAACTTAAGGAACAGAGAAGATTTTTAAGACAGTTTTAAGTCTATGCAAACATCAGTAACATACCAGGGAAAGCCATTTTAGACTGCAGGAGCATGATTAAAAGGCCTGCCAGAAGGGGCGCTTAGTTTTGAAATACTTATATAGGAAATCACATGTAAGTCCTCTTTTGCAGATCTACAATGCATAGAACTTAGATATTCAACATACCGGTATGTTACATTGTCTAGCAGAAAATAGAGTGAAATAAGAATCCCTAAAGAAAGCCCAACGCGGCAAAAAGACCTCTTTAAAAGTTACATAAAGCGCTCTTTGCGTCACTTAGTGTACATAGATTTTACATAGTAAAAATGTTTAAAAAGTCTTCTCAAAAAGCAAAATGCACAAAGCATAGAACATAGATACTAAGCATGAACAATCATCTTGTGTCTTTAACAAATTAAATGAATCTTGCTCATAGAGCCACCCGGGTTTATAGACTTGTATAGGAAAACACAATAAAAACTTCTAGTGTTAAACTAAATGCATAAAATTGTATGATGCTCCTGCAGTTAAAATGGCTTTGAAATGGGTATCACTTATTTTACACAGACTTATGTAATAAATCTGTATTCTCTAAATCTACAGTACCCGGATTATAGACATTAATTATGTATCATCATAATCTTGTAATACTCTACAAATATTTGATAAATCATGGACAAGATGGTCAAAATTTATAATGCACCAGGGGTGACTAAGTTTATATGGACTCATATAGGAATATTAATAGTTATTTAAGTCCTCTCTGAGAAACTTGATATTAGGCTGTTTCTTTTAAAGCAGCCGAATACAAATATTTCACAAATCATATATGTTATGACAAAATTGATACACCCAATTACCTACGTTTATAAAGAATTATGACCATGTTTTTCTTTTATAATTATCGGATGAATTGACCCCACCCACTTTGACAAACTATAAAACCTACAGTTTTAAGGTTTTCTTACATGTTTTCTTACAAACCCCTATTTTTAATTGAATGACAAATAAGAAATAGAGTAACTTTTTTTGATTTTGCATATAGATTAAGAAAACCAAATTAGATATCTTACAAAACTTTACTTTCATTATGATTTACATATGATTTGATAATTTCTGTTGAAACTGTCATGCCACTTAAGTGACTAATGAATTTACCTTATATCATTTGGAATATATAAAATTTTAATGCTTTTATTGAATAGTTCAATGTATTTTGGTATTTAAAAAAGTATTCACGCATTAATGATGAATAAAACGTTTGGCAAAGATCTTGTTATATTTCTAGCTGACATCAAGGAAGATGTTATGTTACTGACAAAATATCATTTTAGTTTACAAATTCAAAGATAGTGAAAATTGATGTAGTGGAACATATAATAGTAAAATTATATCAATGAAACAGTAAGATTTACAAATGTTTTTGGGGTTTTATGTGCGAAATCACTTATATATAATGCATTTGCGCATAAATTGTCAAAATTAAATGAGAAAATTGCCCATGCGTAACTTTGTTATATGTTTATTTGTACATTAGATATTTTCGTGATAAAACGCAATATTATTCACTTCAAAATAAATTTCACATATACCATACCTCAACTTTAAATTAAAACCGTGATCAGATATGATGTTATTGAAGCAGATGTATTTAAATAATTAATCTTATTATATGATCTAAATATAGCTGCAATCTCATTGGTCCAAACAGTAGTCAACAGAACTTTTTATAAAATCATATTTACTGGGTGTAGTATCATATTCACTGGCTGAATTGGATTTTCCCAGTCTAAAAATAGATTGAGACTCATATTCAATGATCATACACCGGAGACTGTTAATTACGCCTGTTAATTAAAAAATAATTATTGCTCTTTTTTCTTTATGGCATATTTCTCGATTAAAATATCAATACTTTACTATTATACTTAAGGGTTACACCGCAATGATGAGTATAAACTTGAATTATTTTTGTATGCGCAGCGTTCGCGTAGTCGTTGCACGCCTAACACGTGCGTCTTTCTTCCCGCGCTTCAAAGAGGCAAACTTTGTACATGTATAATTATAAGGTTGCACTTTGTGATTTTTTGAATTTCTTAGCCTATTCATATAATAAAACAATTATTGACTAGTGAACCATTGAATATGATGTGATATTCACCGGCAGAAAGTCATATTGACCTCGGCTATCGCCTCGGTCAATATGTCATCTGCCGGTGAATATCACATCATATTCAATGGCTCACCAGTCAATAATTGTATATTAATTCATTGAGCTTTAATAGAAATAATTTGGTAGGATAATTTCACCTGAAATATTTATTGCATATTTTTTCATTTTATTTGCAAGTACTTTTTTTCTACTGCAGCATTTTATTGCCACTATGTTATAAACGAACAAAAAATGTCATATCATCTGGATATCCTGAGACCTTATAATATTATGTGATTATGAAAAGACATAATTGTAATGAAGGAAGGAATATAGTATTTGTTAAAACTTTTTTCTTGTTTAATGCGGTATAGCCAGTTTTAACTTTCGTACCTGCTATATAACTTATTACCTTCATATATAGAAAGTTACTGATTTTTTGTTTTTTGTAAAATGAACTAACTAACTCCCTCTGTCAATATGTCAGGATATTTTGTAACTTAGATATACCGTTTTAATAGCTTTAAATCAAAATTTCAATATAAATACTGCTGCACCATTGTCTTATACACATAGCTTGTCTAAGGAAAATGGCGGACTTCTCAGACATCTTAGCATGAAACTGAAAACGATCGCCTATTAGCTTATCTGTAAGACCCCTGCCAGCTTGATTGACAGGCGGCGTAATGTCAATTATACTGTAGAAATTATATAACAAGTTTGCATAAAATTGGCGGCCATATTGGACGCCATCTTGGATTGACAAGACGTATGAAGCGGAATTTTGGAAGATTTAATTTTTGTAAAGGAGACACTTTAAACATGTTATGGTGTAAGTTTCAGGTCGTTACAAAAATTTTGACCGAATGAGCTATTTATGTACGTCAAATTTATATGGCGGCCATTTTGAAAATGGCGGCCATCTTGAATGAGCAGAGATATTTTTGGGCCCACTTCACTTTTGAAATCTACGTGGTCTAAAGATGATTTCCTGAAAGTTTCATGCTTGTATCACCATTTGCACTATTTTCTCAATTTCCCGCCCCACTACTTATTGAATAGACCCCTTGGTTCTTTTACATGCCCAGTGTATAGCACTGATACATGCGAGGATTACCTGGATTTCTTACCAGTACACCTCTAGTTAGCTGGGAAACACTGAAAGTGTCTCTGAAAAATCCCACGGGTGTTACCCAGGATCGGACCCGGGACCTCAGGAGTGACAGCCAGTGGTCTAACCAACTGAGCTATCGCGCCACAAATTATCCTTTTGTCCATTGAGAATCCATTGTGGAGAATAATATCTTCTGTGTAATTGGACAAAAGGATTATGTCAAAATATTGGAAATGGAATAAAATACATGAAACAAATAACCTTTAGATAATTATACAGAACCTTTAATTTGATTGGTTGCATAATGGATTATAATAATAATATGTTGGGATGAAACTAACTAATATGCAAGATGGCTTGTCTCTTTTATACATTGCAGAATTATATTTTTATAAGGCTACCTTAATGCAGTTTGTAATCACAGTATTTACATGTTTTTGGTATGTGTTTTTGCTTTCAGTTCAGCATGGGCCAATGTACCTATGGGGCCACCAGATGCCATTCTTGGTGTCACCGAGGCTTTCAAGAAGGATACCAATCCAAAGAAGATCAACCTGGGAGTTGGTGCATACAGAGGTGATGATGGGAAACCATTCATACTGGAATGTGTGAAAAAGGTATCTCTATAGCTGCTCTAGTATTTGATGATGATGAGCTGTTATATGAAATATTAATCATTTTTGAGGCCTTTTTTTCACAGGTAGAGGAAGTGGCCTTACTCTTAGACATCTTAGTCTTAAATTGGTGGAAAAATAACACAGTATTTTGTGCATAAGTGGGAGTTAAAACTTAGCTAAATTAAATTTTAGGAGAAAATTGCATGTCAGATTTTCAAAGAATTTCATGAGATGAAGCATTCGTAAAATTTAATATCAGATACCACTGAATATTTTAAATTTTATTTATCATGTTTTGGCAAAAGTAGCTCATGTAGTCATACATTTTGCAGTAGGTTCTGGTTTTGATTTTGCCAGCTGCTGGGGGTTAAGATAAGCATTGCAGAATGATGTACAATGTTTATATAAATGTCTATGATGATTGGAAATTTCATTGGCAGTTACTAGTGCCCATTCCTAGAACTTTCAGAAGCTCTGTGGTACATGTAATCTTGAAGTCTTGTTTGCTGAGATACTTTAATTATATCTAATACTCAAATATAACATAACTGAAAAAACAACAACAAAAAACAACAACAGTAAATATAAAATCAGGTTCAATAAACCAGATATACATGTATATTGTCTTGATACACAGGCTAGACTGGAACTATTAAAGGTGATTTGTTAATTTACTGTTTCCTACATGTTTCTGTTAACATCATAATTATTTAGTTTGGATGGTTTAGAAAGTATTTGTATTTTCATTTTTTCAGCATTAATATCTTATCATTTGACAGTGAAAACTTTTAGCACATAAGAAAAGTAATAACATGCTGGATAATTTTTTAAATAACTACAAAACTTTTTAAATGCATTTGTCTTGTTTAAGTACATTATTTTAATAGCATAAAAAAGCATTATGAAAATGCACAGCTTTTTGAAATCTTAATATTCAATTCCTATATAAATATAAATGATCTGCATGAAATATTTTTCAACCACTCATACGATAAATAAGTATTTAGAATTTTACGCTGCAAAATATCCTCATTTATTAGGGGTGTAATCAATTCAGTTGATATTGGAGTATCAACGATATTTGCAATCTGATTTGATATTGATTCCATATTTTAAATATGGGGTATCGAATGCACAAACATTTCAAACATTTTTTTTTCTTAAACGAAAATGGAAATCAACGCCAAGATTACCTCCCTGTGTCTCTAACGAATGCTGCCGAATTTCGTTGTAATCTCGCACATCTAATGAGTTGGTGTCAAGACACACCCCCCCCCCCCCCCCCAGATTTTAAAAAGCAAGGCTTTAAACTTTATAGTTACTAGTCATTAAATGTTCAGTGTTCATAGTTTATTTGTCTTTCTTTGTTTTGTCACAAGATTTCAATACGCATGTGTTTAAATATAACTGCATAGTCGGTGTCCTTTGGAAACATTAAAAAAGACTTGAAAGCTAAAATATTGCCTGACAATCAATATATCTCAGTATCGCCGATAAATAATTACCGATACAAAAATCATTATCAGTGTCACCGCTAAGAGTTAATAATGTTATATTTTTCAACTTTCATTAAGTTCATTGCTTTGTAGATATTGAAGTAGCTAGTACAGATATCTGATATGGTTTGGCAAAAGAAGCAAGGAGTAAGTTCTACAGTAGCCTTGACTTTGCCTGAATTTTAACCATATGATGTAAGATGGAAAATAAGACCTTTGATTTCTTGTCTATACATTATACATTACAAACTGATGATATATTTACTATTTGTATACTTATTTAGGCTGAGAAACAGATGTTAGATGAGGGACTAGACCATGAGTATGCCCCTATATCTGGGTTTCCTGCATTTACAAATGGATCTGCTGCCCTTGCATTTGGAGATGACAGCCCAGTTGTTAAAGATGGTTTGGTAAGAAAAGCACTTTCATGCACTTTGATACTTACAAGTATTTAATGAAAAATGTTAAAAAGGATATTTGATCATCGGGGAACTTTCATGCTTTTTTTTAAATTGCTTAATATTTCTATATATGTAAAAAGTATATAGTACTGTTTTGATATTTTCAAACTATTTCTTATAAATATTAAAAAAATAGTGAACTGCAAATTCTTAAAATTTCCTTTCTAAAATTATTTCTTAACAGTCATGTGATGTACATGTATAACTTGAAAAAGTTAATACTCAACCAAATGATGATTGAAATACTAAAGAAATAATCTACCAATAATTTTGTTTGTAGCTAGTGTAATTTTCTCCCTCTTTTTATAAAAAAACAGAATGCCACCACCCAAGGTGTGTCAGGTACAGGGTCACTGAGAATTGGTGCAGCATTTCTATCTAGATTTTACTCTAGCAAACAAATTTATTTCCCCTCACCAACCTGGGGAAACCATAATCCAATATTCAAGTAAGTGTAGATGTGTGGTTCATTTTCTACCATTTAAGTAACTTGTGATATTACTTCGCTTGGGCCGCCAGCATAACACTTAGTTAAAGTTTTGTTTTTACATCTCTTATCTTCATTTAACAAATATCTTTAGCTTTATGATATGATTGCAGAAGTTTTTTATTCCAACACTTTTAAGAGTTGAAAATTGAGTTCCACTCAAGCCAGTGCTAGGTGGATGTTGCACCTTATCATTATCCCTCATGTATAGACTTAATCAAACTGAGTCTGCATCTTTCATGTAATTTTGTTGTGATTAGTATTTCCGAGGGATCACACTTTACCCTAATTTATGTAGATGATAAATCTTGTTGTTTTTAGGGATTCTGGAATGAACATTAGCACTTATAGATACTATGATCCCAAAACTTGTGGATTTGACTTTAAAGGTGCATTGGAGGACATTAGCGTATGTACAGCATAGTTTACATATTCTTTTGCTTTATTTTAGTTTTCACAGTTGTGTTAAAAAAATAAAAGAAAGATTTGAAAATAGAATACATAGGATGCACTTTTGACAGAAAATGATACATTTGATATTATAGTTCAGACAAAATTTATTGAATTACATTTCAGAAAAACTGTTATTGAAAGTTGTTGGTGGAAAATATTGTTATTTGCAAGTTCCTGTTTAAAATAATTTCAAGAATTGTGTTTTAAAAAAAGTGTTATCGTTAGTTCTTGGTGAACAATATTTTGTTTGCAATTTATTGCAAGGTTTTAATTGTTTACCACTATATTGGAAGTTTAAATAAGATATTATAGGATGAGAGTAAATTTATTTTGATACTACATCCATGTAACCATATAAATTGTTAATTTATGACAATGTTTTAAAATATCTTTCTAAGATTGTACACATTAAGCATATCTCATAAAAAATGGATACAAACTTAAGGAGATTTTAAATGTTGAAAGTTAAGAAAAAGTACAAAAAAAATTAGAAGAATTTTCAAATTCAGTGTAGAGTACTTAATCTGACTTTATAGACTGAGTTACACCATGAATATTAAAAAATGATCATTATTTCAGAAAATTCCAGAGGGCTCAGTTATTTTGTTACATGCATGTGCACACAATCCAACTGGAGTAGATCCAAAGGTAAGCTTGTCAGTTAAAAAGTAATGAACCAACCAAGGTAATGAATGCATTATATACCTTGTATATAAGAGGTACTACACTGAAAAATCAAACATGTGAAATTAAGTCCCATAATCAACTTGCCCTGTTTTGAATCTAGAACAGTCCATAAATAGTACAATGGATTTCAGTTATCAAAAAAATAGTTGAGCAGCCTCTTCAGGGAATATATAATGATACCCCCCTATCCAAAATGCTATTTCCTTAATTCATTTAGACTGATGTACCTATGTCCATTACATATTCATGTTACAATACTTTGTATATACAAAAATGAATGATTATTGACAAAATGTTTTGAAATTTACAAATTAGAATGGAAAATCCCCAAAAATTGAGAAGATTTTCCCAAGTTGACCTGGTTCTTTGCTGTGTCTCTAGCAAATATCAGGCAGATTTGACTTAGATGATAGTTATGCTATTCAGGTTTACTAAAGTAATAGCTAAATATTTATAAGTGATTATTTTAAAAGTTTGAACTTTTCCCCAATTTTTATTGAACTAAAATTTCGGCATTTGAAGATCATGCCGTCACCTTAGTGCAGTAATCAGTTAACTCCTTACATAATTCAGGATGAGTTAATCTGTTACTGCACTTAAATGGCACTGTGCTCTTGTGAATGTAATTTACAAATCACCGTACGTACATAATCATTTTACAAATGTTTATCTTTCAACAGCCTGAACAGTGGCAAGAAATGAGTCAGGTAATCAAGAAGAGGAATCTGTACCCATACTTTGATATGGCCTACCAGGGATTCGCTAGCGGAGATATTAACAAAGATGCTTATGCTTTACGATTATTTATCAAAGATGGCCATAAACTATGTCTTGCTCAATCATTTGCTAAAAATATGGGTTTATATGGTAAGTGCACTATATTTTGTTACACCTTTCTGTATGATTTTGTCGCATTTCACAAACAGGTATTTGGTTCATCTGCATTAATTTGCCGACCTTAAATCTTTGTCAGTGTCACTCAAAGAACATCAAAGACGTTGCCGATTTTAACTGTGCACACCATTATGTGTCAATAACACAGTGGCTGTGACGCAGCAGAGCTACTTACTGCCAGGAAAAATTGCATGTAAACTATTGAACTCACTTGTGACATGTACATGTTTGGATAAACATGTGCAATTTATAAAAATTATAGATTTATTTCATGTTTTATTAAAATTAGCAGAGACCGGTTATAATTTTAACTTGCATGTTGGTAATTTAACTTGTTCCGGACTTTGGGCAAGTAAATTATTACCAAGACTCTATACGAGTTGTATATCAAAATGAAATTTAAATCGGCTTGAAGTTACTATCACAATTCAGTTATGTTTAAACTAAATTCAACTGGTTGTTACTATGACAATCATAGATAATCTGCATGCTTCAATCTGTTCTGTTGAGTGATGTTATGTTATTGTTATATAGGTGAGAGAGCTGGAGCATTTACTATTGTGTGTTCGGACAAAGATGAGCAAGCTAGAGTTATGTCACAGATCAAGATCTTAATTAGACCGATGTATTCAAATCCACCAATCCATGGTGCTCATATTGTATCAAAGGTGCTGAATGATAAAGCTCTCAGACAGGAATGGTATGAATCTTTATTTATTTGTGTCAGATATTTGGCGTGAGACATTGCGTAGTGAACCCTCATGGAGATTGTTTAAATTATAGCCCTGGGGTCAAAATTGGTCACACCAGGGGGGTGCGGGGGTTTTCCTTGATTTTCAGTATGTACATATAGTAAAAAGTTAAAAGAACCTCTTGTCTGAAAGTACAAGGCTTAGAGCTTTCATATTTGCTGTATGATATCCTCTATAGGTCCTCTACCAAAGTTGTTCAAATTTTGCCTGTGGTGTCAAAATTGGCCCTGTCTGGGGGGGGGGGGGGGGGGGGCATTGATTTTCATTATGTACACATAGTAAAAACAGAAACTAAAACAAATGTTTTCTAAATAGGAGAAAGCTACAGCTTAGATATTTGACATAAAATGTTGTTTGGTGGACTTATATCAAGATTGTTTGAATTAAACCCTTGGGTCAAAATTTTGCCCTGCCAAAGGGGACAGTGACCTACTTTCTTGTCCTTTGATGTACAGCCATGAAATTTTGACCATGTTCACAGTTTTAGTTGTAAAATTGAACTTGATATCAGGTGACTTAGATTTTGATGATGTGACTTTCTTTCTTGTCCTTTGATGTACAGCTATGAAATTTGAACTATGTGCACAGATTAAGATGTAAATTGAATTTTAATACCAGCTGACCTAGATTTTGACAAAGTGTCTTACTGTGTTGTCTTTTGATGTACAGTCATGTAATTTAGGCCATGTGAAATATGACCTTCACCACCAAATTCACTGGACTCAACTGCATTGATAGATCCCTACTCTGACCTTTTAATTGAATAACAATAGATTTAACCACAAACATTGATACACCGCCTCCGTGGTCGAGGGGTTAGAGTCGATGACTTCTAATTCAGGTACCTCTCTGGCGTGGGTTCGATCCCCGGGAGATGCTTTGGTAGTTTAGCGCGGAGGAAGGTAGTCTAGTACTGGTGTAACTCTCCAGGAACGATGGTTAGGAAACTACCCGCCTATATGACTGAAATACTGTTGGAAAAAGGCGTAAAATTAAACAAACAAACAAACAAACATTGACATGTGCTCTTTTGTTAACAAATACTACACGACTTTTAGTGTTGTATTAATGCGGTGGCATAGCATTTTTCACAAATGCAATCTTGTTTATATTCCTATGATTTCTTAGAAAAAGAAAAAAATATCTTCAAGTCGACAAAAAAAACAGTCTGAATGGGAGCATTTTGCTAGTGCACGATGACGTAGTATCCTACCATTGAGAATTTAGATAGCCAATTTCAAATAGTTTTAATTAAGAAGTTAAGTCAATTTATTGAATATGAAAACTGGAAGAATTGTATTTTACAGGTTGGGGGAGGTGAAAGGAATGGCTGATCGTATAATTACAATGAGGTCACAACTAAGGGATGGTTTGACACGTGAAGGATCCAGTCATGACTGGCAGCATATAACAGACCAGATCGGAATGTTCTGTTTTACTGGACTTAAACCTGACCAGGTAAAATTAATTTTATGTTATTGTCCTTGCAAATAGAGGTGTCATTCATAAATAAATTTTGGTATATTGTTGCATTAAAATGTGGAACATGCAAAACCTAGGTTTTTAGGTCAAAGTGATTGGACCTTTACCCAAACATATCATTTGTGGTCACTGAGGTCAAGTTCTTTAAATCTGAAATTATGTTTTATTGCTTAATTATTAAATTTTGGCATTTGCATTTGATCAAAGTTATTCTCTGCCATGTCGAATTCTGATGAGGGATAAAAGGGTTGTCATGATCGTCTGTTTTAAATTTATACCAAACATTGTTAAAAGTAATAAAAAATTAATCTTGACAGGGACTTTGGATTCTTTTATATGAGGAGCTATCCAGCTGGCTTATAGAGCGTTGATAATTCTAATCGGGGTGCCTGTTCATGCCTGAAATAATGTTCATGTCTTCCTCCACCAGTAAAGCTATTTCAGGGGAGCAGTGGCCTAGTAGTTAAGGTGTCTTTCTCTCAACCTGTGGATCATGGGTTCAATCCCTAATCGAGTCACAACCATGTTTCTTCATATGACACCAGTACTGGTTGGTTCGGGGAAGCGGACTCAAAAGTGATTGATAAAAATTGCAAGAATTTGTTTCACAATTGAGCTTTAATAGATATGTTTAAACCAGTAAAACTGCAAAGTTGCCATATGACGTAATCTGTGTTGATGAGACGTTAAACCCAACAAAATAATAATATAAAAAAAATATTCATATATATTATTTATTCAAGCAAATTCTATTCAGTGGATGTAAAAAATGAACACAATCTGTTATCATGTTGATTAAATACAACTTTTTATTGATGTTGCATTATTTTTGCCTTGGACAGAAATGAATTTATAACTTCATGGTTAATTTATTTATATATTTTTTCCAGGTTGAGAGGTTAACTAAAGAATTCTCTATATATCTAACAAAGGATGGTAGAATATCAGTGGCTGGTCTTTCCTCCAACAATGTGGACTATCTGGCACATGCCATGCATCAAGTGACAAAATAAATTCACAAACAGTAGTGTTAGATGTTTTTTTTAATCCCTCGTAAATTATTTTTGGACTTAGATCTTTTTTGAATAACACTGAATATTGAGAACATTGTTTTTACCTTTTTTGTTTGATTTTTGGATTACATTTTACCGAGATTGAGGGATACGGGGAGCGCTGGAGTGGGGGGTGAATTGAAACATATTTTTTTTTTTTGCTTGGTTCTTTTTAATAGCAGGTTGTTTTTCTGATGTATATTGAATATACTTTAAAAAAAACAGGTTCTAGTTCACAGTAGAGAACATTTTGCAATATCTAGAATTTTCATATTTGTATTTAAAAGTATTTTTCAGTTCTTTTAAAATAAAATACATTGGATTTGACCTAGGTAAAGGTAACAGGTTAAGACAAATCTAAGTGATTTACCAAAAATGCTTATTATTAGTACAAGGAGGAATATGTTTAAATTTTAGTTTCCTTTCTATTTGTTACCTGGCATAAAAGAAAAAGTTTTTTTTTTCTCCTTTCTTTCTTTTTTTTTCCTTTTTTGCTTTTAGTTGTTTAGTCCCAGGCAGTGTATATGTGTAAATAAAGCTGTTCTTTCAAATTTGTTGAAGAATACTGCAGATATGATTTGTATTAATCATGGCATTTCTTGTTTATGTACATTATCACTTACTGCTTACATATTGCAGATTATCTATATTTTATAACTGACACTATGTTTAATTTCCAACCTTTATTTTAAGATTTCGGTGCCAACCAGTAATAATTTTAGTGCATATTAAATTGTAACTGAACCAAATTTAGAATAAGATTTGTTTCATATATTTATTTTTTTACAAAAAAAAAACAACAACATTGAGATGGAATTATTTACTCAGCAACTAGGGTAAAAAATTTATAAGGAGTATATTCAAAATGATTTCATTCTTTCATTGTTATAAGTTTTACGTTTATGCTTTAACCACCATTGTTCTTACTTATCCTTTCAAACCTATAATAAACAGGTTTTTGTAAATGTACATAAACGTATTACAATTAATATCAACTTATGGTTTGTACTGTAATATATATATAACATAACTATAACAATATATACAGATGTATTGTTACAAGAAATTGATAAAAGCATAATAATTTTGAACAAGAGAAGAAGACTGCTGGAATAAATCACTTGGTTAGTTTGATTGGAGAATTTGTCATGTAATAGATGGAGTTATGTAAATGTAAGAATAAAATAGGTATGAATTACGCTGAGTGGTAATGGTCTTAGGACTATTTTGTTAAGCTAGTCAGAGGAGCACAGAAAAGTGTGAAGGTACTGCTGGTACAAGAGGACAATTTGAAGCATGCACAGAGAGTCGCTTTTGTGATTTTCTTTGAGGATTTGGTTGATTTTGGCCATGTGCCATCCATCATCATTCACCACTGTTTCAATGATTAAGTCAAGTAGTTTGGCAGTTATAAACAGAATATTGTTGAATAACTGCAGGTCAGTAAAATACTAATTAATCTTACCTAATAAAACTAACACTGTCTATATCATACCATTCTGTCTTGTATTTAATTAATATCTTGTATGCAACAGATACAAATCAAAATGCTGCTGTTGACATTTACAGCATACTACATGTATCCTCCAAATATGTGATGGTTCTTTTATTGATGGGGCTTTCTTTAGGGATTCTTATTTTCTCTTTTTTACCATATTGAAAAAGCAATTGAAATCCTGTTTGATTACATTTAGGAGATAGAAATTGGTAAATAAGATTATAATAGTGAATTTGTTATCTTTCTATAAGCTATGTTACAGTTATTATAATGTAAGATCATCTATCCATTTAAAGAAATGTACAATATATTGTAAAAATTGTTGAAGGAAAATTATCACTTGATTAAGTTGTTTTAGTATTATTATTTGAGTTTTAAAATTTAAATTCTTTTGAACTTTGAAAATTGTCAGAATGTATGAGCATTTAGTTTGAAAAAAAATTATGAAAGAAAGTTAATTTTTTAACTTGTTAAAGTATTATAAAAGAAAGTTTATTTTACTTAAGAATTATGTTAGAAAGTTAATGTTTTAACTTAAGAGTTTCATATTTGAGACCTAAGAGTAGTGTAACATTTCTTTTGAATTCACCGTATTTTTTTTTTCACCACTATTTAAACAGAGTGAAAAGAAAGTAAATTTATGTTTATTTTCATCAGCTGTCAAATACAGAAATCATATCAAAACTTATTTATTTTATATAATTTCTGTTTGATATGATTTCTGTTGATAAAATAACAAAAACACCTGAATACAATAATTCGGGCATTGTAGATTCTAAATATTTGAAAGCACTGTAGAATAGTTCTTGCCACTTTGATTGTACACTTTGTTTTAGATCTGTACATACAACTTACAAGTGCTAATATTTTATTGTAAATGTCTGCTTGCAGAATATCACTACACAAAAATTTTTATATTGTAGAACTTTCAACGATTAAAGATAAATAAATATATTATAACAGTAAATTATAGTACTTTTATTTCCTAAGACAAGAAATAATTTCCAGTTTTTGCTTCTAAAAAAATTAACTTTATAGTAAAACCGGTGAACAAAGGTCATCTAAGGGAGATACTGAACACGGCCGTTACAGACAAGTGGTCTTTTTTGTAAGTTACCCTGGTCTTTTAAATAAAGGGTTAGCGAAAATTGGCCTTTATTGACAATGTGACCATTATCCAGAGGTGGTCTTTACCCATGTTTGATTGTAGATTGTTCTTTGTCGGGGATTGTTATATAAAAGGCAGACAATTTCAAATGCATATGATTAAATCATTTTTGGCCGGGTTGCACTGGTGCAAACCCGGGTTATAGTATGGTGAATGTTGGGCGGCGGGCGGGCGGGCGGCTGAAAAAACTTTCGTAACAGTTTTCTCAGCAACTACTTATCACAGCCTTTTGATATTTGGTATACAGCATCAACACATGGTCCCATGCTGTGGGATTCGATTTCAGGTCTGTCGCTCATCTACTTCCTGTTTGCCGACCTAGTAAAATTTTCAGCATTAATGGTCAATAGTAGGAAATTTTCGTAACAGTTTTCTCAGCAACTACTTATCACAGCCTTTTGATATTTGGTATACAGCATCAACACATGGTCCCATACTGTGGGATTCAATTTCAGGTCTGTCGCTTATCAACTTCCTGTTTGCCGACCTAGTTAAATTTTGATCATTAATGGTCCATAGTAGGAAATTTTCGTAACAGTTTTCTCAGCAACTACTTATCACAGCCTTTTGATATTTGGTAAACAGCATCAACTCATGGTCCCATACTGTGGGATTCGATTTCAGGTCTGTCGCTTATCAACTTCCTGTTTGCCGACCTAGTTAAATTTTCAGCATTAATGGTCAAAAGTAGGAAATTTGCGTAACAGTTTTCTCAGCAACTACTTATCACAGCCTTTTGATATTTGGTATACAGCATCAACACATGGTACCATAGTGTGGGATTCGATTTCAGGTCTGTCACTCATCTACTTCCTGTTTGCCGACCTAGTTAAATTTTCAGCATTAATGGTCCATAGTAGGAAATTTTCGTAACAGTTTTCTCAGCAACTACTTATCACAGCCTTTTGTTATTTGGTATACAGCATCAACACATGGTCCCATACTGTTTGATTAGATGTCAGGTCTGTTGCTAATCTACTCCTGTTTGCCGACCTAGTTAAATTTTCAACATTAATGGTCAATAGTAGGAAATTTTCGTAACAGTTTTCTCAGCAACTACTAATCACAGCCTTTTGATATTTGGTATACAGCATCAACACATGGTCCCATACTGTTTGATTTGATGTCGGGTCTGTTGCTAATCTACTCCTGTTTGCCGACCTAGTTAAATTTTCTACATTAATGCTCAATGGTAGGAAATTTACGTAACAGTTTTCTCAGCAGCTACTTATCACAGCCTCTTGATATTTGGCATACAGCATCAACACATGGTCTCATACTGTGGGATTCGATTTCAGGTCTTTCACTCATCCACTTCCTGTTTGCCAACTTAGTTAAATTTTCTACATTTATGGTCAATGGTAGGAAATTTTCGTAACAGTTTTCTTGGCAACTACTTATCACAGCCTTTTGATTTACAGCACTATCACGTGGTCCCATACAGTGGGATTTTATTTCAGGTCTGTTGCTCATCCACTTCCTGTTTGCCGACTTAGTTAAATTTTGACATAATTAATGATCAATAGATAGTAGAAATTTTCATAACAGTTTTTGTCAGCAACTACTTACCACAGCCTCTTGATATGTGGTTCACAGCATTGACATGTGGTCCCATATTGTGGGATTCCATTTCAGGTCTGATGCTCATTCTTTTTCGGTTTACCAACTAAGTTAAATTTTCAACATCAATGGTCAAGACAGTGGTAGAAAATTTAAGTAACATCACAGCCTCATGATATTTTGTATACATATGCAACCCGGCCTTTTCTGTCTTTGACCCATTTTAATAATACATGTATAAAGAAATAATTGAGAAATTAGAAATATTTGAATATCTGCTTTGGGGGAGAGGTGATGCGGACGGATGCAAGTTGTACAATGGTTAATTTTGCTTAAGATAGTTCCTCACCATACCTATAATAAAGACGTTAGACCAGTTGTTTACACACTTGAACAGAAACATGTTCTGAGAAAGATTGCATTTCATTTGTATCTGAACCCGCTTTGACAACCAATATACAAACTGAAGCTTCTTTAAGACGGAGTTACTCCAGGAAACATGAACGAACAGGCGTACGAACGAATGAATGGATATTTTCTTATATTGGTTCATATTGCAACCTGCCTATGACATAAACCAGGCTAGTAATAACGTTGGGTCAGTGTATATATAATATTCTACGTCATCAACAATGTAAGATTAATGAGGAAAAATGATACTTTCAACAATATTTTGTAGGAACATTTATATCTGCGGATGTCCTATTAAAAAAATTGCACCATTTTTATGTTTAAATGTTGAGTTTTGCGTAAGCTTGGTATTAAATCACTGACCATCAAAACCAAACATAGTCTGCTGCAACAATTTCTGTGTTGGTCTTTGTTTAAATTTTCCATTTTGTCGATTTCATTGTATAACTTAAAAAAAACAAATACCCGACCTTTCGCATTTTTGTCGTATTAAAGTTATAAATACTTCATTAAATCAGGTTATCTTCAACAAAACCATTTCATTTTATTGAGTTAAAATCCGAAAAATGGTTGGACATAAAACTTTTGTGAAATTTTAGCATTTTTGGCCTAATATCTTTATCAATATTTAGTTATTTGTACACGTCAAATATAACATGCAAAATTTTTCTATTATTGGCACACTTAAATCAATAATCTTATCTATATACATTTATTATTAAGTGTAGAAAGTAACACGTGCCCAGTCGATCATTTAGTTCAACACAGTCGTCCGCGAGTGTCATCTACAATAGTCCAGACTTGTTTCAATATGGAGGAACTGAAAAACTCGTTTTGCGGTACCTGGAACCATGCCCGGGACGAAAATTTCAGAGAATCAATGGAAGCTAGCAGTAAGTTTATTTTTTTCTATTTTATATAGTAGATCACTGTCTTATCCGAAATAACGTCTATTTTGATTTTTTTTTCAAAACGCTGTATTTTTCCCTGTCTGAAAAGAATACAGTACATTATTTCTAACCATACCATTTTTCTTTGTTTTCCATTTGCGTTCTTGCATTCTAGCTTGTTCTTTTTTCGTTATGCGTGCGTGTAATGCGTACGAATTATGAGTTAATGAATAAAACACTGTTGTACCAAAGGTGCTTGTGGCATTGATTTGACCTAAATATGTTTAATGCAACATAATATAAAAAAACTGTTGTTTTTTTATCTTCTATATAACAATAAAGCAAACAAAAAACTGATTTTTTTCTTGTTTTATTTTCTTTTAATGATTTGATATTACATTTCATAAATAACGAGATTAAACATATTTTAGGTCAAATCATTGCGACTGGCACCTTTGTGATGAACTGATGATATCTTATGGAAGACGATGCTTTTACTGTTGAAATCCTTCTTTTCTTGAAGTATTGTATATTAATAGTTATAATGTTCATATGTTTATATTGATCCCCGAAACTATCACTATGGCTGTTTGTAAAAGATGGAAAATTAACCTCATTCCGCGCTTTTTCAGACTATACTCCGCAAAATTTAGTTTTAGTTCTGTGCATCATTCTTTGAATGGTATACTTTATAAAGCAAAATTCTCAAATATGAACCTTCACTGGCCATTAATACATTAAACCCTGTTTAAAAATACGACCCAACCGTGAAACTGTTATCCAACTTTTATAAGTATGATAGGAATCTGTTTTCCCACATTTGTAATTGTGGAGATAAACCGTATTCCCACTTTTGTTATTATGGTGGGAAAACATATTTTCAATTTTGTATGTGCGGCGGGAACCGTATTTTCTAAGACCAAAAACAAAAGTAAATACCGTCTGGCTTATTCAAGTTTTAACTGTATAGAAAAAAATATACATGTTGAAAAAACTAATCAAGGTAGTTAAACAAGTATTTACTCTGTCTAGACGAAAAAAGCAAACATTAAGATAAAGACAGGCACTCGTATGATACTCTAAAACTTAGAACATATTTGTTCAACAATTATTTGTGCAAATATTTAGAATCTATTCATATTGCTGTCACACAGACTATGACAAAGGGATGAACAATTTGCAATGTAATTTTTACACTTTTCATTGAACTTTCAACTTGTAAATCATTTTTCGTACAGACACGTATTTTTACCTCACATTAGCATACATCATAATCTGTATGTTTTCATTTATCTCAATATTTACATACGTTTTGTTTAAAATCGAACATGCATTTATATCAAAGCATTGAGGGCGTCGCATGTTACAACTAGACACCGTGCTGTCCCGTGACTAATCTGTACATCGCAATATGGTATGGGTTATTTTTAAGCTGCCTTACAACATTTAATACGCCGTGTTATGGACCTAAAATGATTATTTGTGCATCTTTTAAAAGCTGACTTAATGCTGGTATCAATATATGATTGCAGAGCAAGTTTCCTAGGTCCCCGTTGGAAAACTAATGTGTGTGCGTGCATGCGTTGGTGAATTCGTTGGTGCGTGCGTGCGTGTGTGTGTGTGTGTGACATTTTATAAACAGCAATCATTTTCTCAGAATGCAAATTTTCATGTCATAAGCTAGATTCTGAACAAACCATATGCTCTCTATAATCTCTCTTTTACGGCGTTTTTTGTTAAAGGCACATTATGTCATGGAAATACATACATTTTCTCTTTTTAAAAAAGGGCAGATAAGAATTTGATAATAATTAAATAATGGTTTAAGATAATGTTAGATATTATATTCCCTAAAGAAAGTAGCGATAAATGTGAATAAATTTGTCGTGAAGGTAGCAAAATGTAAACAAAGTAGTATTTTGACTTCCATACAAAATACTGATTCACTATTACTGTATTCATGGCCTAAAAGCAACAGCTGAATGGTTCAGGTAATTGGCCAATGAGTAACCTTTTGGATACTATAAAGGTACCAAATTAAACAAAAAAAGATTTTGAGAAATGAAAAAAAGAAGCATTCCTGAGGCATAATAGGCTTTTAAACGGTGGACTATCATTTTTTAAATTCCTTTTACAGAAATGGCAAAAGAAGACATAGATTTTATAACGTCCACGAAACCGACGATGACAATAAAGGTTGAAGGAAACAAGGTTGTCCACTCTACGGAACTGATGAAAGGCGTAGTTGATGACGTCACTTATGAGCTAGACAAGGAGTTTGAAGCAAAAGATAAGAAATCACCAGAGAATCCCTTGTACCATAATAAGGTTTGATTTGCAAGACCTAATAACTTCTAAACAGCCATTATTTTCTTCATATTTCAAATTGACAATCCAGTATGTCACAATTCTCAAATGGTAGCTTTATTGTACACTCAAATAAACTTGCCTCCAGTCAAAGCCATGCTTAACTCTGAGAATTAGACCATTAACCTGATGGAACCCAAAGTGTTTAGCCTTTTGATTTGCCACCAGTGAAGGTCCATGATGCAAACCCACATACAGAACACATTACATTACATTAAAGAAGTAAAAACATTACAGAAGTAATTAATATAAAGGCACATTGAATCTAATTTCAAAATGTAATTTCGTTAAATGGTCAGTTATAAGAATAAATAAATAAATAAATAAAATAAATTATGTTTTACAGGTTCTATGCACCTTTAAAGACGGAAAACTTACATACGAGAGCAGATCTCAGCTCACTGGTCCTAGGAAGTTCGACAACGTCACTGTTATATACATTAAGGATGGTGAACTTGTTTCGGTAAAGTTGATTGTGTTATAAAGCTATCAAGTACATGCAAAGAGGAACATAAAATATTTAGTACATTCTATCCCACTTTTATTAAATGCATCGGAAATGAACACATTCCTGCTCTGGTCACCATGTCAACTCAATCAAAATGGGTAAGATATGGAAATAAGTGGAAATAAGTGTGTACTGAAACCTCGTTCAGTAATTGTTAAAAATGTTTGTCATGCAGGAACATAAATTAATTGTAAGTGACAGAATTTACCTAGCAACAACATTTTTACTTTGGAAGAAAATGCTTCCATTTACAAAATGTATGCAATGTAGAGGCCGTAAAAATATAGCAATCCTTCTTATTTTCTAAACTCATATGACGGACCGAAGAAATCTTAAACTTTATTAAAAGAAGTTGAGTCCATTATTTCCCGATTAGAGCTAAAATAAAACTTAAACGGTAGCGGCGTCCTTATGGTTAAGGTGACTGCCTCTCGATGTAAGGTTCGTGGGTTCGAGTCCGACTTGAGGCATGACCAAGATTCTCGTTTGACATCAGTACTGGTTGTTGCAGGAAGCGAACTTGAAAGTGATTAATATCAGTTGTAAGAAGTTTTTTGTTTGTTTCTCTTTTGCATAATCGAGCTTCATATCTTGGCCTGCTCTATGCCTGTTACAAGTACTGGATTCTATAAAATATTATTGACAAAAAAAAATGCCTAACATTCAATACACCACAGATATGAGTTTGATTAGATTCCAATATGTAAATATTTCAGGAAACAAGCCCGATGGATGACCGCAGCATTGTCGGTAAAAGATTCTACAAAAAAGCATGAAGAAAAATTATCGAAATTCTCAGGATTTTAAGGCAGAATTCAGCAGTTATATTATTTTGTTAATCTATGAATCTATTAATTTTAACTGAGATGAGTACGTTAATTTGTGATAATAGAAGAATGTGTTCTCTCCAAATTATAATACCAACATTTGAATTTATGATAATTATCTTAAATTATTTATATATCCTTAATTGCTGGTGTTGTTAACAACTGCTTTATCATAAGGTAAATCATCCATATCAATTGATCTATATTTCGTCGAGTTGCCGTAATCCAAATGAGACAATTATATCTATACATTAAAATGATCTAATACTGTTTTAATGAAATATCGCAACTTAACTTTTAGAATAAGAAATATAACCAATTTATTGTAATGTATATCTCTAGAATATCTATTAGCGTAATTCATTAATTACTAATGTATTTATATTTCTTCTGATTATTCAAATGCAATAAAATGTTTGAACTATAAACGTATTGTTGTTTTTCAATGTTATGTAAGACGTATTTTAGGATTTGCATTCTCCAGGCTCATGAAAAAAGGAACACTGTGCATTTATGTGTGGTCACAATAAGTTTCACATGTAATTACTTGCGTTAAAGTGGCATTTATATGCTCATTTTATCATTGGTCATTGTCAAGTTGAGCTTAATTTACTGAATAATATTTCAAAAGACTGACTGTTAAAATCATTATTGAACAACAATTGATATTGAAAAATGTTTAGGATAAATTATGAAGCAACATAAAATATAAAAGGACTGCCCCACTCTTTTTACAAATTGAACGTTACATGTATTCGAGGGGTATTTGCAGAAATTTCCTTGCGTCACGTGAGTTATTTATCGTTCTAGCGACGTTAAATTATAAATTGAAAGGAGTTATGGCAAAATGTAAACTAATTTTGACTTTCACCAATGAACTTACTATATACCCTTGCATGGACATAAAGTCATATAAAATGCAATGAAGAAAATATTTTGTATGATTGAAAAGATAGAGACCAGACAGATAACTCGCTCTTGCCGACTATAGGAAGCATTTGCGTAATCACAGGAGATTGACATTATATATAAATACACTTTTTTATTTATAGTATAGAGGGGTATATTTGCCGTTTTTTTTTGTTTTGTTTTTTTGGCCTATAGAATGTCATTTTCCTGTGGCGTAATACATGCATAAGTGTGGTTCACAGTTCAAAATATGGGCTGAAAAAAGACGCCTTATATGAACATGTCTGTCTGTGGCTACATTTGGACATGCATTTTGTGATACATGTCATGGTGTCGTATTAATTTTTAGAATAGAAAACTGCGGAACACTGACTTAAAGTCTTATTCATAGCCCAGGTAAGGGACAATCTTGTAGGCTTATTGTCTTATCCAGCGTAGCCTAATTTATTCACACTGCTGCACAACGTGAAGTGTGCAGGGTAAATAAAAGGAGCACACAGTACCCAGTGCTAACACTATTTAACTTCGCGAGTTTGACCCTCCGCTTCTTCAACAAAATAACTAAAAAGTCTTGCCGACTTATTTGAAAAACCCGAAGTCCCGTATAATGGTGATTAAGATAATGTACGTTAAATAACAAGTAGTAGTAGTCTCGATTCGTGTTATTTCTGTATACTTAGTGTCAGTCGCTAGAACTTAAAAAAAAGAACTATCAGTTTTTTCGCGTGAGACACACACACACACACACGCGCACGCACACACGCACCCACGCACGCAAAAGCACACATACACACACATTATTGTGGCTGATTTGGTACACTTTGCGCGTATATATATATACAATGTGACATCGCGACAACACGCTGTACGACAACGCTCCGTTTGGTGAGCTTCGTTAACGACGGGACGATAAGACGGCAGTGCGACAACGCGCCGTTTGGCGCTTTGTCTAGCTGTCGCTAGCGACAACACGACGCACAAAAGTGTTCCAAATCAGCCACCATACAAATCAGATGTGAATCGTGGGCAAACAACATTTTCATACATATACTCATAATTTCAGGGGCTAATACAAGTTGATTTTTTTAAGTAATAACCAATTCTCATAATCTAATAATCCCCCAGAAGAACAAAAAATACCAGTCACGGTGAATATAGAACGTTCTTAAATCGATAAGAATTATGCGTGATCCGATATAGATTATTTTTTGAAGTGTTCAAAATGTCAAACTTATGCATTTTAACAGTGCATTTAGATTAATGTTTTCATTTAGTTTATTCATTTCTTGACCGATACACCATATAGTCTTGCGTGTGGTCGACTGGGAACAGTGTGGTTATAGTATAAAACTTAAAATCAAACAATGGATGAATTCGAGAAGTTATTTAGTGGGTCATGGGTATGTGACAGGGACGAAAATTTGCGAGAAACTATGGAAGCGATGAGTAAGTGTATGCATATTTTAATGATAAGTATTTTCTGCTCAAAAATAAGTGTATAAAATTTTCTGCGGAGCTTCAAATTACATCTTTTCGTTTGTCAGAAGTACAAATCATAGACTTCCGTTTTATCAATTAAGAGTTACTTTATTAATTCGCTTGTTACAATAATGCATCGAAGTGAAGCAAAGTCGCCATATGGCTTTGAGTGGTGGGGTTTTAACTGGTGGGGTTTTGTCCGTCTTCCGGCTTTTACTGTGTCGTGCTATAAACCCAAACATAAAACAATTGCATTAACTGCTATAGTACAATGTCATATCGACTTGGATGTATTATTTTTGTATTGCTGCATATACATTGTATGTTCTGTCAATCAAGTTGTGATGGATTGTTTCCTTTAAAGATTCATGCTCATTTTCATGAAAATTTAAAAGAAGTAAAATATTGTTAATGGAACAAAAGAAGTAATTTACACATTACAAATATGTATTAAAACTTTTGTTAAACGTGATAATGGAATATCTTTAAAAAAAATACGTTGTAGAACATGACATAAAGCAGTTGTTACTGACGCAAACTGTAATTAAGTGTCGTGTAACAGTTATAAGGATGAACTCGTTATCAAAGTTGGTTTTTACCATCTGTCACAAATAGGTGTTATCCAAGACTACAATTTGGGATCCGGGGTACGAAATACTAACAAATCTGTAAATACTGTTATGCTCTTCATCTTTGGAGGAAATAAAAGTATCTATCTATCTATTATAATCAATGTATTTTGCTGTAGTTGTTACTGTAAAAAATGTGTTTGTACCGCGGGATTTGATAGGGGGGAAATGAAAAACAACATATCTGCCGAGTTCCGGAGTATCTCTATTCTATGGTAGATAATTTGGTACACTGTGTGCGTTGCATTGTCGTTAGCGACAACACATAACTGTTATCATTACCGCCGTTTCGTCTTGTCGTCTTGTCGATAGCGAAACGTGCCAAACGGCGCGTTGTCACACTTTCGTCTTGTCGTCCTGTCTCTAGCGAAGCATGCCAAACGGCGCGTTGTCGTGTGGCGCGATGTCGCCCTGTCGCTTAGCTTATAAGCCAATTCTTCGATTTGAGCCGAGCGACAACGCGCCGTTTAGTGTGCATCGTTGGCGACGGGACGACAAGACGAAAGTCCGACATCGTGCCGTTTCGCGCCTTGTTGTGCTGTCTCTTGCGACAACACGACGCACAAAAGCGTTCAAAGTCAGTCACCATACTATTCTACAAAGTATTCTCTTGATCTCAAGTTGTTATCTCCCTTCTTTTCTATAAATTGATTTCACATAAACGCATCGAAAGTTCCTTGAGAAATTTTACCAGTATATTTAGCATTAATTCCGTCTGTTTCATTTTCTGTAAAGAAATGCCAAAAGAAGAAATGGAGTTTTTCGCGACAATGAAGCCTGAGATCAAAATAGAACGAAAAGGAGATAAGATACATCACTCTACAAATATGGGAAAAGGAGTAATACACGATGTCATATATGAGCTTGGGAAAGGATTTGAATCTAAAGATACGAATGAGCCGCCATTATACCATAACAAGGTACAGTAAAATCGGGTATGTGGTACCTTCACTTTGTCTTCCGCTTAACTGGGTAAGGTTGGGAAAAATGCAAATACGTAAGGGATTATGAATGGAGTGTAATTTGACTTATTTGCCGAGTCATTACCTCAAAATGATGATTAAATCATTTGCTTTTGGTGCTAAAGCACTTTGCACGAAAGATGAATAGGATAGCTATATCATGACACGATGCATTGGGCTTAAAATCTTCTGTTTGGTTTCATTTTGATACATTATTTATAGTAATTTGTTAATTCAATGATAACAAACCATTTCCAAACAAAATCCATTTGCTCTCATTTAGTAAGGTATTTGAGGTGTAGGAGTGCATACAATAACTGAACCCTTTAAACGAACAATGCTCAATATACTTGCTACTTTGTTGCTGTTAGGCATTTTTAAACTCCAGTGCTTGCCTGTTTAGGTGTATTTAACCCCAGTGTGTGCCTGTATTAAGCATATCAAACATCATGCATTGTATGTATAGCTTAGACGTTTTAAATTCATGGTGTCCTTTTTTATTTTTGTTTCCTTTAGCATTATGAAACAGTTGTGTTTTCAGGTAAATTGTAGATTTGAAGATGGAAAATTGATCTTTGAGAGTAGATCACAACTTACAGGCCTCATGAAGATTGATACATTAGTTGTCATGTACAGGAAAGGCGATGAACTTATATCGGTAATTTATATACACATGTACAGATCACGTATATATATATGTGTGTATACTTCTTTACAGTTAATGATTTATTGTACTGATTTTTTTGTAAGATACTGGTTTATTGTACTAATTATTCTTGTAAGAAAATGATTTCTTGTAAAGATTATTCTTGTAAGCTACTGATTATTCTTGTAAGATACTGATTAATTATTAAGATTATTCTTAAGTATCTTATAAAAATAATCAGTACAATGAATAGCTATCTTACAAGAATAATCTTTACAATAAATCAGTATCTTACAAGAATAATCTTTACAATAAATCAGTATCTTACAAGAATAATCTTTACAATAAATCAGTATCTTACAAGAATAATCAGTACAATAAATCAGTATCTTACAAGAATAATCAGTACAATAAATACTGATTTATTGTAGAGATTATTCTTGTAAGATACTGATTTATTGTAACGACTATTCTTGTAAGAAATTTATTTATTTTAACGATTATACTTGTAGATATATTAATCGAGTTTTTGTTTTGATTATTATTGTTAGATACAGATTTATTTTAACGATTATTCTTGTTAGATATTGATTTATTGTAATGGTTATTCTTGTTAAATATTAATTTATTGTATTGATTATTCTTATAAGATAGTGATTCATTATGACATATTTTATTTTTCAGGATAATTCTCCTCTTAGTGACCATAGTATCATCGGCAGGAGAATTTACAGAAGAGCATAACCATATCTTTATTATAGGATAATAATATTATAATTGTGAAGTGTATCCATGACAACAAGGAAGGTTAAATGTTCCAGACAGACCTTAAATTGATATGTCAAGAGAGACAAATATTATGTAAATATATATATGAAGCATTTGAAATACGTCAGTGTATTGTTAATATGATATCTGAATAAGCTCATTACTGTATGTACATTTTTAAATTAAATAAATATACAAATTATCCGTATTATGATTCAATAATTCATTAAATATATTACTGATTTTGGCAGTGATTTAGATTTGTTATGACTATATGTATCATATTTCATGCAAATATAACTGTCTACAAAATTGGGCCATGTTGACAAGTTATATTGTATCATTGTATATTATGTGTTGTGTAGCAAGAAACGCCATGTCTACATCTAAAAATAAATATTTTGAATCTTGAAAAAAAATATCTATAGACAAACTAATGTGTAAGAAAACGCATCAAACAGTGTTTGTATTATTCAATAGTTTAACCATGATTGTAATCGGGTATAAATAAATTAAGAGAAACACAATGCCAGTAGCCCGGGGGGGGGGGAATTATCTATCATATCTTATATTTTGTCAAATTTAGATTTGTGAACTGGTGAATTTTTTAAAATGTATCGTGTAAAGTATTAATACATAAATGAACTCTTCTGTAAATACCAGTTAGTGTCAGTTTTACTAGAAATAGATAAATAGTTTACTTCATACTCTGATTTACCATCTCGGGTATACTTTATATGACACAATGATAGAGTAAAGAAACTAAAATAAATTACCCCATGAAGCCCATAAATGCTATCATGTTAAATTCTTTTTCTTAATTCACTTTTTGGCGGTCTGTAGTTTAAAATATCTGCAATTTGTCTCAGTATTCGTCCGAGTAAAGTTCGCTGTAATCGAGATCTTTATTTTTCAACTTGCATGTTCATGTTATCTGGGTATTCATGTTTTGTTACCGTATATTGCTCGTGATGCGATCGATATACACCATGATTTTCTATAACACTGTCTATAACATTGACATACCAGATCGTTTAAACTAACCGGTAATGAGATTTGTCTTGAAACATGGAGGAATTTATTAAGATTTTCGGTGGCACGTGGATATACGAAAATGGTGAAAATATTGAAGAATCTTTAAGAGGATTAAGTAAGTCTTTTTGAAATTGTTATAAAAGCTGCTTTGGAAAAAATGACTAAATTGGGCTATAAATCTTGACAAGACCATTTAATTATTTTAGTGAAAATTTCAAAATATACATGTATAATGACTGCCGTTCTGTACTAATCTTGTTACAAGAGTAGATGCTGTAACCGCCAGCGGGATATGCCATATAGCACTGTGGGTACATACGTGTGTGTTTGCCTGTATGCTATATATGTTTATATAGTTAATTGTCTCATTTTTTACATATCACATACATGTATATATTAAAAAATCACATAGCATTTCCATGTAAAAACAGCTTTATGGGGACACTTTTCATTGTTTGAAACATGATAAAATACTATGTTTGATTAAACGTGGTGTTTTGGTAGTCCCGACTATCTTTATACAAAACCAAAGAAATAACAACTGTGCTGTGCGCTGGCAAGAAATGCTAATTGCTTTATTGTATGTGCACGATTTTACATGATACATGTTTATCAAATATTAAGTAAACCAAAACTGAGAAAATGATGGATGAATACACATTCTACCTCAGTATATAATTATCTAATATATGATTAGTTATAAAGATTTTTGACATGTTATATGACCCTATATAAACAGTTGTTTGTAAATATAACCAGACCCGATAGGCGAGGGTTATATTGCAAACAACTGTTTATATAGGGTCATAATTATAATCAGTCAAAAATATTTATAACGAATTTTAAGCAAACACAGCAAGCATCATTTTATATGTACTGCGAGATAAATAAAGATATCAGCGAAAAGTTATCATTATCGAATAATTCAAGATTTTTTCTTATGTCAGGGCAAATGATTTTTTTTTTTTTTTTTTTTATTTTTTTTTTACAGAAACACCAGAAAATATGATAGCATTTCTCGCAAACAGCAAACCGACGATGACAATCGAACAAAGAGGGGACTCAATCTTCCACAGAACAGAAGTAGCACCGGGAGCTTATCTTGATATCACTTATCAGCTAGATAAAGAATTTGATGCTAAAGATCCCAACGACCCGCCATCGTATCATAATAAAGTAAAAGACAAAACAAAATAAAATAAAAAAACGAACGAAAGTCCTGTTTAATTGTTGATTATATCATGACATATCATGACAGCTTTATATTTGTTATACCACAATATAGGTAAATGTTCCTTTTTCTAATAGTCATATTGATGATTATGATAAATTATTTACATATGGTAATGAAGTATAAATATGATTGCATTTCATGTTTTTTTTCATGTTTATTGTATGTTCACCAACTTCAAAGAATTTAGTTTACACCTGGTCACAAAGCCGCTTAATTTCCTTACTGAGTCTCTCACTCCGTTTATGACAGCCACCATTATGACGTAACGGAACTCTGTCGCAATGTTCTTTAGAAAATGTAAACATCTCATTACAACCTGTAAGACCCTTTAAAAATCTTTGAACTCTTTCAAAGACATTAAAGCATCCCAAAATTTCTTTTTCATTTGGCAGGCATTAGTAACATTCAACAACGGACGGGCAGAGTTCACGAACCGGACTCAGTTGCCTAATGCAGAAGATAATTTTACGGTATTTACCGTATCTGGGGACAAGCTTACCTCGGTAAGTTTCTTTTACATGAAGTTGCAATGAAGTCAATTGTGTGCAGCATGTTTTCAATATTTCCATGTTAACATACATTTATGATCAACATTAATGTATTTTCTAATATCAAGCGGTGACAAGCAAGGATGAGCAATATATAGATGTAAATATATTAATTGTTAAACTTGATTGGATGTCCTATATTATCACCTCTACCGAAAGACGCATATAACCATGACCTTATCAATCATGTCTGAACGGGCTTTTATAAATGTATGTTTGAAAAAAAGAGCTGCATGTATTGATTTAATTGATAAAATTGAAATACAGCAAGCATTGTGTGTCTTATATTATCTGATCATGACGCTCGTTTTCAAGTTGAAACCTCGTAATCTAAACTCCGTGCAAAATACCAGCCGTATCGTTTGTAAATGATATATTTGATATGTAAAAAATGTTTTGAATATACAAACTTTTCTTAAATGAGGGAAATGCTTTAAAAATACAGTGGAAGTAATTCGATTACTATAACCTTTGCTGAAGTCTTTTATTAAGTTTTCGTCGGATACCAACGGTTGATTAGCATGTAATGATAATGGTTCAGCCGTGGGTATCCGGTGGTGTTATTTAGTAAGAGAGTTTGGACACTTCAGTTAAACACATTTTGAATGGCATAATATTGTTAATACTGTTAACATTTATAGTGCTATTCTAATAAGACATTTTTTCTTATACAGGAAACAACCGGGCTTGAAGGAAATAAAAAGAAAGGCGTTGTAGGTCGAAGGTTTTATATAAAGAAGAAATAAAATGACAAATTCCTACAAAAGTGGCGAAATATAACTTCTTCCATGTTGTTTACATTTTAGAGATTAAATTATAGTTCTTTAAAACATACATATCATGATAGCTAAAGCTAGCAAAAGATTTATCCAACAGCAGCTGCTATCATATAATATATGTATGATAGTCGAGAACATTAATGAAGTGACTAGGTAAATTACATGTAAACATCTTTAGAGATTAAGACGTATATGACATTATGATTAATCAGGGCTTTTCAAATAGTTTTTGAAAAACCTTGAATTAATAAAGAATATTTTACAAATGCGTTTGTTTGTGTTTCTTTCATATCACTTGAAATAGATATGTGTATCACATTACTTTTTAACTGAATCAAATTTAAGAAAAAAGATATATATCTTTCAACAAATGGCATATATATGAGTTTCTACATATTATTTGTAACCTACATATTTTAGCATCGAATGAATCATATAAAATGGATTTAACAGTAGGTACATCTTTTCTACATGTTAGCGAGGTGATTAGAAGCTGATGTATACGGTCTTGGGAAATTATTTATTTTGGGACTGCGGTAAGCTGTCTAGTTTTTGTAAATATATTTTTGGACTGATGTTTGTGGTCTTGGGGAATTATATTTGTTTGGACTGCATGAAGCGGTCTAGGATATTATATCTGTTGGAGATACAGTAAGCAGTCTTTGGGGATTATATATCTTTGGGCTGCAGTAAGCAGTGGTAGAGAATGTTATCTGTTGGAGATACAGTAAGCAGTCTTTGGGGATTATATATCTTTGGGCTGCAGTATGCAGTGGTAGATAATGTTATCTGTTGGAGATACAGTAAGCAGTGGTAGATAATGTTATCTGTTGGAGATACAGTAAGCAGTCTTTGGGGATTATATATCTTTGGGCTGCAGTATGCAGTGGTAGATAATGTTATCTGTTGGAGATACAGTAAGCAGTCTTTGGGGATTATATATCTTTGGGCTGCAGTAAGCAGTGGTAGAGAATGATATCTGTCGGGGATGCGGTAAGCGGTCTTTGGGGATTGTTTTTGTTTGGATTACGGTAAGCGGTCTTGCGGGGATTGTATTTGTTGGGACTGCGGTAAGCAGTTATTTCGGATGGTATATTTTGGGGCTGCGTTAAGCGATATAGTTTTTTAATTTATTTTCGGGCTGAGGTTTGCGGTCTTGATTGATTTATTGTTTTGGGCTGAATTAATCTTATAAGATATCTATTGGTTGTCACATACATGTACATACTATATAATATATTGACAATGCAGGCTGCAATCATTCTTTATCTGAACTTAGTTGCAATGGTGCAGAATACCTCTTCATAGAAATTAAAGTTTTACTGTCATGTTAGATATAAACTTTAACAACGGATGAATTTGTACTGAAAGACATAATCGATATGTCATATATTTACATTTTTTATGACTCACCCATGTAAAAATAGCAGATACAGCAAATCTTAAGTTCCTTCACCGACAAATCTTTTTGTTTGTTCAAACTAGAAACACAACAACACTGCTATTATACGAATATTACAAAATCATCTTTTATACAATAATGTACTTGATAATAGAATAAAATAACTCCAAAACGTGTCTATAGCATAATATGAAAATGAATGTGAAAAAGGTGTATTGAATAAGTTCGGCGAATTACAAACAGATTGGATTCCAGATTTTTTACTTATCAATAAGAAATTAGAGCTACATTATGTATACAGAAATCTTATTTTGTTTATGTTTACTTTTTCAACTGAGAACTTCAGTGTTTATTTTATTTTACTTGAATCACTTGAAATATGACATACATTCAAAGCACATGTACAATACATGTATATACAAATGTATGTCCCTAGTCACTGAGTGGTTGCTTTTACAGATTGAAGCATCAGAATTGCACCTTGCGTAAGAGGTGACTAAATGTGTTCGGATTATTGGAGGAGGCTATGCATCTGTTAATTGTTGCTCCAGCAAGTAAGGTGGTTTTGACCTCTGATGTTGCTTTAAATTTGTAACACCCGTGGGTGAGTCAAAACCATCATTCCATTTCGGCGCCATATGACCTAAATTATGTTGGTGCGCCGTAAAACCAAACAAACATAATATGCAGAATGATATCAAATCATATCAACAGATCTTGCATTGTTTCTAAAACACTAGATCTTAATGCAAATGCTCTGTATAGAAATTTATAATATTTTACTTCTATTTACTGATGACATAACTAGAAAATTTATATTAATTTTGAGTACATTGTTGCAGAATAAACACGGTTCAAGTCCAAATGATCATAATAAGGAGTATAATCACGAAGGCCAATATTCCTGAGTGATAAATTAGTTACCAGACATTTGAACGATAAACTGTGCATTGTTTAATTTTTTAGAAAAAAAAGTTTGAATAACAAACAATCTCTAAAACTTTATTTGAAGTGGATACTTTAGATATTTGGATTCTATTTTGTCTACAAACACTTTTGGTGTGTTCTCGTGTTGCTTATGTAACTTCACTTAATAAAGATATGTTCTATTCTATTATGTTGATTAATAAGTAACTATTTCAATGGTTGTGCAGATCAAAGCTGTCTGATGATTATATCACGGCATATACCAAGTCAGGAAATTACGGTTATTAACATATAAAAGATATAGCCCCGAAGCTTGATATGTAAAAACCTACGTTCGCATCGTTGGCATTCTTTGCTAGGATTTTCTATAATTATTATGTCACATGCCAATTAATAAGCAAGAGTTTTGATATTAAAAATTATATTTTTTCATAAGAAATATGAACTGTAAATAAAAAGTATAGAACTGTCCAAAATTTTGCAGATTAATGAGATTGATATATGAAAATATTCTGAATGTCTAAAGGCTCTTGAATAAATATTGATTAAGTTGAAAAATGTCGACCACCTAGTAAGCAATATGTGGTTAATCATGCTTATTCATGTCAGATTACAGCTTTATTATTTGACAGAAGATTCAAGGTTATTGTTTTATCTCAACAATGTAAATTCGTTAAATCTTATAATCTAAAATTTCAAATTTCTACAACAGTCCCTAGCCGTTGCTAGGAGGCGTGGACGATTGCTTGTACTTGCAGGCGTTGACGGTTGCTTGTATTTGGAAGCGTGGACGGTTGTTTGTACTAGAAGGCGTGGACGGTTGATTGCACTAAGAGGCGTGGACGGTTGCTTGCACTAGGAAGCGTGGACGGTTGCTTTCACCAGAAGGCGTGGACGGTTGCTTGCACTAGAAGGCTTCGACGGTTGCTTGTACTAGGAGGCGTGGACGGTTGCTTGCACTAGAAGGCGTGGACGGTTGCTTGCACTAGAAGGCATGGACGGTTGCTTGCACTAGGAGGCGTGGACGGTTGCTTGCACTAGGAGGCGTGGACGGTTGCTTGCACTAGGAGGCGTGGACGGTTGCTTGCACTAGGAGGCGTGGACGGTTGCTTGCATGCACTAGAAGGCATGGACAGTTGCTTGTACTAGCAAGAGTGGACGGTTGCTTTGACAAGAAGGCGTGGACGGTTGCTTGCACTAGAAGGCATGGACGGTTGCTTGCACTAGAAGGCGTGGACGGTTGCTTGCACTAGAAGGCGTGGACGGTTGCTTGCACTAGAAGGCGGTGACGGTTGCTTGCACTAGGAAGCGGTGACGGTTGCTTGCACTAGGAGGCGTGGACGGTTGCTTGCACTAGAAGGCGTGGACGGTTGCTTGTACTAGAAGGCGTGGACGGTTGCTTGCACTAGAAGGCGTGGACGGTTGCTTGCACTAGAAGGCGTGGACGGTTGCTTGCACTAGAAGGCGTGGACGGTTGTTTGCACTAGAAGGCGGTGACGGTTGCTTGCACTAGAAGGCGGTGACGGTTGCTTGCACTAGAAGGCGTGGACGGTTGCTTGCACTAGAAGGCGTGGACGGTTGCTTGCACTAGAAGGCATAGACGGTTGCTTGCACTAGAAGGGGTGACGGTTGCTTGCACTAGAAGGCGTGGACGGTTGCTTGCACTAGAAGGCGTGGACGGTTGCTTGCACTAGAAGGCGTGGACGGTTGCTTGTACTAGAAGGCGTGGACGGTTGCTTGCACTAGAAGGCGTGGACGGTTGCTTGCACTAGAAGGCGTGGACGGTTGCTTGTACTAGAAGGCGGTGACGGTTGCTTGCACTAGAAGGCGTGGACGGTTGCTTGTACTAGAAGGCGTGTACGGTTGCTTGCACTAGAAGGCGTGGACGGTTGCTTGCACTAGAAGGCGTGGACGGTTGCTTGCACTAGGAGGCATGGACGGTTGCTTGCACTTTCCACTACCGCGGATGAACAGGCTCAGACAAACGGAGTCTGGCACATTTTCAATAATGCCGTGTTTTGAGAGCCTTCTTTTTCAAAGTAATTTAGAAAACCGTCTGTTTTAAATTTTAAGATCTAAATCTTTAAATCTAGAATGCTCAAAACTTACAGCATGGCATTGTATACATATTTAACTTGGTGCTTTCATTTCTTATAGTAAAATTCCATTATTGTCTTTATAGTTTCAATTTTATATCATTACCCTCATCTGGGTATATAAACCAAACTACAATATTCATATAATTCTAAATTGCGAGAAGAAATATATCTATTTGTTATGTAATCGAACTGTTTCCATTAGACTGACACGGTTTGTTATTCTTTAGGCAGAATAAGTTAAAGTCTGTTTTTATTATCCTGTCAGTTATGGATACATTATATCATTTATAAAACTAAAATAATGGCAACAGCTTGTTTAAAGCAAAGGAAAATTACACATTATTGTCTGAATACAATTCGTGTCCTGCATTATCTACATTTAGTGTTTGAAATTATTTTTTGTCCAATAGAATTGCAGTATTTCAAATGAATCGTAACACATTTACTTTTGTAAATCGAGAAACAGTTAATCAGTCTAGTAAGTCGACTGTTTATAAAAATAATTTAAAACACTAATTTATTAGTACGTTTTTGCAAAATTAAATTGGTCGCGCTGTTGTCCCGCGCCTGACTAATTAAATTTTGTGAATAAGAATACATAATATGGCGGGATTCTGTCAAACTCCTTTAACAATAATAACTTCTACTATTATTATTTCTTTGAAACTGTATTACATGATTCACGAATACTTGTTGGAATTAAAATATAACAAAAGAGACAAATACAAAATTAATGATGGCATTTCAAACTCACTTTTTCAAAATTATCATATAAAATGAGTCTTAAAAATAAACTGTCACCTTACAATAAGTAATATTAGATATGTAAGTGTGATATATAGATATCCTTGATATTTTGATTTAATCAATTCTTCAAAAAATCGATTATTTGACTAGAAAATACTGTCTGAAAGTGACAACTTCGTTGCGTTTATTCCTTTTAAACAAATTGCCGGTATCTAAAGAAGTTGTTTCCCCTTATAGTACAAATAGTCGCAGATAAGTATAGCAAGTAAGTAATTTAACAGCAAGTAATATCCGTCCTACTGACAAGTAATCTTATCTTGAATCGTAAAAACCCTCTAAAATGGGGAGTGATTTAGACAAAGTTGAGAAATTATTTTGTGGTAAATGGAAATATGACAGGGATGACAATTTTAAAGAGTCCTTGAAGTATATAGGTGAGTAACGTTTGCTTATGTAAATATATACTTTAAACTGCGATAATCTGATAATCTATTATTTTAAGAAGATTAAATTAAACCATTTGTAAATTATACTGGTGACAATCGGCATTGAACTGTTATATTACTTAGTAATTTTCATAAAATGATTTTAGATCATTAATGTAAAAATTCAAAATTTTATACCAAAATTTTGAGTGAATCACATTCTATGCAAATCTTTTTCGTGAAAAAAGACGATTAGCAAAGACAGTCATGTCTGTATGACATATTTTAAAATCAACACCATAAATGAGCATCTAATACATTAATTTCAATATAATTAATGTTGTTTTTAAGTTACTTTTTACGCTTGTAAAATTATCAATCATCAATAATAAAAATAATAATCACGTTCATAGTTTGTATATTTTAGCCTTCCCGGGCATGGCAACATGTATATTGATTGACTAGGTGTATAAATAGAATCAATTGCAGGCTATTCTGACCGCAAAGTATACAATGCTGACCGGCAGTTCAAATTTGATCGATAGCGTAAATTTCACAGTTGTACATATCCGATTTATTTCAAACTTGAAAAAAAAAAAACATTTACATAGACATATTTTCATTAATGTACATGTATGTTAAACATATTTCAAAAGAGTTTGCACGCATGTGCTACATTTCGAACCCTTACTGGTAAGGCAATTTTCCAAGTACGATTCAAAATACGAGTAGATTTAAATTTGTAAAAGTATAGAACTGAGATAACATAGCATAAAAACAGTTGGTAAATCCCTTGTTGAAATATAAAGCTTAATAAAGTCCATGCCAAACAACTTACGCCTGTAAATTAAATATATGATAAAGCTGATGACCCCTGCTTTACATTATAAATATTTTATTAGGGAACGATTGATTAATAAACATAATATGTTTCCTTGTGTGAGGGAGATGAAGGCACTCCTATTAAAATTGTTGAGCGTTCTTTATGTAAGTTATTCTTCGCGGTAATTTGACGCGTTCTCCGCCATGCTTTTATGAGAAAGAACAAAATCAATGAATAAACAACATAATTAATCTCTTCTGTATCAATATCTGCAATTTGACCTGGCTAACAATTGCATATTGACTTTGTTTTGTTAGATTTGAATACATGTATACTAATATGAAATCAACAGGACTGCACTATTTTTTTAATACTTTACCAGCGAGAGCTTTACATATTTGAAATATTAAATATACTTTTAGGGTTCCCGGAAATGGAAGTTGAGTTCCTAACGAACGCGAAACCATGTTTGGAAATAAAACGAGATGGGGACCACTTGATAATTGATTACGAAATTATGCCAGGAATGGTTCATAGTGTACGATTCAAACTTGGCGAGGAGTTTGTGTCCAAAGATATGAAAAATGATCCACCAACATTTGATGCCAAGGTACCAGTTGAATATTAGTTACAGTCAACCTTGAGTTGAAGACAACAAGCGAATAAATATTAAACACATAAAATATTCGTCACAAAGCTAAGGTCACATTTCATTATACAAGTTGTATTTTTCCCATGAAAGAGACCGCCTGTCGAATTTTTAATCTGCACACAGTAGATTTCGCTGTAATTGCGATTGGTCCTTAAGACTTAAACTGTCAAAACGTGCATCATACGTGGGTAACAAAATGAAATAACGCCAACAAGTTTCACTCACTTCTTCTGTTTAAGGTATCTTGTTCTAAAAACTGATATGCAAAGTAAGTTTGAATTTATAATACTAAACTATCAACATGGCTATCTTTTATTTACTTTTCTATACACAATGATGTTACTAGGTGTGTAAAATTTGCCTTCCTATTACAGAAATTATGTTTCCGACCATTTCTCCCTATTCGTTAAGGCACGCAAAAAATTTACTTGATTGTCTTTGTGTGACGTAGAGATAGATGAACAAAATTCGGGTTTTGGTGCTATCGGTCTTTCGTTTCGTTGTGAAAAAGGAAAGTTTGGAGACCCCAAAAAACCTAAAATATTTGTTTTATCGCCATAATTCTGCCATAATTCTGTCGTGGAGATGCATTGTTGTGCTGGCGGAGCGAATTTCACGAAAAGAGACAGAGTCTAATTTCGTTTCTGTGTCCGACCTTTCTTTTACTTACTTGAGATTTTTGAATATTGTTTGGTTTATTAACGGTTCGTTTTATATTTCAAGGAACTTGTTACGTTTAAGGACGGCTGTCTTGACTTCAAGAACTGGTCTAACATGGGCGGTGCTTACTATCAAACTGTGATGAAAATAGAAAATGGCGAGCTTCATGGGGTAAGGCTCATTAAAAAACTCAGAGTATATATGAACAGCTAGTTATAAAATTTCTTTACACTGTTTATTTTGCTTGTCGATTCCGTTTCCCGTTTCCACACATATCGCTTATTCATGCAATTTACCATATTTTAGCACCTCTAATTTCTAGTTTAACTTTTTTTTGGGTAATTTTGAGACGTCCCCCCGTTGCCATGGTAACAGGAAATTAACAATTGAGCATGCTGTTACAGAGGTTATGGTGTAGTCAACATTTGTCCCAAGTTTCATCAGTATTGAAGCATTTTTCATAGTTTCATAGCAGTTTGAACTTGTTACAGGAGGCTTTTCAATGAAAACGGCCATTTTTCGCAATATGCTCATGGGGTAAAAGGTTAATAAGATGTTTATTTGTTTGTCAAAAAATAGATGAAAGTAACAGCAAAATTGCCATTGGTTTTGAATTCCTTTATTGATAAAAATATTTATATTCAATTTTTCTCATTGCATATATAATCTTCTTACTTTACATAGGTAATGAGTAAAATTGATGACAATAGTGTAACTGGTGACAGAATATACAAAAAGGTATGAACTCATCTATCATCACTGGAACAGATCAAAAACCAAGCCGACATGAAGAATTCAAATACATGTATATATCATTATAATTGTTGTTGTTATTTTTTTTTGTTTTCAACAATTTGTAGATCCATACAATACGACAAATAGTGTTTGGTACAATAAAATGTATCTATAAATCGAAAAGAATTAAAAATTTTGAATATGTCAAGTTTTTTTCCCCGATGTTTTCCATGTTTTTTTTTTAAACACATGCATTATTGAGCAGTGATAAATAAAGTAAAATTGTCACTATATTTAGTAGTCATAGATATACATGTATATTGAAAATGAATATTGTTCCATTTTAATACTGTACCAAACCAATAACATAAGCTGCTATTGATAACATGTACATTGTCTAGTAATACTATGATATACATATATACATGTATATGAGTTATATCATGTTAATAGCAATTAAATTATACATTTGTCTACAATTTGTTTGTTTTGTTAAATACCTTTACCCGACGATCATCTTTTGAAATACTAAATCAAACCTTTTTTCAGTGTTCTATATTCATTCCTAATTGATCTTGCATATTAGCAGTTCGTTAAAGTGATCACTAGCTGTCAGTATCTTTCTTTATATGAAATGTAAAATTTTAGGATTATTTATTGTATATATTTAAAGGAACTTAATTGACGACCAAAAGCAAGGCAAAAAAAATTGAATTCCTAACATAGATCAGCTGGGTCACCTAAAACAGAAATATGTGAAGAAGCTAAATAAGAAATATATATTTGTACTAAGAAATAAATCGAATATCGTCTTTTAAGCTATTCGCGTATGTCCTGTACCAATATACGTGAACAGTGTTGCAAAGCTTTTTGAACAATTAAGGGGACTTTTCAAAATTATAATAATTTTCCGGGAAAACGTAATAGCGAATGATGTAAAATTTTGTACACAAGCTATTGGTCTAGACAAACGTCACTCGAAAATAAATATTTCCAGTCCCGTCATGTCAAATTACCTTAGTCGAGTCCCTTTGATGTTAAAATAAATTTGACCATCAAAGTGCTTCGAAGACTTATAATTAATGTACTATTAATAATAACAATTCTAACTCAAACCTTTTTCCATTGAAAAAGTGTACTTTATTTGATCCTCATTGACCTTGCGCATGTATGTATACATAGTTGGTAAAGCGGTCACAATCAATATCTTAAATAGAAAAGATTAAAATTTGTTTATGTTTAATGTTAAAATAATATTCGATTTATCCGCTAGAGGATTAAATCTTTTATTCAAATCTTACAACTTAACATTTTTTATTATAACACCCCAGTAGGGCCTCAAAAAGAGTTGTCAGGGGAGACAACTTACACTTGAATATGTCATATATAAGGCAGAGCAAATTCTGGGAACGGTCTTTCAATCGTGGCTCACCATAGAAGAGGTAGACTAGTTTATCTTCGTTTAAAAAATCTAAAATTTACATTTCAAATCTTGAATATCAACGAATATTATTTAGAATCGCACAGGAGATTAAGATACATTTTATATTTCTGCTCATTATTATTTGTTTTAATATTTGGGGTTTATTAGAAAAGAACTTTGACCAGATCTAATAACCACGTGGTGATGACCAGCTGTTGTTCTCTTCAAGGACAGTAGTCTAAAAAAATCAATTTTGGATGCCTTGATTACACTAAATATATGTCAAAGTCAATCGGTTTCTTTGAAATAATTAGTAAATAAATAAAAAATTGGATTTAAATCTAGATCTTGAGTTTAAAACCTATAGATTTTATATTTATATGATGTTTCAGCACGTGATCTATACTTAAAATCTAGAGCATTCTCTTATGAATGAATAAATGAGCATAGCTATAAAACGCATAAAAATACAATATTGATTATATGGCTCGATTATGACAGGTCATGTTTTCCAACGGGAAAATTATCAGTCTCATTGAAATCCACTCGCGTGACATCATACCTATGACGTCATTTCATCGAGGCTAAGAGAATAAAGATAAGAGTAAATAGAATCTAAATATATAAAGTAGGAAATAAATAAAATACACCAAAAGAAAAATTGATAATAATAATAATAATAATAATTTAATTAGATCTACACAAATTTATTTAATTTATTTATTTATATTATTTTATTTTTCGACAATGTTAAAACATCGACAACAACGTGGCCATACACGAGACACGCTCCAACAGCAAGTCAATAAGAGGAGGAACATTCGGACGTCTGTTTCTACAGCCATGCCTCCAGCTGACAGACCTGTTAGGGAGCCCTGTGAAGAAAACGAAATGGATGGCCAATCCGGACCTCCGGTAGATGTTGATCTTCATCACCAAGAGACAAATAAAGGTGAAGTTAAAAAATATCATGATAAATTTATACTTGTTCCGGTACAATGCTAGCCGCACATGTATCTGTCAGTACTAGAGATAAAATATGGAACAATCAATTTGTAGAGTTTAGTTACACACTTTGTTGCCAAAGAAAAATAATAATTTAGGCTTAAATAATTAATCGATTTTAAAGTGGCAAAATATTGACTCGGAATTGTGGATGACATATATGGATAATGCAGACTATACAGTCCTTGAACCAGCCGGCACTTCTGAATATTCAAAATAATGTTACGACTTTAATAACAAAGGCTTTTGTACAAATAGATCATGTACTTACAAACACGTTTGCATCGAATGCTTTGGTAACCACCCTTCAATACACTGTTATGCAAATAAACAAACAGCGCAATTCACACCGCGTTATGTATTTATATTGCCAGCTCAAAGAGTGCCTATGGGACCTGGGGTTTTCACCAATTAATATCTAGTTTCTCGCTGATAAACTCTTTCAATGCCCAAATAAGGATGATGCCAATTACATTTTATAAGGATTCAGCACTGGTTTTAAACTCGAATATACGGGACCAAGAATCCCTATTTTTTTGTCCAAAAATCTCAAATCGGCAATTGATCAAAAATGCTTATTAAGTAAAAAGCTTCACGACGAATTTATACTTGGGCGAATCCTAGGACCGTTCAAAAAAAGGCCAATTACTAATCTGAGAATAAATCCCGTAGGTCTCGTACCAAAACAAAACGGTGCTTTCAGCTTTCATACCCACCAGGCAAAGTATAAATGAATTTATCGATCCTGAATTTTGCCATGTTTAATATTCACAATTCGAAAATGCAGTAAGAATAGTTCAAGAAATAGGGGATTCTGCTATTATGGCAAAAGCTGACATTTCTTCTGCATTTAATTTATGCCCTATATGGCCAGGTGATTTTGATTTATTAGGTATAAAAACCGAGGAGGGATATTGAATTCAAAAAATGCTGCCACAAGGCGCATCATGTTCATGTTTTATTTTTGAAAATGTTTCAAAGTTTTTTACAATGGCTTGTGTCTAAAGAATCAAAATCATACTACATTGACCACCTACAGTACTAGATGATTTTTTTATGGCAGAAAAATCTTTTGAAAAATCATAAATGCTTGAATTTAATGCGAACATTTGATAAAATTTGCAATGAACTTGGTGTCCCCCTAAGTGTCGAAAAATGAATGGGACCTGTTATAACTATAACATACCTGGGTCTAGAAATTGATTCAATCAACCAAATGGTTAAGGTGCCTTTAGAAAAAATAAGGAAAGCGAAAACAGTCTCGTTTGGGTGAGAAACACTAATAAGATTAGACTCAAACACTTACTTGTAATCAGTCGTTGGTCTATTTAATTTTATATCGAAAGCTATTCCCAGTGGCCGTGCCTTTAAAAGACGTTTTTATGGCGCCATGTCGTATGTAAAGAAACCGTTCCATTTTATTAGTCAACCAAGGCATGAAAGAAGATGCACATATTTGGCTAACATTTTTTTTGAAAAATTCAATGGTTATGTTATGTTTAAAAAAAAAAAAATTAAAAAAAATGGGTAGATAAGTAAGATAACAGCCATTTAGAACTATATATTACGGAATATATTGCATACATGTCTTTACGTCAATACTCATTTTCAACAGTAGCTGTTCACGTTTCAACAATAAGTTATTTTAATAAAATAAACAATTTGGTTGACAATACAAAACAATTCATAGTCAATACTATGCTAGAAGGGTTCCGTAGATTATCGAAAAGGCATGACACAAGACACCCGATAACACAAAATGTACTGATACAGCTTTTATCAGCCCTACCTAACCCTTACAGATCACAATATGAGTGTTTAATGTTTTCTGATGCTTTCTGTCTTGCCTACATAGGTCTGTTAAGAATAAGCGAAATTGCATTGCCTTAAAAGAAATCAAAAAAGGTTGTTTTTAAATGTAGATGATGTAACGATCAATCAAAATCTCATTAGACTCTATTTTAGATGTCCAAAAACGACCAGAGATATGTCGGATGTTCTATTGACATTCCGATAACTGACCAAAATCTGTTATGAAAAACTGAAAGAGTTCTTACATTTTAGAAGTAACGTGCAAGGGCCGTTATTCTGCTATTTCGATGGAAGTCCCTTAACATCCTTTCAATTCAATTCAGTATTAAAAAGAACTTTGAACTCGATAGGTCAGAAAAAAAAAAACAATAAAAAAAAAATAAAGCACACTCTTTTCGAATCGGCGGGGCTTCTAATATGTTCCGTGAGGTTTGTGCTATCAATGATATAAAATACAGAGTCCGTTGGCGATCTTACGCTTATAAATCCTACATCCGATAATTTTATAGTATTTCATGGAAAAAACTTATTTTTTTAGGATCTGCCAAAATGGCTGTAATGTGAATGCCGGCGATCCGAAATTTGGCTATTTAAATAAAGAACGTATTTGTATTAAGAAACCGTTACCGGGTCTTAATACACATTAATGTATTAAGAAGAGCAATTTATGCTGTTGTAATAAAAAGATGTTATATATATATTGGCATTATGTGCCTGGCATTATGTGCCTGATATTGTTTTTTGAATGTGTTGATGTATAACAAGCAGTTGGCATTATGTGCCTGACATTATGTGTCTTTTATAATTTATAACACCCAGTTGGCATTATGTGCCTGACATTATGTGTCTTTTATAATTATAACACCCAGTTGGCATTATGTGCCTGACACTATGTGTCTTTAATAATCTATAACACCCAGTTGGCATTATGTGCCTGATATTATGTGTCTTTAATAATTTATAACACCTGGTTGGCATTATGTGCCTGACATGTGTTTTGATAACATTACTTGATAATTATATATATTAAATGGATAGGTAATATATAATCAAACTTATTTCAGCCTGTAAAATGTCGGATGTTTGGATTATAGGCTCTTCATTTATTAGGGATGCCTTTCAAACAGCATGCCGCAGAAGTGAGGACATAAATTTCTAGGTTATAATGTTATATGGGAATATCAGGGGGGCATGGAAGTTTCTGATTTAAAACCTTCGATAGAATACTTGCTTGAGTTTAAAAATGCGCCAAAATTTTTGATATTACACTGTGGCGGGAACGATTTAGGAAATCGACCTTCAGTTGAAATCATATGGGACATCAAAAACTTTATAACAGGGACTTTATGGGAAAATATGCCTGTTACGAAAATAATTTGGTCTCAGATATTACCAAGAAGGTCATGGAGATATGTCCAATGTAACAAAACTGCAAATAAAACCCGCATGCGTATAAATAGTTGTATCAGTGCATTTGTTATTAAACTCGGGGGTTATTATATTCGTTACCCTGATTGACCTTTTCGAGGACCTAGCTGGGCGCCGTTTTCCGGTACGTTGCCGTTTTAGCTCTGGGGAATTACACCAAATGAAGTACATAACACAGTTACGAGATATTTCTATTTTGCTATCATTATTTAACCGTTTAAGGTGAAAAAAAATTGATCTTTTTAAAAATTATCAATATTCGTTTAATATCTATTGCAAATTATTAAAAAAAAAAAAAAGAAGTTTATAATGAAAATCAATAAAATTCAAACAGACGTAGTGGAATCTTCCATAATAAATAAGGTTATTTTCTGCGTAAACTTGTGTATTTACTTTATTTTTTGTATGGAATTATTCATACAATAATATTTAATTATTTTCTTATAAAGAAATAACTGTTTTATTTCAATTAAAAAAAAAAAAAAAAAAAAAAAAAAAAAAAAGGCCGAAAACATTGAGTTCGCTATTACACTTCATTGGGTGAATTCCCCGGGGCTGTGTACGGGGAGTGCCGGGGAGCGGCGTTTGGCTGGGTTTTCGAATTCGTGAATATTACAGAAAACCCTAGGTTGTATAGGCCGGATGGCACACATCTGTCGGACTTTGGTAACCACGTTTTATTGAATACAATATCGGGCGCTCTCAACACATTCACGTCCATGGCTGGGTAGGGCAAAATTGTAGCTGTGGTAGCCCGCTTTGGCGGAAGCCCACAGTCAAATGTTTCACTTTGCTTGTGGGCTTTTTGGCATGTGCTACCACGTTTTTGCAACCGTTGCCGGGGCAAAAACAGTTATAGTAAAGACATTTAGTAGTCTTAAATCGAAACACATAGACATTTCAATAGGTTAAATTATTAAAATGCTTTTATCCAGCCATGGCCATTTTCATGCCAACACGTTTTTGTTAATAAATACTAGTAAGTTTTTTAGACTGATTTCTCTTTTCTTTTATTCCCAAGTTGTAATGTTTGAATAATATTCGATTTATCCGCTAGAGGATTAAATCTTTTATTCAAATCTTACAACTTAACATTTTTTATTATAACACCCCAGTAGGGCCTCAAAAAGAGTTGTCAGGGGAGACAACTTACACTTGAATATGTCATATATAAGGCAGAGCAAATTCTGGGAACGGTCTTTCAATCGTGGCTCACCATAGAAGAGGTAGACTAGTTTATCTTCGTTTAAAAAATCTAAAATTTACATTTCAAATCTTGAATCCCACCACAAACCCACCCGTTCAATTTCATTGTTTTTCCTTGTTTTTGCTTTCTTCCCTTTATATTTTCAGATAACACTATATTAGCACGTCATGGCTGGAACAGAAAGATATAGAAAAAGGAGAATGCTTATAATTCTCAGCGACCGTTATCGGAGCTGATCAATTTGTAAAACAGACATGTAAAGTGATTTCATCATCTGTACCTGTGTACCTTGAGTTGAAGCATGTGCTACCACGTTTTTGCAACCGTTGCCGGGGCAAAAACAGTTATAGTAAAGACATTTAGTAGTCTTAAATCGAAACACATAGACATTTCAATAGGTTAAATTATTAAAATGCTTTTATCCAGCCATGGCCATTTTCATGCCAACACGTTTTTGTTAATAAATACTAGTAAGTTTTTTAGACTGATTTCTCTTTTCTTTTATTCCCAAGTTGTAATGTTTGAATAATTATATTTAGCCATTAAAATGCTTCAAATCATAACAATGTATGTAATATGTGGTAAAACTGCCTGTGTAATGTAGATTGTGCCAGTATAGACCAAAGGCTGTACATGTTTATATGACTTTTATTCAGAAAGTCTTTTGCCATAAAGACACCTTGTCCTGTGATCATCTCGAAAGTATGGTGGCTGGTTGACGCCATGTCATATTTTAGCTTTGTTGCCTCGAAAATGCGAAAAAAGCGAAAACACGAAGATACGACAAAGTTCAACTTTGTCGTCCCTCCGTGTTTTCGCATTTTCGCATTTTGAGGCGAGGAAGCGAAAATACGACATGGCGTAAGTCAGCCAACATACTAAAGTTTGAGAAACTGTCACAAATGTTAACTTTATATATAGAGACTTTTATGAGAATCTGATATTTTCACTGATTCGAATTCGGGGTATTCTTTCGCATTTTATTGGTGCATAAGTGTTTTTCATATACCACTTTCATACCGTACGTACATGTAACAGTTGGTCAAGAATGATCCGGACAATCGATTAAAATCTAAACCACGATCTGTAATTAGAGTTACATGTACATGTTTGATAAGCAATGTAGTGTACGTCACAGTTGGTCATCAAAACATCACGTAGAAACTGGTAATATTTCTCCTTACGTTCCTTCTTGAAAGATAGAATTGTGTAGTAATGTACAAAATCTTATTCTTTAAAATTTCATGCAAATAATGACAGGTCACGGCTAAACTACATGCAATCAGTTCAAGTCGAGGACTGGTTGAACAATAGATTAACCAAAATGTTTATAAATTTACATTTAAAGATACATGTTACAGTCATTATTAGGTAGAATGTTGCACATAATACTAGTAATTGCTTTTGTAGCGTCATGGCAACAAGCATCATCCAACAACTTGGACTTATACCCTCTATATATAGCAAAGTTCTCTTCAAAAAGCTTTGCATAAATAAAATGTGAACGCAAATAAACCATGGTAATATTTGCTTAAATTTAAGCCATGACAAATATTTGAATGATCATACGTGTATTTGTTGTATAGCAAATATTGATATATAACACTAAATGTACATTAAAGAGTCGTGACTGAACGTGAACCGCGACTAAGTGGTCCGTATCGAGCGTCAGAAATATTATAACAGGTACCGCAAACAGAAACTTTTCGTCATATTGTGAATACTCTAGTTATCTACGGTTAGTAAAGTACTCACTTTAGAACAATTTTCAAAATGGCAGACGACATGAAAGCATTTGAGGAGACATTTTGCGGTGTTTGGAAGTGGGATAGAGATGAGAACCTGAAAGAAACAATGACGAGAATGAGTGAGCTTAAGTTTATTTCATTAGTCTTTTTTTAAAACAATTATCATATTTAGACAACTATTATTCTAGAACATTTTAACTCTTGAATAAAGCAATGAAACTGTATTTTACATTATTTTTCATGGTTCATACGCTTTTCTTACTTGTCAGTCTGTAAGAAAAAAAACTAAATTCTAATATCTTAACAAGCTGTAATTAACTATATTCATGAAAAGTTAAATTTACTTAAAAGATATGTTTAAGTTCTAGATCTTTAAAATATGTACACGTGTTTCACGTCATTTGACATTGATGATATAAATATAAACTTTTGTATTTGTCATGACAAACTAAATAGAAAGTAGATCATATAGTAGATATTTTTGTTGTACTCGTTGTACGTATAACTCTATTCTTGTGAAATTGTAAACAGACAAGCCACACAAACACGAACATTCAGTAATTATTTAATGCATACATTTCGGCTATATGCCTTCATCAGTGCAAAACATAACTTATTTTTCCTTGTGAAATTGTGAAACTTTAATCAATTATCGTGAATTTAAACACCTGACTTTCCTTATAGAATATCCCGAGAATGAAACTGATATGTATTGCTTAATGAAGCCGACTATCTACATCGAAAGAAGAGGTGACGAAGTTTACATGAAGTTTGATATGGGTTCTAATATTGTACATGACTGCCAGTTTCAGTTTGGTGTGGAGTTTGAGACAAAGGACGATTTGATGAACTCCTTTCACAATAAGGTGATGATTAACTTACATAATATTTATCAGAGCTGATTACCTCCCCTCAGATTTTATTTGATGCAATGAGATAATTTTTTCATAACAAGAAATAGCGACATAATAAAGCAGCGACATTTTTTAAAATCTCTTTACAGTAAAATAGTAACATTTTAATTCATATCACCAAATTGCGATATTTCATTTCTTTACAGTAAATTGCGATACTTCATCTCATTACAGTAATTCTAAATTGCGTTATTTTATTTCTTTACAGTAAATTGCGATATTTTATTTCTTTACAGTAAATTGCGATACTTCATCTCATTACAGTAATTCTAAATTGCGATATTTTATTTCTTTACAGTAAATTGCGATATTTTATTTCTTTACAGTAAATTGCGATATTTTATCTCGTTACAGGAAATTGCGATATTTTATTTCTTTACAGAAAAATGCGATATTTTTATCTTGTTACAATATAATAGCGACATTTTATCTTCTTACAGTAATGTGTGACATTTTATTTCACCACAATAAAAAGGGACATTTTATCCTCTTACAGTAAATTGTGGCAATGAAATGACAACATTTTATCTATATGCAGAGAGTAGCAAGACTTAATTTCATCACAAAGATTATCAAAATTTTATCTTATGAAATGAAATAGCGACATTTTGTATTTTTACAGGAAACAGCGACATTTAAGGACGGAGTAATTACATTTAAAGCCAGAACACAGTTAACAGGTCCGGGGAAATGCGACACATACTCCGAGTTCTTAATTAAAGATGGTGAACTTCATACAGTAAGTAATTTTCTTAATGAATTTTCTCTCGAATAGACTCGATAAAACAGCGTTTGAAATAATCTTAACTTCATGTATTTGCTTTCTCTCGGGGGGCCTCTTCTATCCGGAATTTTCATACACTTATCAGCAGATGTTTTGCTGAAAATTGTCCTCTATCTATCTCTGTGCTGTTTTATTCTTCGGCTCTTGTAGAATTGTTCATCCTAATAAAATTCGTGTATATGATTAAGCCGTGGTCCAGAGTGTTCATGAGATGTTGCACTTTTTATTGTCGCTCGTTAACAAATTAATCAGCAGTTTCGAACTGTTTTGTTTTTGCTCTCAGGAAGAACACAGAATATGAATTGGTCTCAAATGCAAGAAAACAGTTATGCAATATTACATTTATATATAAGTTTACAACCTCGACTAAAAGTAACACGCTGTCTCAACTGTTAAACTATGTGTTTGTTATAGGCGGCCCTATGCCGTCTAATCTCTTTATCTTTGAAAGTTGTGACATGTATCCGTGTCGTTGTGAATGTCGGTTTTATAATGTCAGTAGTTTGCATGAGAACCTCTTTTTGTTTCAACGAGATCTTTTAAACATGTTTATTTTTCATGTACATGTATTCTTTCGACGTTTTCAGCCGATGAGTCCACTGGATGACACAAGCTTTAACGGCAACAGAATTTACAAACGTGCTTAGCACCACGTGAATCATCGTAATAATATTGCTGACGTGATAAATGCTGATACAACACTTAGACAAGAAATAAAATAAAAGTGGCATAATGGTGACAAATATTGCTGTTTTTTTTTTCAAAAATACAGTGACAACTCAATGTTTAAATTGCTGAAATCATCACACCAAAACACTGATTTTATAAGCTTTTATTAAACAGAAAAAGGCGTAATATATGCTTTAATTATATTGGATTAAAGATGGTCATTGTGAGTCTGTTTATCTTTCCTAAAATATATTTTATCATACTTGGAACAGTCAGTATTTTGAATGAAACTGACGATGCATGTCCAGACATAACTGACATAACTGACAGAAGAACACTGTTTTTGTGGTGTAAGGTTATGTTTGACAGTAACTTATATAATGATGATGTGTATAAATCTAAATACGTTATTGTTTAAACTAGAACTGTTACTGTTGATATTCCAGTTGATTGTCTCAGTGATTGTAGAAAACAGTAAAATGAATAAATGATAGTCATAACTAAATTTCGTTTTGTTTAATATATATCCCTAACTCATCGACCTTTAACAGTGTTACAATGAACGGAGGTAATGTTGTCTTCTTAACGTTCAGCTTTCATAACAGAATGAAAGCATATTCGTTATCAGGAAGATATTAATTTCTTGAAAATAGAATGATCGAAATAACTGCAATGTAAGATTAAGTTACATAATTTCAGTTGTTACACATTCACGAGAATAAAAATCAAATATAAATAAAACATAACAAAAGACTTATGTACATTTAATTCAGCGACCTTGTCGAAAATTACCACAATTTTCACATTCAGGTTTCTCATTTATAATTTAAATGACCGATATTCCTAACAAATTCTTATATGATTTTCGTAGAAAAAGTTCTAACATGATATCTTAAATTAATGCTACAAGTATTTGAATTAATTTTCCCAATGTTGTTGTTGTTGTTGTTTTCGAGTCGATCAATGATTACTGAGTTGGCTGTAAAATTGGAAGAAGAAACACAATTGGCATTGTTAACTTGACGTAATGAAGTTGAAAGAAGTACACTCTTAAACGTGCAAATGTTTTGAACTTTTTCCAATGACAAAGCTGTGTAAATAAAATATAAAACAAATATTTAATGTCAATGAAGATTCTACAGCTGTTGTCGATGATGTGGAGTTATTCATATTACCTAGTCATATGTCATGCCATTGTTCTAAGATTATTGGTGACTTTTTGTAATTGAAATTGAGTACTTTAAGATGAAGAAAAATGATAAGCGCGCTGAGTGTTGAACAAAAAATTACTAAATAGCTATGTCTTAATATTACAAATTATGTTCCGAACGTCAACAAATAATAATGTTTTACAATATTTTGATTATTTGTTGAAAAAGAACAACACTTACATATCTATAAAGCAGTTTCTAGTTAAATATGCCTGTGTTGGTATAATGTGTTGTTTCTTGCTAGCGGAAGCAACAGCTTGTGGCAAGCAATCCTATAGATAACTAGTCCGACACGTTAACAATTTGGTCATGTCGCCACTCATATATACCACCAACATGGGAAATCCACGGTTGATTAACATGTAACACGTAATCAACCGTGTCATGGGTAAATCAAATTGCGTTGATATATAACAACAGGTGCCATGGTTAATTAATTAACAATGCATCCATTGCGTTATGATTAAATTAAAAGCAAAAAGAAAATAGAAACTTTTTCAGCAAGTATAAATGTTATGAAAAAAAACAACACAAAGAATGTAGAGCTATTTCATGTGTATGAATATATTTATTTTGCTATAAACACCAGGTTACAATGCTACTCTTACCTTCCATAGTCTGGCCTTTTTTTTAAATTTTGAAGCAAACATGTTAGCATTCAATTTGTCTAAGTAATTTTACTGCTTTAAACATGTAAGTCATGCTTTCTTCACCAAATCTTTACTTTATTTTTTCAAATGTAAATATTTAATCATTGAACTAAGGTCATTGTTTTTAAACATGTAAACAATTAAAGTACGCTCCAAGTTTTGAAAATATAAACTTAAAATAATTCAAATTTAATAATTGAAATGTAACTTTTCAAGTTTTGACAGTTTAATTTTAGAACGTGCACACGCAATATACTATCATGATTATTGCGTAGTTCTCTTTGTTTTCGTATATATTCCATATCTTCACTTCTGTACCTTCTTGAAGATCCTGTTACATTTGTAGCTTCGGTCATCTAGTGGACTTGATGGCTGTAACATATAATGTAATCACCCAATTTAATACATTTAAAAAAATCTTGATCAATCTATATCTAGATCTATTATATTAAAGTGACATTACGCTAATATTTTCAAAGTCAAGTTGAGCTAATTTGACTTTATATTTTAAAAGATTGACTGTCAAAATGGTGTTTGACCAACAGTTGATATTGGAAAATGTTTAGGATTATAAATCTGCCTAAAATTTAAAAAGACTGCCCCACTCTTTTTATAAACTAAGCTTATAGGTAAATTCTAATGGATATTTTCAGAAATTTCGTTAGGATCTGTGCGTTATTTACTGTATATGTGAACTTAAATTTTAAATTAAAAGGCATTATGGAAAATGAAAACTTATTTTGATCTTCACCCGTTCACTCACTATATTATACCATTGGATGGGCATAATGTCACTTTAAATCATTGGCACGTCGGTTGTAACACTCTATTTTCTGTTGATAGACAACAATATCGTTAAAACAAACCTTGATCAGTTACATAACCTTACCAGTATCATTTTCATTCTTTATAAAATTTATTAGGGATAGTAATTAGGATAACACGTTTCATTTAGACAAATAATCTGAACATTTACCAAACATATATATGTATACATTGCGCTTGTGTGAATTATGCCTATGTCAAACGAGCTCTGGTGAAATCTTTACCCATCGTGATATAAGAATTATTTGTTCTACATCTGTAGTTGACGTAATTTGCATATATATGGATAGTCCTTTTCAAAATACATGTAGTATGATATTATATTATTTTGAAAATGACTATCCGTATACTGTACGAAAGGTTATAATTCACTTTGATACATACAGTGTGAAGTTCTCCGTCCTTCACAAACCATTCAGAATACGTATCAATCTTTCCTGGACCAGTGAGCTGGTTTTTAGTGACCCACACCATAACTCCATCTTCTGTCAAGGTTGCTGTTTCCTGAGATAAAGGGAGGTAACAACAGATATTTCCACAGTGTAAACTCTTACTCTTACTAGTACAAAACACATGTGTAAATGCACTCAACGTTCCAAACAACAAAATTATTTTTGATATTTCAGTCATTAACATGATTGTACTAACAAAGAAAAAGAAATAAAGAGAAAACATATGCAGAGAATAGTCATATCAAACATGAGATAAAAACAAATAAATAAATAACATAACAGAAACAAAACATATATACAAGTACACGGTGCAACATCGATATAGCGGTCTTAATATAGAGCAACAGTATGTCTTCCCAAAGGTTTTCACAATAAATCAACATTAATCTTCAACGCAACAACCACCAATATCTTTGTCTCACACAGGATGTTGCTATGCAGAGGATGTACTGTACTTGCATCCTGTTAGACTGTTTCATGTTTATAAAACTATCAGCTAATCAATAATAAACAAAAACAATCGTTTAAGGTAGGTCATATAACCAACTAATAGTATACATGTTTATGTTTCATCTAATTATCCAATCAATTGTCAACTCTATTATATTCTTGATGATAATTTAGAGTGAACTATTACCTTATTATGGAATGTAGGATTATCCCCCGAGAGTTCGTCCTTGGAATCAAACTCTTCATTAAACTTGAATGTACACTTGTGTCCCATACCTGGGACCATTTCATAGTTCATGAATGCGTAGTCGCCTTCAAGTTTGAATGTTATGGTTGGCTTGCACCCAGCAAACATCTCGATTTCTTTCTCCGGATTTCCTGTTAAACAACAAAATTGCTAAATCTTTACCCATGTAACAATTGAAGTCAGAATAACATAGAGTTTCTAACTTGTGACATATTGTGTATTTTAAGTTTTAATAATGAGCATATGAGCAAATTAAAACGGATTCAAGTTTATATAACCCGATCTACTATAGGCGAGGATTATATATGGCAAAACAACCATTCAATCAGTGCAATATCCAGTCAAAGGTCTATTACATCGACTTCTACAATAGGCACAATTTCTTTTATTGTAGATTACGGGTAGCAGATTTGTATGTAGACAATATAAATTTAAATGAATACGACACAAATCATTATCATTACATATAAGATTGTTATTTTCTTAACATTGATATAATCCTCAGCTTAAAATAATAAAAAACTATATTCTAGCTACAAGTACATCAATTAATGATGTCAAGATAACGCTGCAAAACTTTTAAAATGTTATAAATGATCCATATCTGATTTCAAATACAGACAAATAAACTTTTACCCATTTTTTTCATTGCTTCTACGAGATTTTCGTCCCTATCCCATTTCCATTCCCCTTCAAAAATCTCTTGAAATTTTTTCATATCATTCGCCATTTTGGCTTATTCACTAGCAAACCAGTAAATAATGAAATATCAATTTTATAATAGGACTATCCACGTTGACAGAGTTACAGATGGCCTTCGCCAACTATACTGCTATATAAAAACTTTGTAAACGTCAAATAGCATTATCGTGAAATAATTATCTCACAGTTATATAACTTTTGTATGTTTATTGTTACTGTTTTCTTTTATTTATATCGTCGTTATTAACTTATTATCATTGTTTTAGTCATTTTCGTCTTCGCCATAGGCGCCGTCGTCATCATCATCATCATCATCATCAATTTATCATATTATTTCATTTCATTTTAATTTTTAAAACCATTGGGGTTTAAAATTTGTAAACTTGATTTACATTACTTAAAATAAATTTTTTAAGACAGTGATTGGTTCTTGATAAAAAAAAGGGAAAATCTGTGCCTACGGGTTTTAAAGGTTGTTTATCTAAAATTCGGGCCAACTTGTGCATCACCTGTCACTGACCCCCCAAAAATGATTACGTTTTGTTTCGAGCAAACTTTATAATTTTGGTTGTAAAAAAGCTTCTTTGGAAAGGAAAAAAATCAGAATAATGATGCTTTCTTTAAAATTCGCAGAATTTACTGCTTTACGAAACATCTATTTGCTGGCAAAATGGCAAATCAGTGTAAAATAAAAGTTTTGAAAATAAACAAGATTTTTTAAAACTTATATCTGGGAGTGAAACGTAAATTTTGGTAGGCAGTATACATTTTCATGGCTCAATGCATTTCCAAAACTCAAATATTTACACTTCTTATTTACCCAAAGTATTGGAGAAATTATATTGTACTTTTATACAAGTTGTGACAATACGATCACCTATTGTTGGTCGAGGCGACATATTTTCAATTCAATCCAAATATAAGGTTACAAACTCTTTAATCATTGACCGGCCTATTTCTCGCTGATTGATATATTCTCATTTAACTCGCCTAATCTTAATTGAATATTAACCTGAACCGTTATACAATATTATGATAAAAACATATACATAGCAATGGTATTTGGTATGGTATTTTTAAACCTAATGCAAGTGTCGGTCATAACGGTTCAAAGTAAAGTGTTTTTCCGGATTATTTCAGAAGGAAAGTCATAACAAGAGCTGTCACAGGAGACAGCCAAACTCGACTAATAAAATACTGGACGCAGTAAGGAAGACAAAACTAAGACAGAAAAACCAATTATGTATAATTATGTATTAAGTTATAGTAAAAAATATCATTTGTTAACATATATTAAAAAATGATAAAGGGGAATAATTCTAGAAATAGTCATGCTAGAGTTATGAACCTTTTCACACAACATTTGTGTAATGATAAGAAATATATATTTGAAGTTTGAAGTAGATACCTTAAAAAGTAAAGAAGTTTTAATATTTCTTAAATAAAATCCTAAGTTCAAAGAGAGATAAATCTGTAAATATTGCTTCAAGAGTTATGAACATTGTCACATAAAATGTAATTGATGATAAGGAATTAGTATTTGAAGTTTGAGGTAAACACCTTTAAAACTAAAAAAGTTAAAGTAAAAAAAAAAAAAACATTTTTCTGGTAAAAATATCTAAGTTTATTGGGAGTTATGGGGAGATAATTCTTGCAATATAAGTGCTAGAGTTATGAACCTTGTCACATAAGATGTGGATGATGATAAGATGATAAGTTACATATATTTGAGGAATAAAGTTGATCCCTTTAGAAATAAATAAGTAACAGTAAAAAATAATATATTTTAAGGGAAATTCTAAGTTCAAGGGGAGATAAATCTGAAAATATTTGTGCTAGAAGTATGGACCTTGTCACATAAGATGGGGATGATAATAAGGTACATATATTTGAAGTATGAGGTTGATCCCTTAAGAAATAAAGAAATAACAGTAAAAAAAGTATTTTTTAAGAAAAAATTCACAGTTCAAGGGGAGATAAATCTGAATATATTGGTGCTAGAGTTATGAACCTTGTCACATAAGATGTGGTTGATGATAAGGAACATATATTTGAAGTTGATACTTTAAGAAATGACAAAGTTATAGTGAAAAATATTTTACTGCACCAAAACTTTAATCTGAAATCTGGACGCGGACGCGGACGCCGGGGCGAGTAGGACAGCTCTCCATATACTTCGTATATTCGAGCTAAAAATGTAACCTTAACCAACTGATATCAACATTTTGGAGCATTATATAATGCGGTTATATAATCTTATTAAAAATATGCTCATTCCGCCCATCAGCTTAAAAACAATGCTAATATTAATAATCGTAGAACTGTGAATTATTCTTATAATAGGCATTTTGAATTCATGTGTACGCCAATGTCAAGTGTACATCATTCTAAACTATTCTAAATAATCTTAATTAAATACAAAATTCTGAAAGGGATTTATCATTGTAAAATAAAATACTCATGGTACCTGGCGATATCTTGTCACATGAAATAATCACGCTAAAATTGGTCGTCAATCAGTTTTGTAAACATTATAATCTGAAAAACGTTCTTAAAAAGTATGAAATGCAAATATTTAGAATGGCACTGAGCGTTATCATCATGTAATTGTTCAATATGGAAATTAGCTCAATTTAAACTAAAATCAAGATTAATGCACTAGTTCTTAACCAAACGCCTAGTCTATAAAACCGGTATCATAGCGAGTTACGGCATCGCCGTGGCTACTGGCACCTGGAGAACTCGAACCCATGATCCCTGGATTGAGGGGTAGACCCCCTAACTACCACTAGAAACCGTATTATACTGCAAGGATTATACTGCACTATCACGACACTTACATAATTTAGCATAGATCATAGCATGGTTGTGTTTTGGCGGTAGACTAGTCGTAGATCAACCGCTCCCGCATTTGTGGGTTCGAGTCCTACATGTATCAAAGACGCTTCAACCAGGTGCAAATGGGTATCTTAAAGACATCATATTGTAGACTAGTACAAAGGGAGTGACAGGCCCAAAGAGAGATCGATCCGTATCTCTGTCAACTGTTTTGTCAGTGAACAAATTTCACTTTTTTTTCCAGTAGTAGTTTGTGTATTATACTGAAGGTGAAGTTTTGAAAATCAGATTAGCACCTTCATAAACATGTGTGACCATAAATCCATATTTCTTACTGACCATATCATGTTTCAATGACTAATTGACTAAATGATTGATTGAATCGTATGTTCCAACTGTACAAACATCATTATTTTCATTGTTTTGTAATATATATGTGTATAGTAAATACTATTGTATAAACAACAGCTGGATGGATTCATTATTTTCTATCGACTCTAAAACGTTCTATATTATACTGTATACATATGTCATAATTATACAGAATATATAGAGGAATAATATACAGAACATTATTTGTTCAAGCATATCCTAGAAAAACAGATTATATACATTAGATTACACGATTTTAATGTCATCATTTATCAGAAACATAGTTATATAGTAATACTACTATGGACAACAGATAGACGTCAATGCGCATCTTTGTATTGGAGTTTACTAGGTTCGATTTATCATTGCACGAGTTACGATTTGATTGAAAGTGTGACCAAAGTCGGATATTTGATCAATTTGTTCATCATTTCTTATTGATATAAAATAGTGATTCCGATATACAATCATTTTCGGCAAGTATTTTATTTTGGTAAAATATGAAAATGAATATATTTACATCGAACCAAACTTATTTGGAGTCATTATTGTGGTACCTTTAAGCAAATGTCCAACAATATTTATCGAAACAACAACCATGGTTGATATGGTACAAGCCACACAATTCATTAAACTCATTAGTTTATCATAAACATGGTTTGAGTCATGGCATGCAAGTTATTTCTGAGCCAATTATCATCAAAGTATATCTCATTGGTCACCTGGACAACGGTATATAGGAAAGTCTTATAAACTTTGGAATTGGTGAAACGCATTGTGTGATACCGGTATTTAGTGTCGAGGGTGTCGTGATAATGCAAATTAATGAAATTTTCCCTTGGTAGCCAATATATAAATATTTGTTAATTTTTCTCTAAGGTATAACACACTATTTAAATTTACAGTGGACGTTTAAGTTCAGTGCATATAGAAATGTTTAGGCGTGATCTAGTGTTAAATAAATATCAGCAGACCCGGAGCAATGGTCAGCAAGTTTAAGTATAGAGTAGGGACGGCACTAAAATCCAGTTACTAGTTGAAATTATTATTTTAATCTTATGTACAGCGCTGATTTAAAGCGGGTAAAACCTGATTAGAACTACCAACGTCCCATTACCTAGCCGGTTGGCTTACTAGAATCCAAAACCAAAGCGTCCAGGGACAAGCGATTTCATGCCAACAACTAGAAAACACGACACAAGAGGCCCTCGTCTACGGTATCTATTCTTGTCCGATGAAAGTTAGTACAGTATTACATCTTAGTGCGCTTTTGTGTGGTAAACGAGTATTTGTCGCTTGGACGACAACAAATTTCAAATCATGAAAAACGTAAACAATCTATTCCACCAGTTTGCTACTGTAAATACAAGGGAAGACAAACGTTTGTTTTCATATTCAATCATTTATTTGTTTTTCATTTTAAACTCAACAATAGTTGCGACTTGCCAATAAAGCAAGGCCGAAACAAGTGTGACGGTGAAATGATGCAAAAAATTAATGATAAATGAAACTTGTGATGAGACTTTACCTGTTATTTAAAACAAACAAAAACAAATTTAGATTGCGAGCAATGACCGCGAAGGGCATTATAATTATGCAATTTTAAGGTATATAGAATGATGCGTTCCTTTCAAAAATAAACACAAAAAGAAATATAGCATAGGATTTTTCACTAAACTTCAAAACCAGCTTTCATATAAAGCTATCTTGTAAACAGTATTTAGCATTTTACCTAACTAAGAATTTTAATACGCATTGAATTTAAGTTTCTCATTACTTCGAGAATATATGTAGTAACCAGATCAGTTACTGCATAAATGCACGAGCTTTAAATATACAACAAAAGTAGCCGGTATAGAGCCATGTTGTCAAGAGTAAATTTCTTTAATGTCAAATACTCGCTCTTATGAAGAGCATTTTTCTTGTTATTCCTATTTCTTTTCCTATTTCAAAACAATTATTATGCCTTTATAAAGCCTTTTAAAAGGGAGGTAATCTGAAGTCAACCTATAGACATTTACAGTGATGAAAAGTAGCAGCGTCGAACGAATAAATGGTTCACATTTCTATAGTAAACAATAACTACATGTACTTAAAACCAAATAAAAATTATATTGTAAAGGGGGAACAATCATTTGTGCACATCTTCTAAATGCAAAGGGGAGTTAATCCTTGAAATGTTACTATATGCAATACGGTTACTAATAAGTAACAATTTAAGCTTCAAGGAAATATCAGTCATAGAGATGAGAGGAAAATATTTACAGAAAATTCAGATTTTTAGCAGGAGTGCTTAGAGTTATCAGCCTTGTCACATGATGCTCGTGTGATGCCGTTTCAAAAATCAATGACAGTCAACATCAAGAATTTTCATATAAAAAATCTAAGTTTTAACATATATGTACTAAAATTATGGCCCTTGTCATGTGATAATACGGGGCAACTATTTAAAGGTTGCAGTAAATCCATGAAGGATTTAATAAAATAAGAATACGAACCATTTGACCACAAAAAACGATATATCTAGTTATGAACGTCAATGTTGTGAATAGCATAGCTCTTCGTAAATTTCATAAAATCACCCTAAATTTGTACTTTTTTATTACAAGAGCAAAATTTTTATTAACCAAAATTGTAAATTTTTGACGACTTGTCATTTAGATAAACATTGGTTTTCATATCCTCAAAATTTGTTGAACAAAATCAATGCTTTCAACATTTTTGGACGAAAAAAAATATTGGCTTCCATAACTTTACGATTAAAATAAAAAATAACTTCAGATTTGTGATAAGAAACAACTGTTATACACAATTTTAGAGTTAACTTCTAGACAGCTGTTCGGATATATATTATACATATCACCTTAAAATCAAATTTAGTTCTTATAAACTGCTTACCTAATCTGGATTTGAGAAAAAAATTACTAAAAAAACTATACTTTCTATTGAAATTATTAAAAATATCTATATTTTAATCATAAGCTTTAACATAGACTAAGCTCACAGTATAAATATATTATAAAAGGTGTAAAAATGGGAATGTTGACACATTATATGATGTCAGATATGACCTCAATAAACCTTAATATAATAAAATTATATCTAGATAAAAAAGAAAATAATGAAAATTATACTTGCATGAGGTTGGTAATATTCTTCTGGTTGCTTTCAAAATGTCATTAGATATACAAACCTTCTCAATGAAATGAAGTCTGTCACTCTTTTAAAAATGTAAAATATAAAAATCCACCTCGATTCATTCAGGAAAAAATTTACATTCTGAAAAAGATTACACAACAACAAAAGATGTGCCCCCCTGGAGATAATAACTTCAACAAAGACAATCAAAATTGTTTATATAAAACTTACCAACGTAACAAAAATCTCTTATTTTTTTCTGTTATTTCAAATAAAAAAAATCATAAAAATTCATAAAGTAAGGGCATGGGTCCAGAAAAATGTTATTGTTTTAACACTTTAATGAATTATTATTGCACTTTTAATTCTGCTGTAGAATTGTGATTATACCTGTTTACTGAGCATATCTCTTTTATTATAAAAACAAAAGTGAAGGACACATACAACGTTATAAATATTAATGATATACTTTTAGTAAAAATCTGTATCAATAAATTGAAGTGGTCAACTATATACCAGAATCCACCTCTTTGACATTATATTACATATGTCTGATATCTAAGGGAAAACAAGTGTTATCAAAATATCGTTTTGAACTTTCAAGTCACAGTATCTAAGGACATAGCATAACTGGTGCAGGAAGACTTCAATACTATATTTTAAACACAAACTGGCATCACAATATAAAACAGAAACTGCCAACAGAATTGACATATACCATTTGACGTGTTTTAAGGAAGAATTAATTCATAGTTTTTTTAATTTGTTGCCCAAGGACATGTTAAACTGTCTAGTGGATGGAATGATAAATGCATGTTGCAAACTAGATGTCCATTCTTCTAGAATGTCTTAACATCTACTGCCCAAACTCAAGCTATTACTCTTGACCTCTAAATAAAACCTTGACCTATGCTACTGTCTCACTGAGTTTGTTTCAAGTTGTAACAGAATTAAGCAATGCATGAACAAATTACAGCCCGGACAAGCCAAACCACACCAATTTTTCATGCTAGATTAAGGGTAATTCAAATATGAGCCTGGTTTTTACATTGTTGCAATATTGCTGGTGGTGCCATAGTACATGGAAAATATTCCATGCATGAGCTTGTTAGTTAAAAAGTAAAAACTGCACCAAATTCTGACCAAATCAAGCACCATTGAATGGTGAATCTTGTTCCATTATGTCAGTCACAGTCTGAAGGATGCATACATATGTATAACATTTAACTTGAACAAATGAAATCACAAATAAAGCTTGTCCTGAAGTCTCACAACTGGCTAAACAAACGTGAATAAGGTAAGGTCTTATTTTGTCACATTAAAACAAATATGAATTGAAAATCTTAAATGTGTAAAAAAAATCGTTAACCCAATAAAGAGTTCAATTAAAATCATATTTTTAACTTACATAACTTGTTAACTAAAGACCAGGAAAACTTACACAACAGAATAACTCAAAGAACTAAACATGAGAGAACACACAAAAACAAATTTAACATAGGTGTTGTTTTTTTTCCTTCTACCTTATAACTAGAAATATATGTTATGTTAATTCCATATCTGTACGGTCATTAAAGGGTAATGTTAGTGTTTAATGACTAAAATCATACAGCAGAAAATATTCACTTTTTAAACTTCTAACTAAACTTTTTAAGTTCTGTAAATTATTGCTTGCATCTGTAAATAAAAAGACACTTTTAATTATCACTTAAATGACATTTAGCAACTGTATGAAACTAAATTAATTTAAAACTATCACTTTGAAAACTATAGATCAAATAAATAAAAAATCCATTAGTTTTTTGTGACAGTTACAATCTCCTGCTTTATTTTAAAGTCATGAAAGTGGAGGGGAAAAACTTGCTAAATTTTCATAAAAAAATGCTTGTGTATGAGATAAAATAGGCCAACAAATAGTTTCATTTTATATCATTTTGTTCAGAAATATATTTTCATGACTTACAAGTCATATTGAAGATTGCTATGTTTATTACCTTATTAAAACAAAACTATGATATTCAGGGTATTTGACACCGTGAAAGTGGTCATAAGACTTGTGCTTTTGTTATGAAGTTTATTAGTATTCTCAAATGATGCCTTTAAGATATAAAATTAAAAATTTCAAAGACATAACATCAATGCATTTTAACCTTACTTTCAGTTGGATAAAATATCATTATTTGAAGCATTTGTGTAAAAATAATATATGTCCGGAGAGTGTACTGAAAATGTTTTAAGTTAATCATCTAAACTTCAATGCTGTCCTTTTCGAATAAATCAATATATTATTTGTCAATTTTAGAATGATTGCATTTACAAGATATAAAGTCTCTGCACTTTATAGACCATGTTAGTTTAAACACAAACAAGAATTTAAAAAAATGTGTATGGGTATGCACAATTTTAAATGATGCAAACTTCAAACTTTAATTTTCTGACATTTTACTTCTTAACTTAAGTTTGGCAAAAGGAATTGTGAATTTTAACAAGTCTATGCCATCAATAAAGGAAAACATTTAAAGTTTTCAGCATCTTTATAGACAAATTATGAACAAATTACTGATAATTGCTGCTTTGAAGATAAACCCTGAGGTGAAATTGTATGAGCCTGTAATGACGGACAATGTGGTAAAAATGATATCTTCTACTTATAAAGTTCCCAACACAATATGTTAAAGTATTACCAAACCTACTATAAAATCTAAGGCAACAGCCAAAAATTTCCAGATAATTTGGTGTAATCCATTGCTGGGGCTAAGGTGATGAAAAAATATATAATAACAATATCTCAGCACATCAAAACTCTGAGGGCAAATCACTTGCACATAAAATCTTGTAGACGACTAGATTCATTACATTACATGGCAACTGAGAGAGAACACAATTACTGCATGTTATGCAAATGGCACATTTCTAAAGGAGGAAAATATAGCATTAATTTGTAAAAACTTATCACACTCATCACTCTCAATATGATAAAAAACTTGTCAAATATTTGTGTCCAGTGTTGGTTCTTAAAGTTACTCCACTGAGGTCTAAAAGCCTAAAAAATAAAATTTTAATTCCTTACATAGATCAGCTGGGACACTAAAAACAGAAAGATATGCAAAAAATAATTAAGACATACACGAAAATCATTTTTGTTGTTGTTCTTAGTCTGATTTGAGTGAAAATCATTGCATCATTTTTCACAATAAGAATAATTATTCTGAAAAAGTGGGAGTGAGTGAAAATCTTGATAAATAATTTCCAGTCCCATCATGTCAAGAAACCTCAGTGGAGTCCCTTGAAATAAAAAAAAATATAAAAAAACAACCAAAATTACCATTTCCTTCTGACTTAATATTAAAGTTATAAATTTCTGTTGTACACAGGGAATGTAAAACACTTGCCATTTCAATTCATTATCAAAATCTCTTTTTTTAAATACTAACAACACAAAAAAATTGCAACAATGTGAACAGAAAAACACTGTCCACAAGTCAGTTAAAGAATTCAATAAAAAATAATACTAGAAAAATAACAATTGAAAACAAAATTGCCTGAGGGTCAGTTTATTTTCTATATTAATCTAAATACACCATGACATCAAAACAAAAAATGGTGACAAAGAAAATACAACATGATCATAATATGAATATTCTTTGTTTTAACATGATTTCTTTAATAATGACACAAAATTACCATCATAACACACTGATTTTTTTAGTAATGACACAAAATTCAACATATCATATCAATGTAAATATGCAACTGTACATTTTTATTTTCTTCCAATGAAAATAAATCATAAAACATATGCAGCTGTATGAGTCTTATCAAGTCTTTCTTTGGAGAAGATTACATCTCAACAAATGTTTAACCTGACCTGTTATAGTGTACACAGATATACATGTTACCTACAACAGAACTATATACATATAAATGGTAAAAATACAAATGAGCCACGTCATGACAAAACCAACGTTATGCGTTTGCGACCAGCATGGATCCAGACCAGGCTGCACATCCGCGCAGTCTGATCAGGATCCATGCTGTTCGCTATTAGTTTCTCTACTTGTAATAGGGTTTGTAAGCGAACAGCATGGATCCTGATCAGACTGCAAGGATGCGCAGGCTGGTCTGGATCCATGCTGGTCGCAAATGCATTACGTTGGTTTTGTCATGACGCAGCTCAAATGTCAGCATATAAAATGAGAATCTTGTGATAGCCTCAACTCATTCTAACTACATTGTACTTACACTTATAACATCATAACAAATTATGTCCAGAGAAATTCCACACTGTCGACACAGGCAATCAGTTTGTACACAAAAATACATTTTTAAATCTAGAAAACTGGAAATTAATGTCTATACTAGAGATGTTTTGACAGACTTTACTATGCAAAGATTATTTTGTACACACGTCTATAAGGAAATACACAACAACTATAATACTGTGCAACAGTATGTTTGCTTAAATGAATATGCACACATAAATGAAACATCAATGTAACATTTTTAATCCACACATGATTAACAGAGAAATCGTTTTTCAATATTTAATAAAAGTGCATCTATTGATGATCGTCTAATCCAAACATAATAAAAACAGCATTCCTTATTGACAATTAGCCTTAGATCAAATTACAATCCACACATGCTACATCAGAGAAAATCTACATTCAAACATAACAAAACTGAACGATGAATTTCAAATCCATACATGAACAAATAATCAGTATTTATTTTCTAATCCACACAAATTAACAAATATCTTTAGCTTTTGATAATTATAACAGTGTTTATTATCCACACATAATATACCACAGTAAATTTTACATGATGTATGTTAACAAGACTGTGACTTCAAAATCTACACATAATCAAAATATTTGAATAAACAAACTAACAATATCCAAGGAAATTAGTAAATACACTAGTGTTGAATTATTTATCAAACATTATAGCTCTGAACTGTTTTTCATATGTAAGTTTAAACATGTTATAGTGTAATACAATGATCATTTGTGGCACATAATTATAAATGATCCCTGTCAATAATGATACTTCTACAATAAAAAACATGCACATCTTGTACCAGATCTCTTGTCTTATCCAATGCATTACAAGCAAGAATGTAGATTAGCTGACAATGCACTTATATGATTGCAGAGCATCATAGTAAAACAAGAGACACGTATTATTAATTCAAGTTCACAAATGGAAATAATTGTGAATGAGTTATGGGTCTTAGTCATTGACCTAAATTATGAACCTGAAAACATGTATCCGTTGTTTAAGATATGGCAAAACTGTAATAATGATTTTTTATGAATTCAGTAAAAATCCATGCTAGTGTACTGGTTATGCAACAAATGATTAGTGTTTCACGGAGCCAATTCGTTTGAATTTTCAGAAGAGATAAAAAGTTTGCACAAATGCACAAAAATTGATGTTACATTGTTGTTTGGTTTTTTTTGCATACTAGCATTTTGATTGCCTTGTTGACTTCCACACATGATCCTTTACAATGCTTGTTTCTTTGTTGTGTTACATAAACACTTGTCTTACCAAGTTTTGGTAATATTTTCTTATACAAATGTAGCATTGTATCACCTTATTTTTACATAAAAGCTTATCTTTTAACATTACTTATTCCACAAATTTTAGCATACATGGCAGAAACATCACATAAATGATCACACCATTCTTATTCATGTCAGCATTTATATCAACTGTATAGAAAACATAACTATAAAGAAGGAAGCCAGAATGAACACATACAAGTATATGTACATAATAGTCAGCATTTTCATGTACACAGAATTTTGACTTATACATTTATAGAACACAACACATGTAAAATTAAAAATGTCAATATGAAAACAAATGGTAGAAGAAATTATTAGATACCTTTGCAAGTTCTGAAACTTGTTATATAAAAATTGTGATAATTCTTAACACAATACCAAACAAAAGATGCATTTCTTTTGTACATTTACACAACATATGCCAGTTTATAACCAAACACACTGCCTTAACTTTAACTTGTTAATAGGTCATTAAAAATATAGTCAAGCAAGAGATGTTGGAATATTGAGTTCAACAATTATTATTCACTAGACTACTAAAATTATGCAAGTACATTAAAGCTTGTGTCACAGAAGCAGAAGTATATTGTGTCTACTGTATCTAGTAGTTTCGTTCAAAGCATTGACAATGGTTGTCTGAACAATTAGCTAAACTTTTTAACATGATGAATCCTATTTTAACATCATTGTAAAGAGGTGATTGTTTTTGTTGTTTTGTTAGAAAACTTATTTCAAGAATACTAATATGCAGTATCAAAAGAAACAGATCATTAACACTGGCAAATAATTGGCAAATAATCAGCTTATACTGCAAATATTCCTGCCTTACAACAGATTTACATGCTTCTTACATGAAATTAATAAAATTAAATGGGAACTTTTTTTATATGGCCTTAATAACCAATTCTTCAAACACTTTATCAACAAGGAAATAAGTCAACAAAATTCCTAGGAACACACAAATAAAGAAATATTTATCAACCTTGTAGCTTCTGAAGTACTCAAAGCAAATTTCAATTCTTTATATATACATATAATTTTACATCTTTTGCGGAAGATGAACAAATAACTTTTGTGCTGTAAAAAAAAAAGAAACCAAAACTAAATGAAGATGTTATCATGTATAAAACAAAGTGCAACTGCTAGTCTCATTAAGTCAACATGTGTATTTAGAAAATGTCTCATTTGTTTCCTTCAACAGTTGAACTATAATAGATTTTGAAAAAAAAGAAAAAAAAACCTCTTTCATGTTATATGTCCTTTAATGGTTTACATGCTGCTAGAACTGTAAATTCTTCCATGTATTTTTTCTTCTCTGTTTTACATTCATTCTTCCAGGTCATTTCACATATACTCACATGAAACAGAGTTCATTCACAGTGTACATATATATATATATATGACTCTCAGACCTCGGCATTTTACGGAATATTTACTGTACATGTTACCAGGAGATAATGTAGAATGAAATATACAGTCTTTTATCTTTTCTTTGTCCATCATTCTTTATCTTTGTCACCGTTCACTTCATTACTTTCTGTCTTGTTTTCGGACTCCACTTTAACATGCTACAAATTAGATATTTACAATGAATATATTTATTAAACTATCTAAATATTTTGAATTGTATAGGCAACATAGTGTTCAACTTTCTCCTCAAGTACAACAGCTTCGCTTGTATTTTTTAACTATTTTTAATATTCTAAAATCTAGCTTACGGAGTGTCAGTGGTTCTACTCAGGTACCCGTTTGTTCCTGAAATAATGCACGGAAGGGCACCCGAGGTGTTCCTACACCAGTAAAACTGGAATGTCGCCATATGACCTATACTGTGTCCGTGTGACGTAAAACCCAATCAAACAAACAAAATATTAGAACATACATAATAGCATAAGACGAGACATGTAGAAAAGATAATAATAGCGTTTATCATTACAATATAAATGTTTACTTGTAAAACATGATATTTCACTTATCTTGGGAGATTTTGATCTCTGGCTCTAAAACTACAGTATACAGTATTTACACGTCAGTGTATGATAGCACTCATGCTATGATATGAGGACATTTCTTACAGTACTCACCTTCAAACACTGTCCTGTTCCTACCCTTGAAATTTTTCAACTTATTTTCAGTAACCAAAACTTACATGTATTCTACTCTTCTTACATATTTTTATGTTCCTAAACTATTTTCAAGTTATTTTAAATGAGCTAACCCTCGACATCAAAACTTCTCAATTATAGTTTGTTGTAATCACCTTCATTAAGAAATATTTTTTGGTCTTGATCAGTTTTACTGTACTTTCATTAAATATTTCTGCCCTGTGTGCATTATCTCAGACACAAACAGGCACCTCACTAGAACCACAGACACTCCATAACCTAGCTGTCCCAAATAGCTTTCTAACCTGACAAAATAAAAAGTGCTTGGGGGCTTAAACTAAAAGGCAAGGCAGGGGGTTTGCAGTCTCAATTTTAAAAAACCACTCGACCTTTGACGCCCCTGTTTACTGCATTTGGCTTTAGTTTTTTGGTTTCTAAACTACAAACACTCATCAATTTTTATTTTTTTTTATGTCATAATCAGTTTTCTTAAAAAGGATAAATTTCCCTTTTCTATTTTTATTTACTACTACTTAAAAATTTACTTTCTCTGGTATAATGAACTTACCTTAAATATTTCTATGCTATGTTCCTCCTGACAATGTTGACATAGATCCCAGGCTGTTTTAAACATGGCATCACACACTGCACATAACAGATTACGCTCAGGTTCTGCTGTTTTAGAGGCTGTTTAAAACCACATAAACAAAACTTAAATCAATCTAAATATTCTTTTTTCATTAAATGTTATCAAGTTTTTGATAACTGTAGGATTCTGTCTTCCAGTGTTCAACTAGATTTTATCTAAGGAAATTTTACACAGTATTTCCATCATCTATTCTCCTGTGAAGGAATAATTTTTGATGTGATTGTAGATGTGGCAGTACTGCATTGCGGAACATCAATTTAAAGAGTAATATTGTGTTTTATTTGGCTTACAGTCACATCAACCATGTAAATGTCAGCAGTACTAGTGCAGGAAGTTCAATTTTGCACATCTAAGCATCATTTTAGGCACATGCAGAGTATAACCACAAATCTTACATAAATGTAAATGAAACAAGTCCACAGCAGAATTAAAACCCACAACAGTAAGGGGCAAGTAGTTCAAAGTCAAAGACTTTTACTATTTTTGCCATGGAAGCACGGCACCAAAACAGACATATTTAGTGCAAAAGCCCCCCTTTCAAGCTTTTCTGGCCAGCTGAATTTTAACAACAACGAAAACTATTTACATCTAATACTAGCTTGTTTGTCAAGATTTCAAAATTTCTATCTCTGAAACATGAAACATTGTCTATAAGCATTTGCGGCCACAACAATTTCAATACAGACAAGTGATCTTTTTATATGGCTTACCTTTTTCTTCAGCATTAGCTGCCAGTTGGTGACATTTGCACTGTATTTTTAATTCACATTTCTGTTTTTTATGCTGAACAAATGTGGCTAGACTACTGTGTAATGATTTACAGTTACCACAGATTAGTATGTCATTACCCGCTGAAATACAGGCAATAGATACAGATTATACATTTTGTCAAGAGTTTAGTTAAAATCTCAACAAAGTTTGGAGAAGATGCAGTTATGGACACAGTTCACTGAATTGGTCCTTTTTTAGTTATGAAATAAAGTAAATGTGGAAAAAATGAATATCAACTGTACTTCAAGTATGATATTTCCAGAATTTTAAAATGCTTGGGAATCAATAGGAAACCTGTTCATTTACCAGACCCATATCAACAGGGAACAGAACTGGTCATATGACAGCATGTTTTGACTGTCCTCACTGCTTGGCGGTAAAAAACCTCTGTTAAAAAGACAATTCAGAGTTATGGGACATGTGGCCATCATGTTATATTATCCCAAAGAACAAGTATGTTAAGTTTCAATCCCTTTCTTTCTGTAGTTTTGGAGAAACCAACTTGCAAGCATAAACTTTATCAAACAGTGATTGCATCCGGTGTGTCAAAAACTCCCTATTCTTCCTAGTTGAGCTAAATGTAACAGTAACACTGTTAACTCATTCAATGTTTGCTTCATTAGTAAGTTTATGCAAGAAGTCTATAGCAATAACAGTCTTTAAATCTTTAATTCTATAAATTTACTATTCAAATGTATTACACTAGTATATAAATTTATATAAAAACTCAGTCTGGACAGTTCAAATCTTATTTTATTTTAGTTTTATGTTGTTTTTTGTTGTTTTTTTACTTGGGTTTTCATTAAACAACTAAGGAATTTTCCTGCTACATTTTTTAAGAAATATCTCTGGTGACTCTTGGCACCTTGTTTCAACCACAAGCTCTTAAATAAGTCCACCGACTTATCATTTAAAAGCTATCTAGTTAACTTTATAGAAACCAATGCATTGGCTGAACTGTGCTCTGATAAATTCAATGTGGCTTAATGCTGTGATAAGATTTCGAGTGAAAACTACTAACACCACCACCACACAGAAAATCTCTGGCGGGATTTTACCAACAGCACTGAGGGACAAATATAACCAGTTCAGGTTTCTCATTTTCTTTTGTTACTTTCAAATGAGGAAAAAAGTACTTTATAAAAGGGACTCCACTGAAGTTTTTTAACAAGACAGGACTAAAAGATTTGTGTACCGTTTGATGTACCATAAGTCTGAACCAATAACTTGTGTGCACATTTTCAGCGCTTTTCACTCACATTGATTAAAAACAAATACACTACTAATTTCAAATTAAGATCCCAGTATATTTCTATATTATCCTGAGCAGATTTGTTCCATTCTAACTGCCTTATTTGATTTGTAAATATTTCTAATTTTATGGTTTTAGGCTTGTTAAACTCAGTGCTGCTCCTTTTCAAAATTACCACAGTATCAATCTAATATCCATCAAAACAATGCTTTTCATGCCAATATACAGAAACAAAATATTCACAGAAACATACTTGATATAGTAGTCTTTTTCAACGCTTTCCCTGTTGGTCTAGACAGTGTAATGGAAGTACTGGATGCATCTATAGTGGCATCTTTCAGACTTGATCCCAGTGATACAAGATTTCTACCTCCAGCTGCAGCATCTACCTTGGCTTTCTTCTGAGCTGGTGTTTCATTTGTGTTGGAATTGTTGCTGCAAATATTCAAACATTTGCTTGTATAAAAAAAACTAAAGATCCTAAATCAAGATTGCTGTGTTGTTCAAATCGAAATAAATCAGTTTTTTCTTTTGCTCAGACAACTTAATTATAAGTATAATATTCTAACTTAGGGCATTCAGATAAAATTCTGAACATTTCTACCCTTTTTGACTTTTCAAATGTTTGTGTAAATTCAGTTATAGTGTGAAAATTGTTGTTCCTCCATCTCTAATATGTAGCGATCAAACTGCTTAAAAACATAGCTTGGTAGTAAATTGACACAACAACCATGAAAATTCCTATGACAATATTTTCATAAACAAAGAACCTGTAGACAACCTGTCCATGCATGCGGACATTCTTGTTTTAAAAAAAGCTCAATTGTAAAATGTGGATATAACTAACCAGTAATAACCAATATCCCCACAGTGACTGACTACTACTACTAACAGTCCCACATGATTCTTTTATTAGAGCCATCACATACAGGCATACAAATAAGACAAACAAATCTTTATACACCACAGAACATAGATCAGATCTCCTTGCACTAATAATCAACAATTAATACAGATAATACTGTATATTGCTCATCTAACTTTTATCTACCAACACAAACTTTCTGAATATTAGATACAACAATGCAAACTCCACAGAGCAGTCCTCTGCAACAACAGTATCAATTCTCATTGCTATAAATCTAACATCTCTAGAGAAATGCCTCTCAACAACAACCCAAAGTTTTATCTCCCAAAGGATGTTGCTGTGCAGAGGTTACATTATAATATTTCAAATGGTTACTTACGCAGCAGGGGCAGCTCTCTTGCTTCCCTTCTTTGGTTCAGATGCAATGTTTATATCTGCAAAAAGAAAAAAGTTCCAATGATAAATATGTACACAGGCATGTTTATATCAGACTACAGTCGAGACTGTCATAATTATGTGACTTTCCAAGGGATCAAAACAAGAGGGCCATAATGGCACTAGATCGCTCACCTGACACATCAAACTCAACAATTACCTAGACAAGCATTCTGACCAAGTCTCATGACAGGTGAGTGAAAAATGTGACCACTACAGTGTTAACAAGGATTATCCATATTTGAGCAGTGTGACCTAGTTTTTTACCCAGGTGACACATATTCAAACTTGACCTAGAAATCATCAAAACAAACTTTCAGACCAATTTCCAGGATACTTGGATCAAAACAGTAGCAACTAGAGTGTTAACAAGATTTTTCTATTTTTAGCTCCGGTGACCTAGTTTCACATGCCATTTCAAACTCATCCGAGCAATTACCTACACAAGCATCCTGACCAAGTTTGATGATAATTGAGTCGAAAATGTGACCACTAGAATGTTAACAAGGTTTTTCCATATTTGGGCGGTGTGACCTAGTTTTTCATCCAAGATGACCCATGTTCGAACTTGACTTAGAAATCATCAAAACAAACTTTCAGACCAATTTACAGAATATTTGGATCACAACAGTAGCCACTAGAGTGTTAACAAGATTTTTCTATTTTAAGCTCCTGTGACCTAGTTTTTCATCCGAGATGACCCATGTTCGATTTAATCCCAGCAATGACCTAGACAAGTTTCCTGACCAAGTTTGATGACAATTGAGTCAAAATTGTGACCACTAGAGGGTTAATAAGGTTTTTCTATTTTTAGCTCCGATGACCTAGTTTTTCATCAGAGATGACCAATGTTCAAACTCATACGAGCAATTTCCTAGACAAGCATCCTGATCAAGTTTGATGACACTTGTGTCAAAAATGTGACCGCTAGAGTGTTAACAAGGTTTTTCTATTTTTAGCTCCGGTGACCTACTTTTTCAACCGAGATGACCCATGTTCGAACTCATCCGAGCTTTCACCTAGACAAGCATCCTGACCAAGTTTGATGATGATTGAGGCAAAAATGTGACTGCTATAGTGTTAATAAGGTTTTTCTATTTCAAGCTCCGATGACCTACTTTTTCATCCAGGAGACGCTACGTTACTTGATAGTTGATACCTGTATACATGTAAACTGTGTAACTGAGGCAGTGTTGTGTAGAGTTTGTTTAAAGAGTACTGACAACTGGATTATAATTGGACTTAATTATTATGGCCCTTTGGGTGTTAAAACAGGTATTACTTATCTGATTAACGGACAATTAAAAGGTGTGAGTCATTTAAATCAGACAAAGCAATGCATTGGGACCAAACAATTAGGGTCGCTTGTCACATATGACAGGGAGTCATATAATTCAGACCATTCATATAGGAAAATACGTTGGGAGGACTGAAACAAGGTCGGATAAGACAGGGAGTCGTTGAAATCAGGGGGTCGCTAAGGCAGTCTCGACATCAAAATTACTTATAATTCAGACTTCCTTTACCCTATAACTTGCTTATTTTTTAATAATATATGTAGCCAGTGCAGTAAGGAAAGATCACAACTAAGGTATAGTAAGTACTGTCAATATATTTACTATTTAGCAAAATAATCAAAATGTGCCTTTTTCAAAATGACTGCTGTTATCCATGAGTTTTTAAACACACAGTCATGTTCAGCATGAGAGATCTTATAAAATCTTCAATTTTTCACTTTTAATCTGCCATTTATATTTTTACTACATTACTCTACAATAAAAAAGACCATGGCTTAAGTATTTGAGACACCCTTGCAGTTTTAGACATCCAGGTAAAAAAATCCAACATAACTGTTCAGATTTATCCACTGTAAAATGTCTTTATTTATAATTGGTTTGTAATGCTGCAGGCACAAAAAGAATCACTGGATGACAACAAAATCATGTAATGAGATAAAAATCATACCTAGTGTTTGACCAGCATATGTTTTGCCATCTTCTGAGACTGCAGCATGCTTTGCCTCTTCATGTGCACCATACTGTACAAAGGCATATCCTTTATGCATTGATATACCCTTCACCATACCATATCTGAAGATTTCAAATATCATAAAGACATTTCAAAGACATATTTAAGGTATTACGACCCTAATGGGCACTATAAGGAACTAAAAAATTGACATCATAGGTCAGATATATACCTTAAAGTACACCTGTATGCAAAATTTAAACAAAGTTTACCGTACGGAAATCAAGTTATGGCCACTTTTCTGAACTCAAGCTAGGATGTTATGAGTGCCCTTTTTTAGAAATGAGCAACCTTTAAATAACCTGCAATAACATTCTAATGAAAAATGTTTTTCCATTAATTTTTTGTAAGAAACAAAAAGTACCATTCAGCTAACAATCCACATAAGCAAAATTATGGTTTCTACTTAAAATGTATGAAATCTGTATAAAAATGTTACCCTACCCCACCCATTTTTACCACGTGTCTGACCATTTTCCTACTAAGGGAGCCTAATTTACCCAAATGAGTGCCTGTTTTCAAAGTTTCCCTAAATTTTTAAAGAAGTATATTGGTTGATCTTGTAAAATATTAAATACTTTTACTGTCTAGTTTTGATTTAATTACACTTTGAAAATATCAGGTACCATATTTATTACTAAATTTAGCATAATTTAGCCAATAAATACCTATGTAAATTAAAAAATCAAAATTAAACACTTTTTTCTTTCCAAATGGGACATGAGAGATACATAAATAATGTTAGAAGAAAAAAAGAAAGAAAAAAAAAGTTGACCCTTCTGGGGATTGAACCCACGGCCCTCATTTTCAATGTAGTTAACAGTAGTTCTAGCCTATTTGAATACTCTTCAAAGCGGAGGTAATGCATTAGGATGGTAATACCTTAAGTTAAACAATACTCAAGATAAGCTTCATCTCCAGTTTTGTTTCCTGTCTGCTTTCTTTTGTTTTGCTTTATACCTATCTTTTCAGTTGTTTCACATTTGGCTTAAATTTTGTTAATACTCTCAACATAAATGTTTTTGTACAGGTATTGTTTTTCCAGTGTGCTTGAATGCAAGTTTGTGAGGAGGCTGCTGATCACTTCTTGCCAAATCTTATTTGGGGATTTTCATTTTTTTTTTAAACCTTTTAGTGGTCACCCTTATATGATCCTTTTCATTTTCAGTATCTTTTTTTCATTTCTTTTATAACAGTCCTTAGGCTTGGTCAAGATCAGCAGACTCCACACAACTTTTAATCTAATTTAATTTTTTTTGTACAAGTTAAATGTGTTCGGCAATTTTTATCTAGATATATACAGACTTCCCGAAATACGTCGGTCCGACGGACATGTCCGATAAATTTTGATCAGGTCCGACAATTTTTTATTCCGGATCGGTCCGACTGTCCGGCTTTTATCCAAGCAGCATGTATACAAAATGGCGTCGCTAAAGGTGCCAAACCTGGGAAAAACCGAAAATCTACGTCAGAAGAGTGCGCAGAACAGCAATAAAAGGATGAAAAGAATAGACCCGAGACGAAATTTAATGAAAAATGGAAGCAGAACCATGAATCATTGGTGTATGACAGGGAGGAGATGAAAATGCGCTGTACGGATTGTGCCGATTTTTACGGCGAAAAAATAAAAAACAAAAAGTGTCTTAGAAATACAAAAAGTGTCTTAGAAATACAAACACAAGTTTTTCTTTGATTTTGATCAATTTTATTTGGTCTGACAGATTTTGTTTCGGTCCGACAGATTTTCATGGTTTGTCAGACCGAATGTCTGACAGTTTTTTTCAACTTTCGGGAAGTCTGTATATATTTTTCAAACTGTTTCACTTACATAATATATGTCATTAAAGTAATTTAAATGTTATCTCTAGCATGTCAATATAATTCATTATTATTTCATTTTTAACTATTACATGTAGTGTCTACATACCACATTATAGTATTACGATTAATTTAACTTGTTTACCAATTTGTCTTTCAAAGATTATCATAATGTGCTTCTTTTACGAGTTTTATGTTTACATGCATGTATGTCGGTCAAAAGCTATAAATAGTTTATGTTTTGTGCAATGTTATATATATATATATACCCACTATAAATAAATTTTAATTTGACAGGGCTCCAGATAAGATGCGTATACGCGTAAATTACGCATGGAAATAACACGTTTACGCATTCAAAACAAAATTTAAGCGTATGAAAACGCACACAAAATTCAGGTTACGCATTGAGCAACATTTCTTTCGCGTTAACGTAACCGAAATTAAACTCGGTGATTATCTTATTTTTAATTTTGTCTGAACGCTTTGCAAGCGTCTACCGGTAACTTCCAATAGTTCCGACCGTCATCGGTTGTTATCTTATGTATAGTATGGTGGTGGAATAAACTTTGTATGAATGCTTTGCAACGTCTAACGGAAACTTCCTGTAGTTCCGACTGTCATCGGATGTTATCGTATGTATAGTAAGGTGGTGGAATTAACGCAATTTCATAAACATCCGGTACAATGTCGCTGTCAAAAGTTAAAATAAAACGATTGACTCGTATTTTATGCCGAAAAAAATCAGTTAAGGTTATAATTAATGAAATAATTAGCGCTGCCATGTATGAGCAATAGAAACATGCCTCAGGTTCAGATAAAACGTTTGCCGTTTGGAAATGCAAGATTATAAACCAAGGGAGTCCAGAAAGCAAAAGAAATGACTTTGACATATCTTGTATTACAAGTATATACGATAATGCAATAAACATGGAAGCATAATAAATGTTTTACTCTTTTACATACATTTTAAGGAGTACAAATACTCCTGCCAAATTTCAGATTTCAAGTTTTACTCATTCACAAAAAAATCAATGAGTAAATACTCATTGCCCTAAAAAATTATCTGGAGCTCTGATTTGATTTGAAAGGATCGTTATTTTTACTTCAAGTCATGCAGCTTTGCTCTCATGAATAAAGGTCAATACCAATCCTACCTATTTTATTAAGCTAAATCAAGCATTTTAAAGGCTTGTGAAACTGCTGCAATTCTTAGGCCATAAAGACGGAATTATTATCTTTTGTGTAATACCCTCTATATATGGCTTGGTCAAGTTTCCAATACCTTGGTTTAAAACTTAGTTTGAAACTTTTTCATATATCTAAAAATTTGGGAAAGTGTTAAGAAGTAAAGCTCTGACTTGGAGCACTCAAGTGCTGTGCAGACAGGGATGTAATTACGTATGCTAAAATGTCTGAAAAAAACACTCTGTTGTATTTGATAAAACCAAAAGTTGACTGTTTTAAATTGAAAACGGACAGAAAAATCTTTAATGAAAACCATGCGAGATAATTGGTCATTATAGAATGATGGTAAAGAGATGCAGGTTAGCCGAGACCAAAATTTATTCCAATTAATACCCTTTCATCTTGACAGCTACTAGTAAAGCAAACATCATGTTGGGATCCTGTAATGGTCAGAATATTTAAGCAGAGTCCCAACCAGCTGTTGAAGTTGTAAAGGAGTCATTAATACTCATGTGCTTTTGGGCCATTATCAGGATGATAAAGTTTCTTGGACCCAGTCACCCTGCTTTAAGGGTGTTAACATTTTCCCATAATAATCCAGAACTTTTTCTTTCTCAAATGCTATGACATACTTGAAATTTACGTACCTTCTAAATATAACTTCAACATCTTCTTTTTTCATAGCTATAGTGTTTAAATTCCCAACAAATATTCTACAGTGAGCACCACGTGGATCATTTGTGACATTGGATGCTGCAGCAGGGGGTGGTGCCTGTGGTCGCATTTGAGGTCCAGGGCCCCCTGGGCCTACAGGTCCTTGTGGTCTCAATGGTCCTTAGAAGTAAGACAAAATTTTTATTACAAGTCATATGTTCAGAAATACATTTCATGATCAACAACAAGTTTTTTTATAATGTATTATATATTGCATGATCAACAACAATTTTTTTATATTATGTAAACTACTTAACTTTTTAAGTAATGAACTAAACTCTTAAAATTCTTAAACAACCTTTCCTTTAATGCCTAAATAAAGCAAGAAGCCAAGAACTAAAAATGTTGAACTACAATGTATCCAAAAACCTAGTGTCACTGTTAATACACAAACAATGAACATTGTCAAACCATTGTAAAACTAGAAAACCATCAAACTTACCTCTAGGTCCCATACCAGGAGGGCCAGGAGGCCTCATACCTGGTCCTGGAGGTCTCATGCCTGGTCCCATAGGTCCCCCTGGACCTGGAGGTCTGTTTGGACCTGGCATACCATGGGGACCTCCTGGACGTGGCATTGGTCGAGGGCCTCTCATATTCTAAAATGCAAAGAAAAAAGTGAAAATGGCTGAATGGTTCAATGAAAGTTAAAATTTAGAGCTCTTCAGTTTTATCAAATATGCAAAAACAGGTTTTTCATTTTTATCTAAGGCAGCAGATGCCTTAAAGAAAACAACCAATTCAGCCATGGTCATGAATAGGTGATATTTTAATAAAAAGGCTGAAGAATACAATTGATTTTAACAGCATCTTTACAGATGATATGGTAACAAGTGTCTTCACAATTTAGGGTGTGAAGTGCCTGGGGACTAGTCATAGTATCATATTTGTTATTTTTTATTGGGATTTAAGTCACACCAACAAAACTATCATATAAATGGCAGCTAGAGGTGTAACAATAACTTGATTGATTACGACCTATACAGATCTGATAGTAACCTCATCATGATCTATCAATAAAAAAATAAATTACTTAATTTTGATGGTAATCTGATGAAAATTTCAAATACATTTATTTGTCAGACCTGTCATAAATTCAACTCCTGTGGCATATTTGTCAGTAAGTATTGTTTGCTTATCATTATGAATTAATAATTGTAAACAATGTCCTGAATTTCTAAGCAACAGCTCCGCTTCAAAGTACAATAGGCAGGACAAATTATCAACACCTGATATCCACCTGAACGGAACCCGAGAAGCTAAAAAGTTTCATGTAGAATTTGATGCAGATGTTAATTTGTTATTGAAATCAACATGCCATCAGTGATTAATCTAGAAATTCCTTACAATGCGTCGGATGACGCACATGTTTGAAAACAATGAGTCCTGTAGCAAAATCAATGAGTCATGTAGCAAAAAAAATGCGTCTTTTTAATAGCAGATCCTTGACATGATTTGCATGTTTTTATAACAAGCGATTAAGTAATTAAAGTGCATAAAAACGTTATTTTTGGTACTAATATTAATTGCAGGCAAAACAATTTTTATTGGCTGCTCAAAAATCTAATTTTCATAATTTATATTTTCTTACTACTTATGTCTAATACTGTGCATTATCCATTTTAATTGTTCGTAATTTGCACAAAATGTCCCTCTCACACTGTATACATACTGACGACTTTTATTGCTCCTTGTATGCCTCTGTGTAGAAAGCATACACAGACAGACCTTTTGATCATGAAAAAAAGTCATGCACAATGTTACCCTGATTGGTTAATCACCCTGTCAAATATTCTGATGACGTAATAGACATCTTTTTTTTTTACACTCCGCGTGAACTTGAGTGACCTTAGGGGAAATCATTACACACCTGTCAGATTATACTGTAACTTACAGCATTTCTTAAAATAGCAACACTTTTTTCAGTTACCGATAATTATTTAAAATATTAAGTAGATAAATGATTTTTTGTTTGCTTTATTGGATTAAATTTACGGTAGTAGAAATGCAGTAGTAGGTGGGAAAGGGATTAGGTATGTAGATAACTTGGAAAAATGCTATAGGGAAATGGATAAACTCAAGAATATGCGTAATTACAGGGGAATGGGTAACCTGTTGCTGTTGGTACCAGTTTTGTCTGGATGACTAAATAACATACAATATAAGTCTGATGGCCATTTGCTGACGATTTTCCTGTGCCCTTCTCATTTTTTTGCGCCAATGTCTGCATATTTCACCATTGTAGGCGAATCGCTCTTATGCAAAATGGACGCTCTGATTGGCTAATGCCGATAATGGGCGGTTACCGATCACAAGCAACAATTGCTTGGGATTTAACGTTTTAAGCAAATGGGGGATTAGTCTTGCACCTGATATCAGCGGAAATTAAATTATTCAACTGAAGAAATTGAAAAATTATTCAACGAATGAAATTAAAGTAATCAATCTGTACATAGAAATCACTAATCGTGATATTTTGGATTATAAACTTCCTGATTAGCATGCGTCAGATTGAACGCACATATTTTGAAACTGTGCGTCTTTTTCGATTTTTATGCGTATTTTACGCAAGACGCACATCTAGATTAATCACTGGCCATAAAAGTTAAATTGAAAACGTCTTTCATTAATCTAATTACCAACAAGCTACAGCACCAACCCACCTGATTTTAACAAAATAAAGCTTAAAATGAATCACTATAAGATTTATAAGACATGATAATCTTTATAATTCTGGGATGGAAGCTGATGCTGTTTGAAAGTTTTACTTAGGCTATATCCTTGAATAGACCCGGGGTCTAAATCAGGAGTGTATGTAATGTTCATTCCATTTTCTTGGACTTTAAGCCGTCCAGTTACCTCAATAGGTAGAACGTTGGACTGTAAATCAGGCGACAGGTTTGATTCCCGGAAGGCACAGTTCACTTTCGTTGTGACCAATCAATCCTTACTACGGTCATTCACACTGTACCTCTGCTCTTGCGTGTACAGAAGTTATCAGTTCCTTGCGAAATGAAAGCAACTAGTACTGGTAAACTGCTTGACAGCCTGCCCAGGAACAATGCAGTCCTCTGGTAAATTCATTACAAGTGGCTTTTCTGGTAAATTCATTATAAGTGGCTTACTGCGTAATCTGAAATGAAAACTACCAACACCACCACCTTTGACTTTGGTGTACTGTATTATGTCTAAAGTTTTACTTCTGTAATAAACACAGAGGTCTAATCCAGGAGATTCACCGGCTATATCCTGGAAATATTATAGACTCACGAGTTACGGGACGGGTTTGACACAGTTTATTTAAATATCTTTAAATTATAGACGATTATTGTGGTGTTATTTCGAAATGGTTAATTTGTTAGAAAGTTTCAAACATTTATTTACCATCATAGTAAAAATTAACGCGTCAGATCCTTTATTTAAGAAAGCCAACAGCGGGGACCTGGCCTTTCCCGGTTTTTTTCTTGGAAAGATTGCAAGAAATCTACAACGGTTATTTATTGCATTATTCGCTGCTCATCAAAAGTATAATGTGAAGATTTCATAGACAGTAGCCTCTTACAATATTAAAAGACAATCTTTAAGATATTTTAAGAGAACTTTTACACATGTGTATTTTAAAGAAGTTGATTTTAGTACCACACCAGATGGCGTGTATAATACTTCCGGTTTCAAGAGTGGCGTTTGCTTTACAGACTTTTATCAAAACGAATTTTTTATACACCACTAAATTTTTTACGGTGGTTCAATCAGGTCAATGAGACCGGGAACGTACACTATAGTTATAGAAAATGCCAGGACTGTCGTGTCCTGTTCCATTTCGATCCTAGTCACCTCAAATGTGCTAGTCGCATTAATTTGACCTAAAATATGTTTAAAATTTATCTTGTTATTCATGTAATATAATATCAATATATTAAAAAAATATTGTCTGTAACAATATAACAAAAATCAATCTTTTTTTGTATTTTTTTTTTTTACATTGATATCATATTACATGAATAATAAGATTAAACCTATTTTAGGTCAAATCAATGCGACTAGCACCTTTGAGTCACCTCAGTCTGCTTTTAAAAGCTTCAGCTATAACATCCGCAGCTGGTACACATGTAGGATCTTATGTTCAATTATTTTGTCCTGAAAATCTTCTGCCAATGCCCTGTTACTTTCAACGACGTGTACACACTTAAATATGGAAGAGATAGCAACACATTAAGGCCAATATTATGTTACTGTTATTTGACATTTGGTTTATATACAGGACATTCCTTAATTACAAGGTACCGACTCGAGCCTCACTTATTATTTATTTATTTTCTTTTTTAAACCTTATATTTGATATGAAATTAAGAGGGCATCTAAATAAAAAATAAACAAACGAGCAAAAGTACCACAAAGGCCGGGTAATATATGTACCCGAAAGATACTTTTTTTGTGTACTCAAAAATAATCTTTCAATCAGTGAAGAAACCCATTCAAAAACGTCAACAAAAACTTTCTATTTTAATTATTCTTTTTATATAAAATAAACCCCAGGTACATATCTGGCTACATGCCTCTAAACACTGTAGTTATCCACATAAAGATTTGATGTGATTTCTAGTACACCAATCTACATAAGGCATGGTGACCCCCAGGACAGACAATTTTGACACCAGGGTCATGGTTAATACATGTATACATAACTTTTGTAGAATACTATAAATTGATGCTACATGCCAATATCAAAGCTCTGCGGAGTAATTAATTTCAAGATATTTTAATAAGTCTGCATAAAAAATGAACCCCAGGGTGAGCCTAATCCTTACCTAAGAATCATGATTTATGCCACTGGTGTAAAGTTTAACACAACAATGTAACTTGCCAAATCGTCGTTTCGACTGTGGTATATACTGGAGTTGACGCAGTTGATGCGAAATTTCAGTTCAGCCAATCGAGATACAGTAATACATGTATGTCTTCTTAATTTAGGCATAACCTTTAACTTCAGATTGAGGTATGTTCTCATGGACCTGCTATCTTTGTTTCAGACTGTGACATCTCTAGTATAATGTAGTATATATAATGTAGTTACCTCACTAGAATAGACAGAGAGCCACATTTAACTAAATTGAGCTATCTGCAGATTTAAATAGTAAATACATTACATCAATTATCGAATGATCAAACAATTTATGCTTCAATATACATACAGTAAAAACCCGCTTTACGACCACCCCGTTTTCGAGACCAACCCGCTAATACGAACGATTTTTTAAAGACCCGATTTTTTTATTCTTTATTTTAATGGTCGCTAACCCCGGTTTTGAGACCACCCCGTTATTCCGTAATACGACCAGTAAATTCAGTCCCATTTCGTAAATTCTGTACATTTGGAAACCCATAAATACGACCGCAGGCACTTTCTCACCTTGATATTGACAGGCATGTATATTGCTGAAATCTTTTTGACACCTGATGTAAACAACAGTTGTCCTAGTTTTACGACATTTAACGACATCCAATTTACGGCAGAGGTCAAGGTTACTTTGTATCCAACCCGTAAATGATCAACAAGGTTAGCTTTTAAAAAAGCTAGTAGCGACTCGCTTCGTAATTTTTTTCAAGGGGTGTGTTTAAATGAAAAAATGACAGTTCTGTTAGCTGAAGAGACTTCAGCGAACATCAAAATAAAAGTGAAGTCAACACTGGCCCGGTGCCCGATGGCCAGTGTATATAAGTTCAGGCCAGTGTAAATTTAAGAAAATTTTGTTAATTATTTAGTAGAATAAATTCAAAACTGGAATTCGGGCCAGTAAATTCAAAATCTTAAACTCATTGACTGAAAGTGACATATAAAGTTCTCTCAGTTTAACCAAGATGAGTTTGAGTATATATGAAGGTGCATGTAAACAGATTGAATGAAGAACCTATGTCTATGCACATTTACTATATGGCCTGTTGACCTTGACCACAAAATGTTAGATAGGTAGATTTCATAAAGATGTCTCTTTATACAAAATTAAGTTGTAATACATGTATGTTATTCAGTATTGGAATGAGAGGCACAAGTCCTAAAGTAAACACAAGTTGTCAATCAATTCAGCCAGAAAAGCCGGGATCCTATTAAAAAATATAGGGATCCCAGAAATTGACCAGGCTAAGAAGATGTTTTTCAGATAAGCCGGGATCCTATTTTAAAAAACATATAGGGATCCCGGGAATTGACCAGTTCAAGAATATAGTTTTCAGAAAAGCCGGGATCGTATTAAAATGTAAATAGATCTCACGGATTGGCCAGTTCAAGTATATAGTTTTCAGAAAAGCTGGGATCGTTTTAAAACATACAGGGATCCCGGGATTTGACCAATTCAAGAAAATAGTCTTTGATTTTTCCAATTAATTAGGCATATAATTATAAGTATTGTGATTTCCGCATTTTCAGTTTGTTAATAAATAGCTCTAAATATATCTATATTCTAAGTTAAATTAATTTAACGTTCATTATATACAATAAAAAAATTAACGTTTTATGGCCTTTCATTACGACAACAATCAACACAAATATAGTTTATTAGGTTTTTCCTCCATATCTTATACTATCCCGGATCCCGGGCGTTCCGGATCCCGGCCAGTAAATACATACACTAAATACCGGAAAGGATAAAATGACCGGAAAAAAGGAAAAATAAAAAATGCACAGAACCAGATGTACACTTATGTTAATTAACCAAACGAAAACTTACTACAGAGAAAACAGGTGAAATCGCTAAATCAGAAGTCAGTGTAAATATGATTTATTGAAAAGAATTCATAAAGACAAACATTTTAATCATCATTATATCTTTGCGCTCAAAACAATACTTGCTGATTTTTAAAAATGGCGTGAAAATTGAAGGTTTTTTGACGCTATGTAAGATTAAATTTGATTGGCTAAATAATTTTGGATCCTAGCCCTGATAGATAAATTTTGTAGAAAGCTGGAAGCCAAGCTTCGATTAAATTTTTGGATAGCTTCGGAGTTTTAGGTTGTTTCTCAGTAAAATCCTACCGTAATACCGGCTCGCCGTGGCGAGCCGGCATAATATTGTCGATAATTTCTTAATTTCACACCTTTAATGTCATAACTGGAGGAATAAAACAACAAAATATTGAACAAAAAACTTTCAAAAACGTTTTTTAGAGGTGTTGCTGCTATCATTATCTCTTTCGTTCCATAATTTTAAACAAACATAAACATGATACGATTAGGTTTTTGAAGTTGTTATCGGCAATGAAAACTGTGAAAATAATTAAAGGTCAATTGTTCGGTGTGCTTTGTAGTAAAATGGTGATTTAATTGAGTAAGTCATGTCATTCTTTTAACAAGAATGTAAAAATATTTTTGTGTTTAAAGACATTCATAATACATTTTGTACCTCTAAAGAAGTTTAAAAATTTTATAATGTTAAAAAGTAAAAGAAAATAAATGAAAATAAAAAAATAATAGTGTATGCTTTATATCTTCTCATTTGAAATAGGTTAGCCCAGAATTAAACATGTGTCCAGTACATGGTATCCCTTAATATATTGCCTGGTTTTCTGTTTGACCAAACTCATTAATGAGACCAACCCGCTATTAAGACCAGATTTGTAAAGTCCCATCATTGGTCTCATTAGCGAGTTTTCACTGTATTCTATATGTATATCATATCCTATATATCCTGTACTTTTTTATTTTAAAATCGATCAAGGACAACACTACCGAAATAATCGATTTTAAAAGTTTGAATGCGTTTTTTTTTTCAAAATGGAGTTAGATCATTTTAATAATAAAGCAACAAAATATCTTAACTATGGGCGTTTTTGTTTCAAACAATAAAACTAAAATATTTTATCTTATATAAGTCCATATCAACTAAATGGTCCCTGGGTGGAGTAAATGTTGACCCAAGGAGAATGATATGAATAAGTTTTGTGGAGGTCCACAATGCAATGCTACATACAAAATATTAAAGCTCTGGCCATTATTGTTTTACAAAATAAGACTAAAAGGTATATCCTATACAAGTGTATATAAATCAAGTGACCCCGGACTTGGGCCAAATGACATGGTCAATATCACTTTTGTAGAAGTCTACAAGGTAATGCTACATGCCAAATTTCACAGCTCAGGGCATTGCAGTTTCACAAAATAGAATTAAATGTGTTTTCTATATAAAGCCTGTATGAATCACGTGACCACCGGGGCAGGACCAATATTGACCCAAGGGATATGATTTATATCACATTTATAGAGGTCAACAAGAAAATGTTACATGCCAAAAAATCTAAGCTATTGGCAATGTTGTTTCTTAAAATAAGACTTTAATGTGTTTTCTTATATAAAGCCTATATAAATCAAGTGATACCCGGAGCAAGGCCAATATTTACCCAAGGGGCATGATAAAAATGAATTTTGTAGAGATCCACAAGGCAATGGTACATGCCAAATATCTTAGCTCTGGGCATTGTAGTTTTACAATATCAGACATAAATTTGTTTTCCTATTCAAAATTGACACCCAGTGTGGAGCCAATTTTGAACCTGGGTTTTGCATGTCGCCTCATTATAAGTAAGATTTCTGCCAAATAGTTTTAATTTCATTCCAATGTTTCAAAAGATACAGAGTGGGCACGAAATTTTGAAATTAATTCAAAATGAGTAAGTGTGACCTTGACCTAGGCCTGAGGAAGGTCAAATGTGTGCTCTGCACACTGAAATTGTGTCGGGCGTATAAATGTCACAAGTGACTGTGAAAAAAAAATGGGAAAGTACCTGATTTTTATTTATATATTTTTAAGCATCTTATTAAAGTTACATCAAACAATATATTAGTTTAAGCCACGCTTCGTTGCTTTTACCGATATACTTTATATAAATATACACACTATGATACCGCCTTATGATTTATGATGTAAACAACATTTATCTGATTATTATATTCACTCTCTTTTACGCATAAAGGAAATATTTGTCGCTGAGATTTACATTAATATTGCGCGTGTTTTGTCGATGTTTTTGTTCTTTGAAAGAGAATGTTAACTTCCGTCATTTTTCATCTGTTTTCTGTATTCATTGTTTTCACCCACCAGAAAGCATGGATTTCTTCGGATTGTAGGAAATATTCTAGTGATACTTTGACATGTAAAGAAAGTATTCCTGTAGAGATACCTCTTGGCATCTCTAGGGTTGTTGTATCTAATTATTTACGTACTAATATTTCTAACATCACATTTACACATGTAAGTTGGAGAAATGTGGAGGTTTTTGATATAGGCATAAACCCTAATGTTTATTTTACAGTTGCCGGATTTAACTTTTATAGCTTATATAATGTAAAAGTGCTCGGTATTCATTCAAGGAGATTAGATGATATACATACAGATATGCTAAAGGGACTGAACTCTTTACACACTTTGGATTTTTCAGATTGCTTCGGACATTGCTGGTACCGTTGATGCGCTTCTAGCGTATCCCGGTACATTAGAATTTCTCAAACTTGATCAGATAGGGGGACGCAGTGTCACAATTGATGGAAATTTTGTTAATATGATTGCAGTGAAAAAAATTCTAAACTGAGTCTGTGCAGACTCAATATTTTCCCAATGGGGCCTATCACAGCTACAGAAAAAGAACCAACTTTAAAATACATAGACATTTCAAATTCTACTATTCTTCCTTCGAAGTCGTACAACTTTAATGATCGATATATATTGCTAACAAACATATTAAGAAATGTTGAGGTCTTGAATGTTTCCTCATTGCCGTATTCGTTTCTTAATATAGATTATACACTTGTAAGGAAGGTTAGTGGCAAAAATTGTCTGCAAATGTTTAGTGAATCCAGCTCTAGTGAAATGAACAACTACTTGTTTCCCAATATGAAGGTACTGGAAATTAACGATTTGTTTAAATATAAAATAGTTTTGAACAATTCTGTCATCAACTTAACGTGTGCCGGGCAGGTGAATTTAAAGTCTATTTCTATGCGACATAACAATCTTCAATGGATGAATATAAGTTTGCTTTTACCAACTGATTTTGCCATCAAAGAAATGGATCTGTCCTCGAATAAAATACAATACTTATCGCCGCAACTAATGAGTGGATTTTCTTATCTTCAAAGATTGAATTTAGCATACAACAGTCTTGGATTTATGCAAAAATATGAGGAATTTAGAAACATCTTTTCGGGGCAGAGACATATCATTGTTTTAAATATGGCATTTAATAGTTTGACGTATTTGCCAGTAAATATGTTTATGAATAATAACAAACTTCGTCAGTTGGATTTACACGGGAACAAACTCAAAACACTTAGTTTCAAGTTTCAACATTTGCACGGTCTTTCAATTCTTAACCTGAGTTTTAATGGCATAGTGGCATTGGATCCAGTCACTATAAAAGCATTTAATAGTTTTCGAAATGTTATCGAACGGATCGAAAATAAAACTGCTGTCATAAACTTAGATTTAATCGGAAACCCCATTGTATGTGATTGTAATACTGTAGGATTTATTGAGTGGATATTTACAGATCTGACAGTTAACAAAACTCAGCCTTACAGCTGTTATTATGAAGGGGAGTACCTAACTATCGACAGAAATATTATCGAAAAGTCGAAATTTTTATGCCACCGGACTCTCGTCATCACTCTCTCCGTGGTTATTGTCGCAATCATTGTAACAGTAATTTCTGTATATGTTACCATAGCCCATTACAGATCCAAAGCGAAGAGAAGAAAACTTTCTCGAGAAAAGTTTATTGAAATGTTTTTGGGAGATGATTTCAGTAAAAACCGTATATCCTTTATTGTATATGCAAGCGATGATTTTGATGACCTGAACAAATCGTTTAGCCGCTGTTTAAACAACGATTTACAAAACGCTCTAAAGACTGACCGGAGACTGATTTCCACCGGCGACCTTGACATTGCTCCAGGATATCCTATCATGGAAGAGGTACTACGATGTGTCACCAAGGCATGTACTTTGATCGTTTTAGCATCAAAGAAGTTTTGTGAAAGTGAGTGGTGTCAGATAGAACTGCGAGAGGCTTATAACTTGAATATTCCTATAATTTTGTTGTTTAAAGAAGATGTTGAGGAAAGTTTGATGTCACCGACAATGCTTGCAGTGTTTAAAAAGTTTGCTAGAGCGAAACTTATTGCAAAAGACGACACATTTGAAACAGTTCCTGAATGGAACCAATTTGTAGAGTCTGTTATTAACTTAGCAATTGAGGGTACTGGCCTTATGTAGAAATTAAACATATATTAACTGTTCACTTTATATTTGTATTCAAAATTTGATTATGACGTAAGGTGGTTTCTAACAAAAAATATATTATCAAAGTTATACAAGTCAATATTCTATTAATTGCTGTATATATAGTATCTTTAAAAGGTATTTGACTAGTATAGAGTATGACATGTGTAATTTAATTTGAATTGGCATAGTTCCGTTTGTTAAAAATGTTAAAAACCAGCAATAATCAGTAATACTGGTTACTATACCACGCTCTCAAAAAGTCAACATAATTTTAAAGATATACTATGCTCAAATGTGATATTAGAAAATATCTATAATTGCTATACAGTCTCTTTGTGAATATACAATAAACAGGTTTTGACTTCACATAAAGTAGATATGTTATGTTTTAATTTTTTTATTCTACACACTATAGGTGTTCACCATATGAAAATATAGTGTTATTTTTAAAAAAGCAACAAAAGTATAAAATGTCATTGTGTTAATACAAAACTATTGATTTTATATAAAAAAAATATTTCAGGGTATAAAGTTATATCTTATTAAACTATTTTATAAAATAATCAACAGTAAAATTATAATGTTTCAAAACTCTTTTGGTTGATGTAACAAACAATGCCTCTGTTATTTAACACACGTGGATATTGTACGTAAACAGAATAAAATGTTTCGACACAAAATATAATTGTAATATTTTTAACAGGGTTGTATCCGTTTAGCAATGATTCCATGTATTTTAAGGCAACATACTTCCATATTTTTATAAAAGCATTTTTGGTGGATTTTGCAGTAGATATAGCTGTATACCCTTTAAAACATATTGTTTACATTTCCTACAAAACAACTTTTTTCAGCAAGCTTGTAAACACTAAGACATTTTGTAGAAGTATTATAGATAGATATCTACTCTTGGTCCAGTTGGCATGAACCTTTCGACGAGACTAATTCAAATGTCAGTCACTTTTCTTTTCTGAACATAGGTTGCAAGATTGGGTAAGGCCAATATACGTTGTCTATGTGCTTGAAGCTTGGGGAATGCATCCATGAGTTTTGGGCTGTGATGTAGTGGTGTGTCAAATATATCTATGACTGCGAGGTCGCCCAATGTTAGCTAGAAAAAAAGAAACAGTACTGATCAATCTTGCACTGGCATATTAATATAGAAAACTTAGGGATACTTTTTAATAAAGGAATGGGAGTGGGGTCCAGGAAGGGGAATTAATTAAACAAAATTAAATTAATGAAATTACTAGCGAGGAAAGAGTGACGCTGATGTTTGGCATAGATGATAAAGTCATTGACTTTTCACATGGATCCATATGATGACAAGTGTTTAATAGCTCTTGTTTTATACAACAATTGAAATAATGTAAAATCGTTATATAAATATCATTTTTTTAAAATAGAAAGTTTCTGGAAAAGTGAAAGATTAGGATGGGATAAAACAATAAGAAATTTCAGACAAATTTTTGCTATAGTATATCAAGCCAAATAGCATTTAAATGACGTCCATGTTGTGGTGATGCAGTATCAAGAGAGTCGGGTTCCATTTCCAGTTGCATGTGACTTTCTAACAATAATATATTGCCCAGGAGTTTATTTATTTTGATAAATGATGTATGCCATCTCGTCACGCCTAACCTAGAGAGAAAGACATATATGAACTTACTCCACTTCCTACAAAGTAATTGCCTCCGTTTTTCTCAAGAGCATTTTGAAAGAACCCACAGAATTTCGGATACAACACGTCCTCCAAATTTTTCAGTAATTCTTTCTGCAATTAAATTCTAGTGAATATTAAAAAAAGGTACATGTATATGTATATACTCAGGTAAATGTAAACGAGGTACGTATAATTAATAAATTTGACTGTTTAAATACATATTGCTATACCTTTACACTTTTCTTAATAATAATATTTATGGTTTTTGTATTTTCTGATCGAAGATCAGTATTTTCTGAAAATACAAAGCGGACATTCAATCTCTGACAAGACCTAACAACAAGTAGTTCTCAAAACAGCTTAAAACTAGCGATTTAAAAGAAAGAAATATTTTTTATTTTGTTACAAGTATCCAACAAATTACAACGCATTCAAAGTTTAAAAGTAGCGTTGGCCTATAGAATTGTCAATAAATACACAATCACAAATTACGCGGATGAATATGATTTTAATCAATGAAAATGCTATTTTTAGCGATGTCGATTACCGAATACTACACAAATAAATCTGACTGCCGAGTAGTGGAATATATAGATTCTACATGTCGGACTGTTTGGGCGAGAAGATTTTCGCTAAATTATTTACTTCAATTTTAAACAACAGGTTTATCCTGAACATAATACCTCGAAATTCATAAGGATTATAAACCCGAAATGCAACGGAAGTTCTAAATTTAGAATGACTTGATTTTATTCAGGCATTATCAACACAATCATAGCGTATTTTTTCAGCCAGTGAAATCGCTGCATGGAAGTTCAAATTATTTCCCTGAACCACAGAGTTTTTATTTGTTTAGGTCGTCAGGCCAAACAAATAATGGTAGCGAAATTTCAGACTCTAATGCTGTTAATTGCAAATGCCGAAAGTAGTCCGCTTTTTTGAAGCGGTTACTTCCCTTTATATGTAACACTAAGGCCGAAAAATTCAGGGAAGATCACTGCGTAAATATGGTCACATGACAGGCGCATTAATTTTCAAGCAAAATAATTCCCGAATGGTCGAAGATTTCTAATATTGTTTTATTCTTTATAGATATACATGCTTATAGTAAGCGCCATGATTATTTACACAAGCGTTAAATAATAGTTAGCGTCGTTACAAACCCTAATTAAGAATAATATGGTTTTCTTCAGGCCGTTAACTATAAATTCACCGTGGCCGAGGTGTTTGCGCGCCCGCTTCGGAAGCGAGAGGTCTGGAGTTCAAATCCCAGTTATGGCAACTCATTTTTTTTTTCAAATCGTTAAGTCAAATAAACATTGGATTGAATATCAGTGTTGCAATTAGTCTTATAGCCAATCTACTACAATTAAAACGCTCGAAAGCATTGGTGGCACTATACAAAAACAAATTGTTTTATAATCTCACAACCTTCTACATTCTGAGACCCAAACAAATTCAGCGCCTTCTGTGCTTTGATTTTTATTCGGCCATAGGCTATTTGTGATTTGATTTCACAGTGACATGCGGTAAATGAAAAACGGCTATTTGAAAAACACAAAAGTATTCTTTACCTTCTTTCCCTCATCCTTTTCAAAATAAAATTTGATAACCTCTTTAAACAAGTCCCCGGCTAGACCCATATATTGGTCTATCAAAGCTTGTTCCCAACTTGTCTTTCCGGCCAACCCTAAAATATGAAATGTGCAACTCAGTTATTATATGGTTAACAATATTGTAGGTAGCATCGACTTTGCCAAAAACATAAATGCCTGGTGTGGTTATATAAAATGTACTCTAATAATAAATATTTACGTCACACGAAAACACATACATCAGGGTACATGCATATGCCGAGAATCGATTGATTACATGTAATGTGTGGTTATAATAGTAAATATCTACGTCACACAATATTTATGGGAATGGTCTAAAACACATATATCAGTATAGACTAAGAAGCAGACATTAAACTTAACCATTTTCGTGCTTTTGACCAATTCACACTTTACTTGCAAAATACATGTAGCTTTACACTTTAAACTAATCAAGCTTTATTTTGCCCCCACCACCACAAGTACATTTCATTAAATGATTAAGATCTACACAAATGTAATCTTGCATTAATTATATTAGTAATACATGATATGTGATTAAAACATCACAGTAGTATGTGTTTTAAAACAGTATAACGTAACATTTATTAAGCACTTATGGTTGAAAAATATGTTCCTATATGATAAAAAATACTATGTTATTAAAAAGTGAGTAATTACCAAATTCTCGTGCAAGGTATCTTGCGATAGAGCCACTTTGTGCCAGTTTTTTACCATCAACAGTTAGGACAGGAATCTGACCGAATGGGGTTGCTGACATAGGAAGAAGGTGAAATATATTTCATTTATATGAGAGAAACGTAATAATATAAAACTAACAATAAAAATAATAATAATAAACACAAAAAAAAACAACAACAATATATTGTTATATCTGTGGTTTTCACTCTTTCAACCAGAAAATTGAAAATAAGATTTCAGTTTCATTGATATTATGAGTCCAATATCATCAGTATTGTTCTCAACAATATATAATATTATCTTCATTTCTAAGCACCATTTTTTATATTTTTACTTCGAGTACTATACATTCTCGAGTGCTGGGTCATTAAATCTATATTATATGTAACTTTATTTTACAAATGTTTATCAAAAATGTGTCGTTGTTCAGAAGTATCGCGCATGAATACATCTGCATACATTATTTTATAACATTAGTAATGCCTCATGCAGAGCCAGTTGTGTACCAATAAGGGTAGCTGTATTATCTCCAAAAAGCGGACCTCGATATCGGGGAAAATTGTGCAAGTATGGGTTTTACATATTAATATTGTTACTGTGCATCTTAAACACAAATAATTTCAATTCTTTATTTGCATCAATCTCATTGACATTCAACATTTTTTGCTTGTAACTTTGTTGGACATGAATAAAAAAAACTCCCACAAACTTGAAGGAAAAATTATCAAAGATCATATAGCTGTAAGTGGCTTTAGCTTTGAAATTCATGAATGGATTATTAATTCATGGAACAGCTTTCATTTACTCAACAAATACCTATATATACTTCCCAGTTCTCTCCGGCTTACCGCATACAGCACTTTCAGTGCTTTGATATTAACTCTTACACTGAAGACGAGGCTAGATTTGATTTGATATGGAATTTTGATCTTGCTAAATGAAAATCAGACTCAGATGATAAGATTGGACATAATAAGGATTTATATAAGGAGAGCATATAGTGAAAAAACTGGAAGTTCATTATGTCAAATCCATCACGACATAATCGATATAAATTGGGACTTTGTTGTAAATATAAAGAGGAAATCCCCCCCCCCCCAACATATACCTGCATCAATTGGTACACAAATCTCAACTAGTATTGCGTCCTCCATGTATAAAAATAAAGAGAAGATCAGGGGAGCCCCCTTAAGTGTTTTCATATGTTCTTATGTAAAAAAAATAAAAGGAAATAAATACTTTGGCGACAATGTTTTATAACCAGTAAATATGAAAACATTGTTACGATTATCTTATGAAAAGCGACGTTTCAAACGTGCAGTATTACAAAACTACATTTAACAAATCTTATAAGTGTGGATGTATAAATATCTTAAAATGTGAGTCAATATTGACCTATCATACTGGAATTTTCAATATATACAGGTGAGAGACATGGTATGATATTTCATTTATTAAATTTCCTCACAAACACAAATTCAACACTCATGTCAAATAAATGTGATGGTGCGTAAAAAGTAAATGTTGCAAAATAATTACATCTGTGATTTATATTCTAAATCTACATACACCTACGTTGACTTTAATAACAACATTGCAGTTTTATTTATCTTTGTACATTTAATTTTGAGATAAAATTTCGTCGTAAGAAATTTTGGCTCATTACTGGACGATGGTCTGTTGCACTCCACAGGGAAGTTCAGGAAAAATGTTATTACTAACATTGTGCTCTTAACCCATTACTTCATGAGCATTTTGTGAAAAATGGCTGTTTTCATTGAAAAGTCTCCCGTTACAAGTTCAAATTGATATAAAACTATAAAAACTGCTTCAATACTAATCAAACTTGGGACAAATGTTGACTGGACCATTGCCTTTGTAACGATATGCTCAGGCTTAAATTTCCTGTTACCATGGCAACGAGGGGACATCTCAAAATTGCCAAAAATCACTATTTTGCGTTGATTTTTTCCATCAAAATTGATTTCAAAGTGCTGCAACTTCTCAATAGATTGAGATAGAGTCAAATGCTTTTCAGCGTTGTTTACACGTTACCTTATGATCGATCTGGGGTCATTTTAAGGCTCTCACAAGTCCAGAATTTTCTTGGCAATGAGGGGGACTGCCGCCCCCTTCAACCCCCCCCCCCCCCAAACAGAAGTGGGCACATCCCTCTTCTGCCAACCCCCTGATGTATCTTTTGGTTGGGGGCCGCGTCGAAAAAGTGGTCACCTTTTTAAGCAACATTTCTTAAACAAAAACAAGTGTTGGGGGCCTAAATAAGGCATTTTTTCACCATTTGAGACAACAACAAAGGGGGCGGGGGTAAAAAAGGCGTTAAAAGGCGTGTATATCGCGTAATGGGTTAAATGGTTATCTCAGCGCCGAACTTAACCAATACGATGAGCTTCAAACTACGATTTTATCAATGTCTAAAGAACAACATATGATTGCAGTTTCATCATGATGTCTTGCAAGCACGCATCAAGAGCGCTATTATCTTTAAACAGCATCAACGTAATCAAATATCACCATATATCTAGAGCTAAATATAATATAAGCTATACAGAAATAGAAGCTATACGGGATGAAATTAGCCGCCTCATAAAGATTTTGGTAAAATGCCACAAATCATCGCCTATTGTATTATAAAAAATATTGCGTCAACGCTGCCAGGTTAAAATAAATAGCCAGAGTAGGCATAATTTTCAATGAGACATTTATTTTGCGATATTGGCTTATAACGCAATATCACATTTATTAGGCATTTTTATTATATTAGTGTTTCTCATGAAAGTTAATACATGGAATATCATAGCATGTCGCGATGACACCAAAACTGACACATTTATGAAACATGCACACCTATAAGATTTGTTAAGTGTATATTGTCTTATCGATTTATCCGTTCTTAAAACTGAAACTATCTTTTGATTTATTTATAGTGTAATAAGTCAAATCTTTGAAATCATTTGATGTCAGTCGACATATTAAGCCCATACGGTTGTACATTATTGACAGTGTTCATCCGGTGCTCTACTTTTACCCACATTCAGAATGACCTGTCGTCCTGTGTATACCCCAATGGTGACTATCCATTATGATAAACTTTTCAAACTACATGTATACGCTTAACACTTTGCTCTCACAGTTTGGATTTATGTTGGAGATAAGCTGTTTTCACGTTTTTGACCCCGTAAAATTTATATCAATGTTTTAATTTATAAACCAGGGAAACGCTATATTTATCGATTTGACCTTCATCGGATATACGAGTACAACCGCTTCAACGACTTCAAACCTTAGCTTGATTGCGGTTCTTTTTTTCCCACTATATTTTAGCGGGGAAGTGTGTGTGGGATAGGGTCATCTCGATAGAGCCACCAAAGTTTCATTAAAAGCTCGACATAGGAAGCATTCTCTTCGTTCTGGAGTCAAACAAAAATCGGAGTAGATCAAGAAAGCGCTTGGTGATCAAAGACCGTAGCCATCGGGCTACAATTTGACCGTAGAAATATGTTTTAATTTTCTTATGACGTTACATTTTTTTAAAAGAAATGCTTACATAAAAAAAAACAAATTTTAATGAAAACTAAGATAATACGTTTTTCAGTAGTTAAGCTGTCCACAAAACTCCCTAACATTTTTGTATACAATATTTATTTGCTTATGTGTTTAGCGTTGAGTTATAATAATTTTGGATGTGACGGAATGTGCCGAAACTTATAAACTAACGTGAGTTACATTAATGATTAAATGAATCAATTTTATTTTCTTTCATATTTACACTTTTACACCCAGCTCCATACTTTGCTTAAGCTGTTTCTGATTTTCATACGGAAAATCACGGAATTTGTCGAAAGCATATGAACTTTGATCAGTAGGGTACAATATTAAATATTTACATTCTTTAATTGTTGCCCAGGTTGGAAAATCGTATCTTATGTCCTCGAAGTCCTTGTCAGCGGCGTGAAACACATACCGGATAATCTCACCACGTCCTCGCCCATCAAAATATTGGAATTTGTAGGTCGGCATCTTGCAACTAACAAATCATGATACAATATTTAGTGATATAAGACAATAATAAAATACTTCAGAATATTTGACACAGTATTATATACGAGAGTATTAATTTATCAAATTTGCAAGTAATCGTTTGAACTTTCGAACTTAAGCCAGCATTGTAGGGTATATCTTAATAAGAAAATTGTCTACAAACTGGTAGATACACCTGTTTAAATACAACAAGAAGGGACAACAACTAAAAACATAGTGAAATGACATACATATACTAATATAATTTCGGACAAAAATAATAAAAGCTTACAGAAATTTTTAAAGCATAGATTTTGAAAATATGCATACGTCAAATGCAAAAAGACATATTTGTAAATAAAGTAACTGATACAGGGTAATATTTATGCTGGTCGTTGCACAACTTGTTTAAGCTTATTATTTCTACTTTTATGACCGCCTACAAAACCGAATAAAAAAATATAATGCCACTTTATTCTAAATGCGCATTGCAAACTTAACATCCTGCTTTAATGAAAACTATATTGCCAATATTTTATTGTTACATGTACTTTTTTCACTGCAGAAATGATAAAACATGCTATTTAAGCTATAAATTTTTTCAGTTTTATTAAAGTGAACTTACCTATAAGATTTAGTATCCACCGTTGAACTGAGCTTTATTTATCAGTTGTTTTAACCTCTTAGCTGCGACAGTGAGGGATGTTGAAAAAGTACAAAAATATTGATATAACAAGTCGGCAATTTATACCTACCCTGATGGTATCGAAATAGCCAGCAATATACAGCCGGTCTAGCCTGCACATCTGTGAAGTCTGGCCAGGCCTTGTACTGATGGTAGCTGAGTTTTTATATTTGCTGCTGAAATCCTTTAAAATTGAAAAGAGCAAACTCATTACTCAAATCCAGCATTTAAAGGATTTAAATGGTAAATGTGTGGTTCTTTGTATATACAATTAGTCTGACATTGAGGGATATTGAAATAACTTTTAATTGACAAAAAGGTAAATAATAAAAAGCAGGCCATCATTACATATATGGTTTTTGTAGAAAAATATTATTTTTATTTGGGCTTGATAAAGAGTCGGGTGTACAATCTAAAACACATGTAGTATTGTTTTATTTAACGTAGTATTAATGTCAAACGTGAAGAATAAAATATCATTAATAAAGACATGATTATTAAGAAAGAAAGATTGAGCATACGAAAGCAATTGGGAAAAAAACAACAACCAGAAACATCTGATCAAAGGGCAGGGCAAAGATTGGAGTGTAAACCCATAACGTTTTTGTTTTGTCTGAAGAACTGGAAGGTCAATATAAAACGTCATTTCCGGCATGTGGGACAATAAAAAGAAGGTATTGAATCGTATCTCATAATTGTTTTCGTCCTATTTTAGACATATCCCTTCACAACTTCCTGTACCAAAGTTTATATGTCATACAATTAAGATACAGGCTACATTGCAAGTTATAGATATTAGCGTAATTTCATATTTAACTTGTCGTCCACTTCAACTTTTGGAATCTCCCTTCCAGATAGTGACATTTACATTAGCATTTGAGAGCGTGCCATTTTAGTGAGCATACATAAACATTTAAACGTACCAGCTAGCTCGTTTTTACCTTGACATACTTAACACAAAAAAAAGGAATATGGATGAAATAAATATTATTTTATGAATTACATTATTAGAAGCATTGTAATGTATTGATATCTGCAGATACAACATCGGTCTTTGTTCTCCTCCGAAAAACGTGTAACAACTTTACGGTAACCCCTACATAGATTCTCTTAAAAATTAATGTTCTCTTAAGGGCATAAGTTGGTAAAGAAATACATTTGGGCAAACTAAAGATTATAGCTTGTATTTTGTGAGCAGTTTGAAAAGTGTTGCAAAAACGGAAATCTGTGTATAAATATTTATTTACATTTGTAGTTTCGTCTTCAAAACTTTTATGTACCATGTCAAATGTAAAACCAAGTACATTTAGTTCAAACTAATTTTAGTGAAGCATAATTAAAAAATGTATATCTATACTTTATTTATTTCATTCCGATGTCCTTTGTCATTTCTCACGTGACTTTGTGGTGACGCTTACGGACATCATGGCGTTAGGATATGTCGATATGAAAGGTAAGACATCGCCGAGAGAAAGTAAGGGAGATGATCATTACACAAATCAGCTAGACTGTTGTAAAGGAGTTGCACTTCTTTAGAACCAATCGCAGTTTTGCGGCCATTTCCGTCAATCTTCGGAATACGCAGAGCAGCTTGTATTATAATTATGTACTACATTTTTCGAGTTAAATTATATTCATTATATCGTGTACAAGTCCTCTTACATGCAAGTAAAAAGTACATTATTTATATACTATATTATGTTTTAAGGAACTGTATACCCGTTGACTAGGTAATACCAGAGACTTATACACATAGCTCTGTGGTAATTGATAATGGACATTCTTTAAATGATTTTTATTGACTGTCATAACTTTACCGAAAATGACATTATTTTCCGTTGGTTGTAAAGTTAATACAATACAAGGGGTCAAATACATGTATGAATAATAGCCGAGGTGTTCCGATTGCTTTAAAAATACTACTTTCGTCACTATTTCCGTCGTACCCTTGTTTCATGGCGGTCGATAGAAAGAAATTACATCAATAAAAAGTTTCATTTTTTTTGTAATTCATGATTATAGAGAGTGTGTCATAATTTCATGTCCAAATTAAATAATTTGTCTACCAGGCATGTTTGCTTGTGTTTCCCCCAACACGCTTATCGTGCGCATTCCAAAAGCTGCGGTTACAATTATTACAAATAAACAAAGAAATAAAGCAATATAAAAATAGATTTTTTTTTCTTCGAATAATTCATCATTTAATAAACAAGCATAATGCTTTCAACAGATCCTCAAAGTGATTATATTAATTTTATATATATTGTTGTTAAATTTAAGTCATATAGTTTTATATGCATATATATAGTTTTCGATAAATAAGGAATAAAGCTACGTAAACGTAAGTACTTATTCGCTTTTAATAATATGAAATATTTATTTGATAAAATAGAACTTGATCTTAAAATATTTTTTCCGAGTTTTGTTTACCAACTGATGTAGGCATGGACCAATCACTTGCATGTGTGCATTGAACAATATCGGATCATTCACACACCTTTCTTTGAATTGTGCAAAATGACCAAAAATTGAAAAGTGTTTTTGCACTTTTAGCTCATATCAGGTTTAAAACTATTTTCATTATTTCTTTACTTTCTATTATAATAATACATTTTTTTCTAATTATTATTATTGCATACTTACCTTGATCTGAGTAAGGATTTCAAGTTTTGTGTATTTAGACTTTGGGGCGCCAGTAGAATTCCTTTAACAAACTCAACAAACTTAACAAACTTAAAAAAGTGCATCACTTAGCCGATTTCATATGCCAGCTGTTATGTAATATTGTTATCAGATTTGCTTTTTTTTCGCACGTGGTCATAATTAAGGAAGTTCAGTTTGGAAATATCCCCCTTTCGTGTAAAATGTACATCTATATACACATTAATTAAATAATAGAAAAATGAAAAAAAAATGTTTATGGTGATGTTAATGATAAAGTGTTTACCAACCTTTTGTGCGATAAAATACTGTCAATTAACTGTAAATAAATCACAATAGTAATTGGATGTTAAACTTACCAAATCTTAAAGAAATTGCATAGTTTAACTTGAATATATATCTAGTTCTGCTATAAAATTATGAGCTGAAATGTTTACTATGAAATATATGAAAGCGATAATAGTACCAATAAGATTGCTATGACAAAAAATGTACAATGGTAAGTTGATGACAAATTTAGAAATTTCAAGTATTTACAATATATACAATAATACCCTCAAAGCACGACATATGCTTTTATTTGCGTTAATCGTTAAGTATGTAATATTTACATAAAAGTAAAAAGTATTACATACACACTTAACGATTAACGCAAATAAAAGCATATGTCGTGCTTTCAGGGTACCTATGTGTTCAATAATGAGAGGGTACCTGTGATATAAAAATTCAAATGAAGAGAGGTAGCCCGTGCCGCTGCAAAACCGAAAGTAGGGTGTTTTTATAAATTTTACATTTATTTTTGACAATATACTGCCATTTGTCCGAAGATGATATGTATATGAACATATTAAATATGTATGATGCATATATAATCAAGCCACAGGTTCATTTCAGCCGAAAAAATATGTCGAGGTGATGGGCGAAGCAAGACATGTCGATTTTTTGTAGCTTATTGTGAAGTTGCAGTACATGAAAATCGGGCACATGACAAATCAGTACATAAATAAAACATCCTAGTGTTCCGTGGTATACATCTTTTCTACGTGACATACCTCCTTTCCTTATTACAATGAAATTTTACTGGATTAGTATCCATCGCTGGTTTGTTTTTAGCAGAGAATGACCTGTGCATGTTCAGAGAGGGTACCGTTTCAGCAGATTTCGCAAAGAGGGTACCGATATGGATATGCACCGTGAAACCGGTTCTGCAATTTTTACTTTTAAGATTTTTTTATTGCTCACGACGTATCTCCACTCCTCCGGATCTTTAAAATTGGACTTTTCATTTTAAAAAAATGACATAAAATCTTTCATATACAGTAAAAACCCGCTTTACGACCACCCCGTTTTCGAGACCAACCCGCTAATACGAACGATTTTTTAAAGACCCGATTTTTTTATTCTTTATTTTAATGGTCGCTAACCCCGGTTTTGAGACCACCCCGTTATTCCGTAATACGACCAGTAAATTCAGTCCCATTTCGTAAATTCTGTACATTTGGAAACCCATAAATACGACCGCAGGCACTTTCTCACCTTGATATTGACAGGCATGTATATTGCTGAAATCTTTTTGACACCTGATGTAAACAACAGTTGTCCTAGTTTTACGACATTTAACGACATCCAATTTACGGCAGAGGTCAAGGTTACTTTGTATCCAACCCGTAAATGATCAACAAGGTTAGCTTTTAAAAAAGCTAGTAGCGACTCGCTTCGTAATTTTTTTTCAAGGGGTGTGTTTAAATGAAAAAATGACAGTTCTGTTAGCTGAAGAGACTTCAGCGAACATCAAAATAAAAGTGAAGTCAACACTGGCCCGGTGCCCGATGGCCAGTGTATATAAGTTCAGGCCAGTGTAAATTTAAGAAAATTTTGTTAATTATTTAGTAGAATAAATTCAAAACTGGAATTCGGGCCAGTAAATTCAAAATCTTAAACTCATTGACTGAAAGTGACATATAAAGTTCTCTCAGTTTAACCAAGATGAGTTTGAGTATATATGAAGGTGCATGTAAACAGATTGAATGAAGAACCTATGTCTATGCACATTTACTATATGGCCTGTTGACCTTGACCACAAAATGTTAGATAGGTAGATTTCATAAAGATGTCTCTTTATACAAAATTAAGTTGTAATACATGTATGTTATTCAGTATTGGAATGAGAGGCACAAGTCCTAAAGTAAACACAAGTTGTCAATCAATTCAGCCAGAAAAGCCGGGATCCTATTAAAAAATATAGGGATCCCAGAAATTGACCAGGCTAAGAAGATGTTTTTCAGATAAGCCGGGATCCTATTTTAAAAAACATATAGGGATCCCGGGAATTGACCAGTTCAAGAATATAGTTTTCAGAAAGCCGGGATCGTATTAAAATGTAAATAGATCTCACGGATTGGCCAGTTCAAGTATATAGTTTTCAGAAAAGCTGGATCGTTTTAAAACATACAGGGATCCCGGATTTGACCAATTCAAGAAAATAGTCTTTGATTTTTCCAATTAATTAGGCATATAATTATAAGTATTGTGATTTCCGCATTTTCAGTTTGTTAATAAATAGCTCTAAATATATCTATATTCTAAGTTAAATTAATTTAACGTTCATTATATTACAATAAAAAAATTAACGTTTTATGGCCTTTCATTACGACAACAATCAACAACAAATATAGTTTATTAGGTTTTTCCTCCATATCTTATACTATCCCGGATCCCGGGCGTTCCGGATCCCGGCCAGTAAATACATACACTAAATACCGGAAAGGATAAAATGACCGGAAAAAAAGGAAAATAAAAAAAAATGCACAGAACCAGATGTACACTTATGTTAATTAACCAAACGAAAACTTAACTACAGAGAAAACAGGTGAAATCGCTAAATCAGAAGTCAGTGTAAATATGATTTATTGAAAAGAATTCATAAAGACAAACATTTTAATCATCATTATATCTTTGCGCTCAAAACAATACTTGCTGATTTTTAAAAATGGCGTGAAAATTGAAGGTTTTTTGACGCTATGTAAGATTAAATTTGATTGGCTAAATAATTTTGGATCCTAGCCCTGATAGATAAATTTTGTAGAAAGCTGGAAGCCAAGCTTCGATTAAATTTTTGGATAGCTTCGGAGTTTTAGGTTGTTTCTCAGTAAAATCCTACCGTAATACCGGCTCGCCGTGGCGAGCCGGCATAATATTGTCGATAATTTCTTAATTTCACACCTTTAATGTCATAACTGGAGGAATAAAACAACAAAATATTGAACAAAAAACTTTCAAAAACGTTTTTTAGAGGTGTTGCTGCTATCATTATCTCTTTCGTTCCATAATTTTAAACAAACATAAACATGATACGATTAGGTTTTTGAAGTTGTTATCGGCAATGAAAACTGTGAAAATAATTAAAGGTCAATTGTTCGGTGTGCTTTGTAGTAAAATGGTGATTTAATTGAGTAAGTCATGTCATTCTTTTAACAAGAATGTAAAAATATTTTTGTGTTTAAAGACATTCATAATACATTTTGTACCTCTAAAGAAGTTTAAAAATTTTATAATGTTAAAAATTAAAAGAAAATAAATGAAAATAAAAAAATAATAGTGTATGCTTTATATCTTCTCATTTGAAATAGGTTAGCCCAGAATTAAACATGTGTCCAGTACATGGTATCCCTTAATATATTGCCTGGTTTTCTGTTTGACCAAACTCATTAATGAGACCAACCCGCTATTAAGACCAGATTTGTAAAGTCCCATCATTGGTCTCATTAGCGAGTTTTCACTGTAATACATTATTAAGTTAAACAAAACTCAAATAAAGGAAAAGCAGTTGAAGCTGGAATTAAATAAAACATATCTAGTAGATCGGTGCACATATTGTCATTTAATAGTTGATATGTCAATGTGGGAAGGGTATTAACTTGGGATCAATCACAATTACATCGGAAAAACTAATATGGTGATTTCCCTGGTTGATTGCCAATTAATCACTGGAACAATATACATATATGAGCATGACAGTTAAATAACAAGCCAAACATACAAAATGTATATGACTTTTGTTTCTTTTGTTTCAAACTTAAACTATTTAAAGTATGCAAAAAATATATCATAAGAAGAAAGATCTTCAATATGAAAACAAATTTGAAAAGTAAATTCTAAACAATCATGATTTCTTTTTGTAAAAATCAAAATATGATATCAGTATATCTTATATATTATCAGATCTTAAGAATTAATAAACACAATAAATAAATAAACTGCATAATTATGTAGAAATATTACGACTGTCCATAGTAAATTTGTTTAATAATTATTATTATGTTTAGCATTGATATAAATGCTCCAGCATCAAATGCGTATAAAATGTCATCAATATATTTTGCATATACAAAATTGTATATCATTAAAAATACGTGTTTAATGTAATCCTTTAATTTAGGATAGCAAATGCACGTATTCACCTTCCGATGGAATGATAAAACATAATAAGTTCTTTGAAGAATGTCAAATGTTCAGAAAACTATGTTGTAAAAACAAACTATAAATATGTATTTTATGTAATTTATTTAAGTCAAACAATAATAAGTAAAAGGCGGATTTCACCAGTACAGTTAAAACGATCGTAGTTTTGGTAGTTCTTTCTTTTCTCTGAATCACGGCAATAAGCCACATTGAATCAACCAGAGCACAGTTCAGCCGCAGCATCGTTCCTGGGCATGCAGTCAAGCAGTTTACCAGTACTAGTTGCCTTCACTTTCGCAAGGAAATGATAACTTCTGTACATGCCAGAGCAGAGATACAGTGGGAATGACCGTAGAACAAATTTCATGATCAATCATAACGAAAGTGACCTGCACCTTTCCAGAAATCGAACCCTGATCGCCCTATTCGCAGTCCAACGCTCTACCGGACATCCATAGTACAATTAAAGTTAGGTTAAAACAATTATATATTAGGTTATTACATTAAGGTTAATACATTAATATATTAGGTATATACCTTATTATATAAGGTAAACACTAGTACATTAATATATCAGGTTCATACATTGATATATTAGGTTTATACATTAATTTATTAGGTTGATACATTATTGCATTAACAAACATGGATTTCCCTGGCGTGTATATATTTACTTGCGTAGCGTTGCTTTTACGTCATCGTCTGATTTATACCTAAAATATCTAGCGGTATACGCCAAAACGTAAAAGCCGAAACATATCACAGATTCTATGAATAATATGTATAAAAAAGAAACGTAGGTATGTTCTTCCATCATGTATCCTAAAAACCTCGGATTAGCTGCCAGCCCTGTTCCTGTTGCAATCATAAACAACGAAGAAATCCGACCAGTAATATGGCAGACGTTTTCCTCTGTCCAAGATATCGCAGCAGGTATTATTAGCACCATAAAGAAACCGGAACTTGGAATGAAAATCCATATCATTATATTGATTCTGTACAGGCTTGCAATCAGTGACAAAAGAAACGTAGATATCCAAAGTAAATGAGCGATAAAAATAAGTTTGGTGGTTCTAAAACACCGGACAAGAAAGACACCTGCAAGTCCGCCGATACAACTGGCTACCCAGTACATGGATATTAAAGACACCGCAGAAGATGTGTCCCAATGGAGAAAGTCGAGAGCAAAAGATACAATGAAGTCGCCAAGGCTGTCTTCTGTAGCACTGTATAATAAATTAACACCAGCAATACATGCCAGCACACAATATTTCCTCTTTCCTTCTATTTTACGTGACCCTGTCTCTATCACAACGATTATTTCACTTTTCTCGCGGAGTGGTTCTATTTCTTTTTCTGTATTTACATCTTTGACTGTTTTTATATTGGCCTTTATATCAAAATCTCCAATCAGCACCATGACTAAATATGGAAAGGACGAACAAAGAACTAGCACGCATGTCATTATAAATGCATTATGAATTTGTATATCGTCTTTTAAAATGTTTGAAGCTAAACTTTCGTTTGATATATTCTTGTCAAACATAGACCCAACAGTGTGATTGTAGACTGAGCTTTGGTTATTATCCAGAGACAACATATCATTATATGTCGTATTACAAACAGTACAAATGGAGAGATTAAATGCGCCTGTGTTGTTATCGCCGTAAGTTTGGAAACTCTTTGTGCCATTTATGACAACATGGTGATGTGCTGACATGAATGGTTCTGTTGCAAAAGGCACGGCTATACTACCAACGGTGTATGACAGGTAGAGAGCTTGCATGAATGGACCTCCTTTTTCTCCCCAAATGGACGGCACTATTGTATTGGCGCCTGAAAACGAAAGAAAATGCAAAAAAAATGTGAACTTAAATTATGTTAAAGCAAGTGAAATTGGAAGACAATTTAATCGGTTCTTGCCCTTCTCACAACTTCTATTTATCAAGCTAGTTATAAACATCGTTTAAACTTGCTTTTTCGTTACCTTTTTGCATACATGTATTTGGTGAGTTTGAAAAGGAGCTAAAACGTGTTTGCAATTGGAAGCTGTCACTTACTGTAAAGTATACAGCACTAAATGTTCGAAGTCAGTCAGAGAAAGAAAGCGTTCACATTTACGATAAATGCTGAATCGAGTTAGGCATTTTTCAGCCATTTTTTATGACGGGTATCTACAAATGACGTTGTAACTTACCCGTGTCAATTCCACCACAAAATATTCCACATGCCACACGGAGGACGAGCATCATGCTAAAAGACTTGCTGTGTGGAAGGAAAATACTGCAGATACCAACGCCAAATGTACACACAAACATTACAACAAGTCTGTTAATCCGGTCATACAGGAAACCACAAAACAGAGAGCCCGTCATGAATCCCAGTGACCACGTGGTGAACAGCCATGACGCTGTCTCTAGATCCACATCTGCAAGAAGCTGAAGATCTGGCAGGGCTGTACCAATTTGTAGAACTACCCATCCCTGAAAAATAAAACATTTCAATTGATTGCTATACACTATAACTGCGTGGTTAAATATCATGTTTCATTAAAAATACTTTAATTACATTGTTCGTGTGAGAAATGTAAAGTGTCGTATGTCTGATAACGTAGTTCCATATATACTGTATGCTATAGATGAATGTATAACACATGTAAAATATATATGCACAAATGTATATTTATGGTTTTTTTCCCAATTATCCAACTTCATCTACCATAGAAGAACTGATATCCTCTGCAATTTTATACTTGAAAAGTACATTTATTACATGTATCTTCTAGTTTCAAAATCAATAAAACAATATTAGTTACTAAAACAAGGTTTTTATAAAGTATTTTAAATATCGTTTCATTTTCAATATATAATCAACAACAGCATACTTTCGCTTGCAACACACAATATCGTACTACACTACCAAGACTAATTTATTTGTGTTCTTTTTGGTTAACATATTATGTAGCAAAGTTAGGATAAGATGATGATGATGATGATGATGATGATGATGATGACAAAAAATAAAATCTCAACAACACAAACAACAACATAAACAACAACAGAAATACATTATTTTATTTATATGACATTGTTAGAGAAAAGATCTACTTAGAGAAAGAATGTTGTAGAGCTGTAGTGCCTATTTACAAATTTCCATGTCGGCAATCAAAAACAAACAAAACAAACAAAATCAACAACAAAAAACAAAAACAACATTTCTACCAGCATGTCTATATTATACAATTATTGACTAGTGAGCCACTGACTTTGATGTGACATTCACCGGCAAATGACATTTTAACCGAGGCGATAACCGAGGTACTGGTGAATGAATCAAATACCTGTGTTTGAATCAGTGTTTGAATCAAATACCTATTTAAGTATAATACAACATTATAATACAACATTGTAACATAATTATAATACAACATTATAATAAAACATTATAATACATTATTTTAACATACAACATTATAACAACATAACATTATAATACAACATTATAACGTAACACGATAATACATCATTATATAGAGGATATTTGTTTAGTTCAGTGTAAGATCGGAATATATTTCACCGAGTGAGCACCAAAAGGTATATTTCACGAGTGGCGCAGCCACGAGTGAAATATGAACTTTTGGTGTTCACAAGGTGAAATATATTTCGATCTTACACTAAACTAAACAAATTTTCTTTTTATTATATGCAAAGAAACGTTTTAAAAAGACATTAAACCTAACACTGAATGATAAGCGCGCCAAATAATAATACAACGTGACGTCATTTGCGACGTCACGTCATTAAGTTGGTACCCAGTACTGTGCACGCTGGTATTTTACTGAAACAACGTAAGGGGCGTAAATTCAAACCAGTGAAATTATCAAAGTGGTAATTTCACTGTTTCAAACAGTGAAATTACCAGTTTTATACCACTGATATATTTCTATAAACCACCGAAAAGCATGTAATAAAACAACATAACATTACGATACAACATTATAACATAACATTATAATACAACATTATAACATACATTATTACATTTTATTTCATGCTTTCCAGTGTTTTATTGTAATATATCAGATGATTATATTCTGATAAACCACTAGTGAAATTTATAAAATATAATTTTCACTGTAGCCGGACTATATCTGAATGCGGATGAAAAGAGAATCATAACAAAATGGAATAACAGGCAGAAATAAAAACTGTCATGCGTAAATTTTGCTTCTTTAGGAAAAGAAAGTCGATGTAAACATAAATCATATTAAAATGCAACAAAATAAGAGAAATTTAACGGAACTATATTTCAAAATTGATGATGTGACGTCATGATGTGATGACGTCACAAAGCAGAATGTGCGACGTTACGCGGCAAAATCAGTAAAAAAATACATAAAATCACTTAGAAAGCATGAAATAAAAAGAAAATTTATTTGTATTACATATAAGATTGAAATACATTTCATTCGTGAACACCAGCTATTATATTTTCACTCGTGGCTACGCCACTCGTGAAAATATTGCATCTGGTGTTCACTCAGTGAAATTATATTTCAATCTTACATGCAAAACAAACAAATATCCTCTATATAATACAACATTATAACATTACGATACAACATTATAACATAACATTATAATACAACATTATAACGTAACATTTTAATACAACATTATAACAAGATAACATTTTATTTTATGCTTTTCAGTGGATTACTGATTTATCCGTGAAAATTATATTTGATAATTTCACAGTGAAAATTATCAAAATATAATTTCACACTTTTCAATGACGAAACTACCTTTTTAAGATTTTCCCCATGTGGTACCTCAATTTTATTTTTGGTGACTATTCCGACAAAGTGAGGCTGTTTAAAAAAAGCAAAGCTGAAATTGATAAATAACTTATATGTCAAAAGTAATAAAAAGAAGAAAACTTACAGTAAGTTACTTCTATTCATTCAAATTACCAATCACCAAATATCGTCTCTTTAATTTTTTGTTTCAGTTTTAGAGTCTGAAAAATACATTCCTTCCACATGCAAAACTGCTCTTGATGACATTTGGGAATATTTAAGTATCCTTCGAGCAATAACTGCCGTATGCTTTATGAAAACTTGAAAAGCAATGGCAGCTTTCAGTCGAAGAATATGTAAACAACCCAGCGTTCGTAAGGCTTCCAAGTTTTCCAATTTCCTATCCACTTTTTTGAATGTTTACACATCTGTCAACACTTATTTATTGTCTGTTACAATCCTCAAATAAGTTTTCTTTCTTTTAAAAAGGTGTATGACTAACAAATCCAAATGATATCCCTCTGAATCAAACACACTGATTTTCATCCAGTGAAATACACAACTTTAAAAATGGCGGCCGCTTACATTTAACATAGCCAGGACTAATATAAATTCGCAGTAACAGAAATATGGATGGATGGTTGGACTTTTTCTCCTACTAGAATTCTTTGTTTTTATTATTTAAACAAGCGATGAGATATATTTTTTTAATAAGATGAATACTATCACCACCATTTAACGTTGATTGTGGAACTTATTTTTCAGCCCATGACTTCTTGTATTTAATGAGAAATTCGACTTTTTTGAGGCTCTAAATGGGGAAAACAGATTTTAATATTGACGATCTCGTGAACTTTAAAAACAGTATTCTCACTCGTGGCTACGCCACTCGTGAGAATACTGTTTTTAAAGCTCTCTCGATGAAATAAAATTTCATCTTACACACAAACAAACAAATATCCTCTATATTTGTTTGTTTGTTTGTTTCATTTTACGCCTTTTCCAAACAGTATTTCAGTCATATAGGCGGGTAGTTTCCTAACCATCGTTCCTGGAGAGTTACACCAGTACTAGACTACCTTCCTCCGCGCTAAACTACCAAAGCATAATACAACATTATTACATTATAATATTACATTATAATACAACATTATAACATAACATTATAATACAACATTATAATACAACATTACAACAACCTAAAATTATGATACAACATTATAACATAACATTATAATACAACATTATAACGTAACATTATAATACAACATTATAACAAGATAACATTATAATACAACATTATAACATAACATTATAATACAACATTATAACGTAACATTATAATACAACATTATAACAACATAACATTATAATACAACATTATAACATAACATTATAATACAACATTATAACATAACAGTATAATACAACATAATAACATACACTATAAAATTATAATACAATATTATAACATACATTATAACATTATAACACAACATTACAACATAACATTATAAAACAACATTATAACATAACATTATAATACAACATTATAACGTAACATTATAATACAACATTATAACAAGATAACATTATAATACAACATTATAACATAACATTATAATACAACATTATAACATAACATTATAATACAACATTATAACGTAACATTATAACACAACATTACAACATAACGTTATAAAACAACATTATAACATAACATTATAATACATCATTATAACATACATTATAAAGTTATAATACAACATTATAACATACATTATAACATTATAACACAACATTACAACATAACGTTATAAAACAACATTATAACATAACATTATAATACATCATTTTAACATTATAACATGACCTTATAACATTCATTATAACGTAACATTATAACATACATTTTAACATACTATTTTAGCATAACATTTTTATGGAATGTATCAGTTGTACTTGTAGTAATTTTAAGATCAAATGATCTTCTTTGAACAATTAACGTTGATTCAAATAGAATAATTAGTATAAATGAATTTACTTAAGTAACGTACGACAATAACACAGCTGATGATAAAAGAAACTTTCGCCTGAACTCTCGATCTATCCACCATTTACTGATGAACAGTTCTGTTTGACCAGTTACCATAAATTTTGTTCTTGGATCACTTTTGTGTCGTTTACCACATTGCATTGTAATATTTATGTTAAGTTACCAATAACACACATCCTAAATGTATGCACGTATGTGACATTGTATAAATTTACACTTTGCATAAAATATTGGGAACCAGATAGTACATACATCATATAACAACTTTATTTGAAAGTTGCTTACCTCAAGATGAGTCTCAATATTTCAATAAAGTGTAACTGGAGAAAAGGTGGACCAAGATTTTAAGAAAAGTAACACGATTTAAGATTTACATGTTTCGTGCGATTAAGGACTGATTTTGCAGTATTTATCATCATATTTTACTGCGTTACTAACGCAGTAAGGGCTACTTTTGCTTTTTGACATATTTTTGTAATTTATGTGGATTGCAAGTGCTGTTTGCAATGCACATTATGTACTTTGTTCAGTTTGCAATATTTTAATTTTAAATGCATTTTTAAAATTTTCATTAAAAATAAGCGTGAATCTGGAGGCATGATGCTTTAAATGAATAACATTTGCCATGG